AAGAGATACAGCGAATTCGAACGAGCACGCGGCATTTTCCAGCGGTTTACTGTCGTCCATCCCGAACCCCGGAACTGGATCAAATGGGCCCGCTTCGAGGAGGAGTATGGCACAAGTGACTTGGTTCGCGAAGTCTACGGTGTGGCTATCGAAACGTTAGGCGAGGACTTCATGGATGAGAAGCTCTTTTCCGCATACGCCAAATTCGAGGCCAAGTTGAAGGAGTATGAGCGCGCGCGAGCAATTTACAAGTATGCCCTAGACCGACTTCCGCGGTCCAAGGCTATGGCCCTTCACAAGGCCTACACAACATTCGAAAAGCAATACGGTGATCGTGAAGGTGTGGAGGATGTGATTCTGTCCAAGCGCAGAGTGCAGTATGAAGAGCAGCTCAAAGAGAACTCTCGCAACTATGACATCTGGTTCGACTTTGCACGATTGGAGGAAACTTCGGGCGACCCAGAGCGGGTGCGGAACACCTACGAACGGGCCATTGCACAGATTCCCCCATCACAAGAGAAAAGACATTGGCGCCGCTACATCTATCTCTGGATCTTCTACGCCGTGTGGGAAGAAATGGAAGCGAAGGACATGGAACGCGCCGGTCAAATCTATCAGGAATGTCTAAGGATTATCCCGCACAAGAAGTTCACATTTGGCAAAGTCTGGCTCATGAAGGCACACTTTGAGGTTCGTCAAATGCAGCTACAAGCAGCACGCAAGACATTGGGGCAGGCGGTTGGAATGTGTCCCAAAGACAAAATTTTCCGTGGCTATATCCACATGGAACACCGGATGTATGAGTTCGGGCGGTGCCGTACGTTGTTCCAGAAACTAATTGAATGGAACCCCTCCAACACCCAGTCGTGGTTGGAGTTCGCGGATCTGGAGCGTAATCTGGACGACGCGGAACGGACGAGGGCCATTTACGAGCTTGCCATCGAGCAATCGACACTTGACATGCCCGAGCTTGTGTGGAAGGCTTACATCGACTTTGAAGAAGGGGCAGCCGAGGATGAGCGAGTTCGACAATTGTACGAACGTCTCCTTCAGAAGACCGATCACGTCAAGGTATGGACCAACTACGCCAACTTCGAGTCCTCTCTGCTGCTGGACGAGGAAATGGAGGAAGAAGAAGAAGAGAAAGAGGGGAAGCCAGTCCGCGAAGACGCAATACTCCGCACACGTGCAGTCTTTTCTCGGGCAGAAAAGGCGTTCAAAGACAAGGGTCAATCGGACAATGTAAGTTGCTATTCCCATAATCCACACACTATTCGATCCATACTAACTTGTGTACAGCGCGTGGAAATCCTCACTTCCTGGCAAGGATTTGAACATGCACATGGATCGCCCGAGGATATCGAAAATATCGAAAAACAGATGCCCCGACGTGTCAAGAAGCGCCGCAAGTTGGGAGACGACAAGTACGAGGAGTACGTGGATCATGTGTTCCCTGCAGACGATCAATCTGCTGCCAATCTCTCTCGTTTGCTCCAGAAGGCACACCAATGGAAGCAACAGAACCAGTCCTAGAGCGTGTGGTAGTTTTTATTTTACAAAATCGATTGATTCCCAGATTTGCCAATGCACTTTCATCATGAAACCATCCATGCAGAGCCCATGGTCACGGGAACGGACTTCATGTGTTGTAATACTAACTAAAACGGATCTGTGTTTGGCAGTGAAACCAAACCAAACTCTCTTTTTTCGATCGAATCGGTTTCGCCGGCTAAGTGGCACGAACCGATACGTAGTGTACGTAGTCAAAATCAGATTGTCCCCTGCATCGAGGCATGCAATATGGATGTCGTGCATGCTAGCCACCAAACCAGCTCTCATTACGTTGTAACATATTTTCCCGGTCCTGTTGTGTAATAGCTGCATCCCCGCCGGTAATCCCTTCAGTGGGGACGGGGACTGACTCTGTAGTACATATCTGTGGTGGGATATTAGCGTTGGCTGAATTAGAGATCGGGCGAATGCTTTCCAGAAACTGAACGTTAGCCATTTATCTGCTTACATGCATTTACACTAAAACAGCCTGTGAAGTAGGTCATCAACTCTCAAATATATCAAAAACTCTAACATCATTCAAAACACGGAGAACTGAGACATTTCCACAGGTCTCAGGAACAGATATATCCACTGCTCCACTGCCCCACGATACATAGCCCAGCTCCTCACTCCCGGGTTTCTTTCTTCCTCTATTTCTCTGTCTAACACGTTGAGCACTTTGCCGAGTACGGAGTATATGTATAGATCTTGATATAACCTAAATTCTCATGAAATGGGTTAATGACTCTCAAAACATCGACTATGGTTATATTGATGCCGAATGAGATATCAACAGCTACCTGTCGATCGTAAGGGATCTGTTGTTGCTAGATGATACATTAATCGTCAAGAACAATTCCTATTGGCCGCTATGCATAGTTTGAACATATAGTCGACAATCATTCACCCCGATTGGAGCGTGTCACATATTAAATTCGAACAATGAACTAAAGCCTTTTGTATTCCGTAGAGATGATCATGGAAACTCTTGCAAGAAACTTCACTTTCAGATGCCTCAAGTCTTTGACAATTAAGTTATTCATGGGACCAGGGGTTTAGGGGCAATTACCATTGGAAATATCTTTATGAATCTTTGAACTAGACTATAATCGATGAAGATATCGATATCTATATATAACTATGGCATTTACGAAATGAAAGGTAGTCGTGGAATATCTTCGGGTCGATATATAGAACGACGAATGTAGAGGAATCTCTAGATACACCACAAGTCGCCACTATAAATCATGTAGACAATGCTATAGAATACTATAACTAACGAAAGATATCTGAGATTGTCTAGGTGACCCTAGAAGGATCTAAGGACGCGTTAATATTCATATTTGAGGCTAATATATATATCAAGTGAACCGGGATACGCGGTATCAGTATTCCAAGAGGGAAATGGTCTATACGACAAAGGTGTAAAAATAGGACGTTAAATAGAGAATTTATACTTGTAGATGCTAAGACATATATGAAAGATGTATATTTTGGTTGTCTTTGTATCGGATGGTGGCAACAAACAATCGTGTTCATTGAGGATCATGCCACAGAACAAAGGGGGGTTCGAATAGCTTCTTTTAAGGATAGTAACTTAGACCAGTTAAAAAATCTATAAAAGCACTACCAATTCTCGACCTTGATGAGCCATCAACAGCAAATATTGTTCTGATTTCTACGCAATCTTTTACATTGTCACCTGCAGTCATCGAAACTATAATCCCCGCATCAGCTTTTATATCCAGACTTTCGAATCCTATCAAGAATAGTAAGTGCTCACTCGTAACATCGTGAATTTCTAGTCCCTAGCTAACTTTTTTTTCTCTTTTTCTTTTTTAATAGTGGGGGCCAATATTGCAGATCAGCCTGTTGATGACATTTGTGACATTTGCAAGAAGGATTTCTACGGCACCAAGCCATGCTCATGCGGTAATCGTTGACCTTTGACTTGGGTACAACAAGGGTATGGAATGACCATAGGGGACCTGGAGGACATGCAATATGGGGGTGAGTTAGTATAGCATTAACGCTCGGTAGTACTATGAATTTGAAACTAGCCTATATGCTGTACACTTGTGCTCAAAATTGGAAATTCGTAGATATGAGCGCCAGTCCCTTGCGGTCCCAAGGAAAAGACATCTCAGATTTGAGCCTGATATTTAAGAGTTCCCGAGTTCGTCAAGGTCCCAGATATGAAGTGAAATTATAGCAAAGAACCTTGGAAGTGGCACGCCAAGGCGCCAGAGTTTGAGAATTTCCGTGGGTCCAACGGACAGGAACCACGGGCCTCGAGAGGGGAATCTTCCAAAGTTCTAGGGTGCGTTTGTTTATTTTTATTTTTAATTTATTTATTTCTATGTTTCTACATTTAATATTACAGAATACAGGAGTAGGAGCACTTGGTTACATTTAATACATGCACTACGTCTGCACTCTCCCTTGCTGTTGATACATCCCGAGGTGCACCCTAGGAACATTGAAAGCCAAGGTGGAGGTCCAAGCCTTCCTGTAAAACGGGGGTCCAGGTACCAGAGGTGTGGTCCCACTTACAGACTGCTCGCGGGTGACCCCCTGATCAATATACTAGAATGAGAATAGATGAAGGCAAAAAAGAACCAATAAAGTCGAATAAACTAAAGAGAATTTATTCTCGAATCCAATCAAAATGAAATAAACCAAATTAACGGGAAAGCCCCTCCCCAAAACGAAAAAAACCGAGCGAATTGAAAATGACGAAATTATTCCCCTTAAGGGATGGCGTTGTTCGCTAACCCCCCTAAGCCGTCTGCTAACCTCCTCCGTTAGGGGGTCGAGAGGTCCTTCTCCCTGTTTCACTTGGATGTGGTTTCTGTTTCTGTTTCTGTTTCTTGTTTTCTCCCTTTTACTGTCTGCATCTACACTTGTGCTGTGCACTTTGATATTCTATCCATTCGTTCGTTTCGCCAACCAACCACCCCCCCATTCGCTTAATCGGGTTTTGTTGGCCTTTTACTTTTTTTTTTCCCCGGCACGTATCGACTGGATCGCCCAGCCCCTCAGATCATTGTAATTACTCGACATCCTCGTTGACCGACGCGTTCGTGTTGTGATCCCATTGTTGACACCCTGAGCCACTACTCTGGTTGTGTCACCCCGAGTCGCCGAGTCATCCGATACGCGATCCACCTTAGTTTCGCCCTGAGAACCTCGAATCGCAGTTAATCGCGCAAAGTAGTTGATAACTCGTGTTCACGTCGCCTGTTATCGCATCAACTCGCTTACATCGAGTGTGGCCTGTTGGCATTTTTGGCTGAACTGCCTCGGTCGAGATGAGATAGTGCTCTGGCAGTCACCTTTTATTCTCTAATTCGTGCTTTCTAAGTCCCTTACTGGCTGGCTACCCACCTTCACTCCTGGTCCGGAATCCATCGCGACTTGGAACTTTTTAACCTGAACTTTTCAACATGACTGGTCCCAAACCCCGACTCAAGATCGAAGGCGATTGCTCCACTATCCACAGCAACACCCTGTACACTTATTCACCGACTGGATTTCAATCAATACCTCTCAAAGAGAACGGGGACTGGAAGCCACTCCCATCCCCAGAATACAAGGTTACTAGCCCTGCCTGCGTCCAAGGCGGGATCGAGGGGAATGAAAATGATGAAGATAAAAAGGCATTTTATCTGGTTGGCGGGACCGGCTCCTCTGGCAGCAGCGGCCTCCAACGCTTTTCGTTCAGCACCCAGAAATGGGAGACATTAACCATAGATTCGTCGATGAAGAATCGGACTGGACATGGTGTTGGGTACATTTCCTCAACATCGGAAATATTGGTTTACGCAGGAAACACAGATGGCAGCACACAGCCCTCTCAATCGACACTCCTCATTTCAACAATCCCGCCCTTTACCGTGTCGTCCGGTGTCGACCAGGGCGCGCCGGCATTGTATGAGCCCATCATTTTGCCTTGGGGTTCTTCCGAGGTAGCCTTGGTTGGGGGCTCTGCCACAAATACTGCTATCTTCGTCTACGAGGCCACAGATAAAAAAGGCTTCACCATCTCGGAGGCGACTCTTCCCTCCGCAATCGAATCCTCATCTCTATGCGCACTCGCCTCCGACTCTGGGACCAAGGTCCTCGAGAAGTTTAACATGGTCGCTTCCCCAAATAGTGTGACCAGCTACACTCTTACCTCGAAAGGAAAGGTGCAGAACCCGATCACAGCCATTGCATCCTCAGGAAAGAGGGGTCTCACCGATTCTTATAACGGTACATTCGCCCCGACGGCATCCTGGTCTGATTACACGCTCGCCCAGGGTAGTGGCTTGGTCGTTCTCGCCAGCGGCCAAAGTAACGACTCATTGGCAATCTTCAACCAGACGTCCAACGCATGGGTCAACTCTACAGAGTTGTTCAATGGAAAAGGAGATCAACATGTTCTCAAACCATCCACTACATCATTCACATCATCTACTTCGACATCGACCTCATCATCCACATCGACCTCGAACTCCTCAACTACGCCCACTTCTTCCTCAGAGCCAGTTGCGACTGTAGGTGGCGGCCTGACCGACCATGGCAAAATGATCCTTGGCGCAACCCTTGGGAGTATCCTAGGGTTTGGCCTGATCCTGCTCATCCTTCTGTTCCTACTGCGACGCGAGAAGAAGAAGAAACAAGCAGCGCAACCCGGTCGCGGCGGCGATAACAAAGGCCGCCTAAGCTTCCAGGATCAGGGCATAGAACCCCTGACCGAAGGCGCTTACCCCATGGCAAGATCTCCTGTTCCAGTCGCCGCTGGGTCGGTCGACTCATTGGCTATCTTCTCTGGCAACTACAAAGGAGAGAAATCCCTCAAGCCACCCGGTAATACGGGCTATGGATTGTCTCAGCCCAAGAGTAGCAGTCCGCTCTCTACAATTCCCTCCAGCGGTGTCATGGGCGCATCAAGCGTATACACCGACGACACCAATCGGGCTGGCGATGAGACCGGCCATGGAAACCAGGCCGCTGACCGAATGACTGACGAAGGGTGGGGGAAATACTTCGAGGACGGCGGTGCCACTAACTTGCAATCCGACCGCTCGACTATGAGTTCCGTATACACCAAGTCCGATTACCGCGGAAGCGCCTGGCCAATGACTACCTTGACACCATTGAACTTCGGTTTCCTCGACCAGCCCAAGCCCCTGGGTCACGTTCTTAGCGGGAGCCCGACCACGGAGCACAGTTCCAGTGAGATGGGCAGTCGAAGTCTAGTGATTCCGGAGAGTCAATCGGCGCGAATCTCCAGTGCCGATTCCATCAGTATCGCCTCGGACGACGACCGCGATGATCCAAAGTGGCAAGGTGCGGGCCAGAGCAGCTGGCTTGGGCGTCCCACAAGCAGCAACTACACTGCCAGCTTCTACCAGTCGAGCACACAAGATATGCCCTGGGAATCAAATGCCAGCCTTGGGGAAAAGGCAAGGCAGTCCAATGCACGAAGATCGAGCGTCATCATCCCACACGATATCGACGAACTTCCGATGCAAGGGCAGAAGAACAATACCAATTCAGATATGAGCTGGCTCAATCTCAAGGCTGATCGTTAACATACGTTCGCCTAATATTCCGACTTACAGTCCATTTGGAGCCCAACTCTCCCATACTCTCTCCCATCTTTCCTCGAAAATACCTACCTCGCCTTGCCAAGTCATTTGGCGACTCTCTTACCTCCTCTCTCGTCCATTCCTTTTATCGCATCTCCATGGCTACTGGTGTCTTGAAAAAGCCTATTGCTCTGTGTCCTTGCACTTGACGTGCTGCAATTTTTTTTTACCTGCATCCAGCATCGTTTTATGTTTGTGTGTATGAGCGATTCCTTAGCGTTGTGCCACACTTGATTGAACCGGTTGCTTTTTTTTTTATCCATTTGACCTCATCGCTTTGGCTGTACTATGCCGATCTAGTTGCTCTTGTATGAGTGTTGTGTTAATGTTATTCTGTACATATCTCGATCTGAGTGTAAATCACTTGAAATCAAGCGCATGCTCCAGCCATGCCGTACTGAAATGCCTTTGGTCATATTTCATTACCCCAATTAACTATTATCGTATTTAAGTCGTGTTAATCATAAGCACCCAACTCTCCACACGGCGATGTCATAGGAAGATCCTCAATAAAGCTTCGCTAAAAACGAATGCCTCTTCGAGACCTTCCTAAACTCATTAACCATAGGACTAAGCATCCTCCCACCCCCATCCTCAATCTCCATCGGCTCTAAGCGCGTCGAATCCGTCTTCTGAAGAAGCGGAATCTTCTCCTCAGTCTTACTCCGAATATAGTAATGCTCATCATCCTCCTCCATCCCAATAAACCACCTCTCCTTCAACTGTTTCCCCCAAGGCCCACACCCACAAGCACCTTCCAACTGACTCGTCTGCGGACTATTCACAGCAAGCGCGAACAAATTCTGCGGCTCCGTGAAATCAGTCACCTGTCGACCGCGCGCTTCAACAATCATAAACCCGAGACAGACAGCGCTGGTCAAGAACGCAAAAACAAGAATCACATAGAATATCCCCTGCCACTGTTCCGTCCCATCAGAAGCATACCCAACAGCCTGAATGGAAGCATTGAAAATCTGATAAACAGGCTCGGAAAGCATATTCCCGTCCTCGCCACTGTAATTCCAGAACGGGACGAACGGTGCATTCTGAGAACTAAGGATAAGAGTACTTCCAGCCATGACAGCCAATGCCTCCGCGATAGATGGTAGAGTGGGATCCAGCGCGAAAGTCTCCTCCATCTTATCGTACCGCGGCATCATTTGCATAAGCAGTCTGGCATTGCTAGCCGCGCCGTCTGAAATACCCGCATTCAAGCTGAGCGCATTCGCCCACTCTGACGCGATGTTCTTCCAGTCTGGGTCCCAATTACCCTCGTAGAACGCGTCTTGTCGTCGGTCGTATTGGAGCCCGTTGGAGGCGTTCTCGCAGTCCGTACTGAGGAATGCGCCGCTCGTATCGGCGGAATACTTCGTCGAGCATACGCCTGTTTGTTTCGCGCGCAATGAGCACATAATGTACTCCGGCATGTCGGTGTTGTTGGTTGCGCCCAGGAGGTAGATTGCGTCTGCGGGCCAGGCACCTGTTGTGTTGAGGATTGTGTTATATGGGAGTGGGTATTTGCCGAAAATAGGTGAGACTTGTCTGTGTTTCGGACCGAAGTCGAAGAGGGAGTCAACCACTGTGCTGTTTTTCCAGTCTGCCGGGTGGGGGATGTCGTCTGGGGGTGAGAAATTCCAGGTTGTCACGTTGAATTTGTCGCCGCCGGGCCAGGAGGCGTAGACTAAGGGGCTGAGCTCTTCTTTTGTCATTCCGGTGCAGAGGACGTTGATGGCTGGTGAGGGGACGGAGGCTTCGATGTTATATTTTCCTTCCCCAGAGGTGTCTTGGGGTTGTTTGAGTTTGTTTTGGGAGCTCATTGCTGCGGCAGGGATACCGCCGTGCGGCATTGCCATTGTTATGTTGTTGACCATTCGGTTGTGTTTCTTGGAGAGGGTGGACATGTCATGGATGTCGACCCAGCTGCCTGTTACTGTGGTGTTGTCCCAGAGTGAGCCTGTTGGCGGTGGGCGCTTTGGGAGTTGGCTTGAGGTTTCGTTCTTGCTGATTACTAGCTGGCTCCATTGGGCTATCCATTGTTGGTAGTTGTGATATGCTTGGCCGACGTGTACAATTTGGAGGCAAGTCGTGTTACGATACTGGGGGTCCATGTCGTTGATGACGGGTGTCTCACAGGTTGATGCGATGTATTCGGGGTTTGCGAAGCTGGCGGTTACCTTACCCTGGAGTGTCCTTGGTTCAATAGGACCAAGAGAGAGCTTAGGAGCAACTGTTGTTGATTAGTATTTGACATGGGTTTTGGATAGAAAAGAGCGAATTTACCTAAAGCTTGCGCCGCGGTGGTATACAGCATCGCCACGAACGTTGAAACTAACGCGACCGACCCGAGGAAAGTGAGCGCTGAGTATCGCAGCGCCTCCCAATGCACAATCATAGATCCGGGTTGCATGATCCAGGCCCTCATATTCATGTCCGAGATACTGATTCCTCGAGAATCCCTCGTCAAAGCCCTCCGACTAAGCACCTGTCCCAGAAACGCGACGCAAATCGTAACATAGGACAACTCGATCGTTTTCGCAAAGAATGCGCTCAGCAAAGCTGCCGTAGATGGAACCAACGACCCATCAATGGAGACACTGGGCCATCGGGGCTTGCGCAGCGCAATCCCGAGATAGATACCTGAAAAGATAGTGGCATAGATAGCGAGAACTAAGACTGTCAACGGGACCCACGAGAGCCGTTTCTGGAGAACGGTTGCGCGGTTGGGACACCGCACGTGGGCGTGGGTATGTGGAGTCTGCGGAGACTCGGGAGATTGGGGAATCTTGTATGTATTTGGAGTCATAGTCGCAGTGCTATCGGTTGAATGGCGGTTGTCTGCCGGAATTTCTGCGGGGATGGCATGGCCCAACGAGTTCGAGATTCCCAGACCAACATCAACATCGCGGAGGACGTCTTCGGACCAGGAGCTAGTACTATCTGAGGGGACATGGTAGCGATAGTCAGAATCAGTTAGGCGATTGTTGAGTGGATTCCAAGACTGTTGGGGCCGAGCGGCGTCGATCGAATCTTCGGATAGCAGCGATTGCTGCGAATCCCGCGACGAAGCCATGGCAAAAGGTAAGAATAGAGAGAAAAGGACAACGGTAAGTCGAGAATGTTCTCCATTTAAAAAAAATAGGGAAAAGGGGGTCCTGGTGAGTCCTGGGGCTGAAATGGAGGGGCCCAGTTCTAGTCTCCTTAGCCCCATCGTAAGCTGGTTAGCTGCTTGGCATTGGCATGTCGGTTTGCGCTTTTCATTTGCGGTTTAATTACTCCGTAGATTTCAAATGCGAAGTTCTGAAGTTCTTTTGCTGGATTATTTTTAGAGCTTCATGGATATTCTAGACCCTGGCATAAGTCTAATATTCGAAATACCGTTGTGTTGCGCTTGTTAACCGCGCTATATTTGCCATATCTGCCATATCTGCCATATCTGCTGTATTACTATATAACTAGTGCTTATATATGGACTCTATTATGGAGTACCTGCACACCCCAAATGGAGCAAATCATAGAGCGAGAAGCACAGCGGAAGAGTCCGGAACGACGGCAGTAAGCAGCCCATTCTTATCCTTGTCTCTTCGTTCGCATGCTGTTGGATCCATGATCAGTGAATCTGAACTGAATCTGAACTGAATCTAAGTTGAACCTGAATTGAATCTTTTAGTTCACCCACCCCTAAACTAGCGGCCCAGAGATCTGCCAATTTCCTTTCTAGTTAAATTTAGCGTATTGTATTGAACACATATATATATAGCTATGATTTTGAATTCTTCCCTCTTTACTACCCTGTCTACAATATAATTACATTATAATACAATTCAATTCAGGTTCAATAAGGCCATCTTCGAGGTCCTCTGGCATGGACAGCCCGCAGTGGCCAAGTGTTGGACGCCGTCCGACTCCCAAAGGTTTGGATTGACCAAAGTACCAAAGTCTACTGTTAAAAGCTAATATAGTGATAGACTGTTGGGTGCCTGGGTGCCTTAGAGATGTTGATTAAGATCATGATGAGTCTTATCGCGATCTACGGCCTACGATGGAGACAGGTTGACTTTACTGCGGCCTATCTCAATGCTTCAAGAGACGAAGCAGAAGTGGTCTATATGAGACAGCCTACTGGCTTTGAGTTCTTCGATGCGAGTGGTGATGTGGTTGATGGCTTTACAAAGGCACTTGGCAAAGATAAATTTAAAGCAGTTTGTGAAAAGCTTCACCTTTGTTCCGAAGCATAGATCCTTCAATGAATCGAGTAGCATCGTCGACGATTGGCAGCCAGTAGTTCTCTCGAGAGAACCGCAGTTCAGAGTCCAGGACGCCGCCTGGACCACACAGCTTCAAATGGACATACGGTCTAGGAAGAACGAGCTCAGGAATTAAATCAGCAGCTTTGTGGTTTACAATCTGATTTCCAGGAAGTTCGTAAGCAAGCTAATCAGATTGAGCGAACTATGGAAAACACAAGAGAAGAAACCCCGTCCCCGCAGGTCCAGAGGGCAGAATACCGTTATCCTTTCTCCTCTCCGGTCTATCCAACTGATTCGTCCGATCGACAAGCTAACGATTCGTCTCCTGATATTCTTGTATCCCCTCCCCTTACGCCGCAGGAGTGATTCGTTGTTCGTCATCATTCCCGTATAGCTTCATACTAGTTCTGGCGAAGGCGAAGGGAGAGTCCCTGTATTGGAGATGGGCAGATTTATATGCCCATCAGAAAGAATTTGTCTATCAGTAGGTTTTAGCCGCCGTTAATGCTCTTCGGGCCGTCGGAATTGTCTGGACGGACCCCGGTCCGCACAACGTTCTTTACCACCCGGATGACGCCAATCCTTCTGTGTCCGTCATAGACTTCGAATGTATCGAGTTGTGTGACGGGGAAGAAGTTGTAGCCACACCGGAGATGACGGCCATATTTGGATCCGAGGCAGTCCAGCAGAGAAGAAGATATCCAGGAGGCTAGGGGCCGGCGGACGAGGACAATGAGCCGGAGGACCACAGTGAATGAATGTTTGCCACATTCAAGGGCACTGTTGTGGGGGATGCAAGAAAAGATGATATTCTTCAGAGCTAGCTAATGGCTATACATGATATGAAGGCGGCTAGGGCACCGTCCTATGATAAATCAATTCATCCATCCTAACTATAAATTGTAGAGACAAGAGGTATTACAGAAGCACTTTCATATCATTGGCTTGCCTATTTACATTGATATGCCCATTTACATTGATATCGCAACTTATGCATATGCTACTCGGATGCAACGGTAGTGTCACCCCTAAGGACTTTTCTTTCTCGAACCATATGCCAAGAAAACATCAAATTTGGGGAAAAAGCCAGAAGAACTGGATATGATATCGTGCTAGGTATTTGTATGGTTATCTACGCGTGATCTACGTTGCTTGAAGCTTCCTGCATACTAACTAGTGCACACCACTGAACTGTTGAAAGCAGGATTTCCAGGCAACAAACAGTGAAAACTTTCCATGTTCCTACCTTGCTCCTGGTTAACGCAGTGCACTTCCAGACCAATTCCCACCTCTTCCATAATCTCCGGTGTAAAAGTTAACCTGAGATGCCATCAATATAGGGCCCTCGACGACATCTTTGTCGACTAGGGAGGAACATATAATGAGGACACTCCTAAATTTATAAACTGGCCCGTCGAGTGAAAGGTGAGCTTCAATCCGATTTGGCAAGAGAGTCCGGACAAGACCTGGTCTTCAAGCCTAATGCGTATTCAGCTGGTAACAGATCAAAGAAAAGGTAGAACATATTTTGCGCTATACATTTACAAAAAAAAAAAAAAAAGAAGAAGAAGAAGAAAAAGAAAAATGCATGGCTTCCTAAATTTGTGCTCAAATTTGCAGAAAATACTAAAATACAATTTCTTTTTCTTTTCTTTTCTTTTCCCCTTCAGAGATCCCTCCTAGAGTCGTCGTCGCCCTCGACGACATCATTGAAATTGTTAAGAAAAACCCAGGATGAGGGAAATAATATAAATAAATCCTCGTTTTTCCAGACATCAGGGAAGATGATGTTGGTAGATTTCTCATAGAAGCACCGACGGCAGATGTTCATGGCTTACGCAGCTTGATTCATACAAGGTACGCGAATATGGGACATAGGGTTAATGCGTGTTTGGGAGTCAATGGGCGTGAAAAAAATAAAAATAAGTATGAATAAAGGTAAATTAATCTTGCATATACATAGAAGCAAAATCGAATCTCTCTGTATGTTGTACTCCGTACTGCTGTACTGAAATCACTGTCGTGCATGGACCATGCTCAAGTGCCCAAGGATGAGTTGCGCCTTGTCTGGGCCACTTATCACCTAGTGAACTTCGAGTACGTTGTACACTCTCGTCAGCGCTCCTTTTTTTAATATAAAACGCCCTCTCCACCTCTGAGAGCCACATCCGGCCGAACCCTTATTAGAAAGTGGCGCATGATGAATGGAAGGTTGTTATTATGCCTCTTCCGCATATCCCGACACATCGCCAAGATCATTTTGGGAAGGTGGGCTATTTGTGTCTGCCTCCTGTTTACTAGTACGCGGTACTTCATACGAGTGTTAGAGATTACAACAATCCGCTAGACACCATTGGATGCGTAAAGGGCAAAGTGGGAACATAAACTTAGATAAATGGGGGAGAGGGGAATCGTTGAGAGATGACGGATACTACGCGGGTTCTTATGAATGAATCATTACTTTGGTTGACTTGACATTAACTTGAATTTTTAATTCTCAAAGATCTTGGTTTTTAAATATGTTTGTAATAAAAGGTTCTCGTCTTCCCAGGGGACATGGCATCTGACAACGGCTGTTTTACCGAGACCAGTCGATATTAGATATGGAGTACGAAATAGATTCCTAGAAGCTAATGATGATGTTTGACTGTAGCCTAAATTGTGATATACCTGCTGTGATACGTGCGCTCAGACCATTGCAAGGGAGTTGGAGAATTGTCGTTGTCCAAGTAGCCAAATGACCCATAGCGAGTCCACAAGTGGCATATGATAGCTCGGGGTTTGTATCCCCGCTTTGTCAGCAGGGGTCCACGGAGAATGTTGAGCAGAGTATGGAGTACTATTCAGGTACTAAAATCTTATATAAATGAACGTTTCCATAATTATCCAAGGATGGTAATCGCCGCGAACCATAGAAATAGATCAAAAGATCAATAGTGCGAAAAGGTTCCGAACATAAGCCACAGGGGGGACCTTAGTGTGGAAATGAAAGTCTCCACGCTGGTAGATGGGAAATCATCTGCCGGATCGTCTCTATGGAGTTAAGCATAAATTCCGGTCATATATAAGCCGTAAGCTGAATACGGAGTACTTACGTACTGTATACACCGTATGCCGAGAAACCAGGCAGCAGTTTGACAGGACTTGTGGCTGAATGATGACATCCGTTTTCTGATTCGAAGAGGAGAGAAATGATGGTGGAACTGAGTGGAGATCAAAATCTTCTCTTTTTTTCCCTTGGAGTCGGATATCGGGTGTAAAATCTCCGATCGGACATTTTGTTAAGGTCGGAGGTCTACAATCAAATCAATAAATAGGTCAACAAAATCAACAAAAAATAGAATGTTACGCCTCTACTTCGTATACTTACCCTCTAAAAGGTTAAAACACGTAAGCATATAAGAAAAGCCGCGTGGGCCAAAAAGTGGCGGGTGCAATAGTAAATTAGGGTATCCATGCCGCTAAGCAGGAACGGTGCTTATAGCGAAGTTATGCTACTGGTCAATACCTGCCTCGTCCCATCGTAGTAAGCGTGCCACGAGGCCCTGCTGTGCTAGTGGAAACAAGAAGGGCAAAAGAGAATTTAAAACAGGGTCCTGTCCTTCTAAGAACGTAAACACAACACAAAGCGACGAGTACTACGGAGTAGGTCCTGACGAATCAAGCTTGTGGCGTAAGCTCCAAGGGCGAGTAAGAGTACTGACTCGAACGCTAAATCCTTAGTCGAGACAAGCACGGAAGCGTATTTGTTGGAGCAGGGACTAGACAGTCCCGAACTACCGTAAATATACGTCTACCGTGGAATATACGTAGGCTGCATACGTATGCCCCGTCAAAGATCGAGTATAGGCAAATCAACGCTCGGTTACGAAAGCCCTAAACGGTCCGCGTCCTCAGTCCACGAAGTTAGTACTAGATCTTTCCTAGATTAGTTCCAGCAGATCGGAAAGTTGAAGCTTAGCTTGATCGTCGGTGCCGTGTGTGTGGAGGGGAAATATGTAAAGGAAAAACGCAGTTTTGATGGACCGGATAGAGTATGTACTTCGTACAATGACTCCGCAAAAATGTTAACACCTTTTCTGCTACCGCCTTCTTAATTTGACATAGACCACCCATTTTACCCCTTGGTTTTTATTATTGGATATTTAACCAGCAGAACGTGGGGTGTTTTAACTATACACTGTTGACTCACAATAATTAAGGATTGCCTCTGCTACTCCGTTTATAGATTTACGTATATAAACCCCTGAAACAAGTCTGCTTTGTATACGTTACAGAGTACGCGTGCTATAACGTAGAGGGAAAGTCAGCCCTGGAGAGTCCCCGCGAAGGAGCGGGGCGGATGGATACGAATACGAATAGTTGCACGGGCCAAATCCCTTTCAACCCCTGGCCCTACGGAGTAGGTACCCGTGTAAATCTTTCGGAATGTTGACACAGACAGAGATAGATGATCTTGATTAGGTTAATTGGGTTTATATACTCAAATCGTCGGGGCAATTGCTTTTATAAACTCTGTACAAAACAGATGTCCATGAATATATTATATACTGTATCTATGCAAATTTTCCGGGAGAAGGATTATCCAGATGTCGGAGAAAACAAAAGAATTTCGGTGCAAACTGCTCTTTTAAGAAAACCAAAAAAATAAAGTCCGACAAGCAACGTTATAACTAGTGAAAGGGAGATAGATTATCAAAGCGTGGAAGCGTTAGATTTCCAGTGCCGATTTTTGTGTCTTACCTTTTTTTAATTTCTTTTTCGTAGGGCGAGATCGCTCGACAGTAATAAAATAAAGAATTTATATACATATAAAAAAGACTAAAACAGAGCTATAATTCGTAGGGAGCTAAGACATCAATCAACCAATCAACATATGGATTCCCAAATTGAAGTCAACCTTATACCCGCTCTAGAATGTCCAAGCCGGAAGCCGGAGGTGAGTTCCAAAACAGGCCAAGGTACTAACATCATCACTTACGTATGTTCTTGGATTTCACCAGGTAGAGAAGTTGTCCTGTGAGTACTCTGTAGTGAACAGTATGAACACGTACATCGGGGATAATGTGGACAGGGCTAAAAGCTTGTCCATCCCTGTTATATATTTTTTTGTTAAGTAAGTCTCTAAAATAAATGAAATGTATTAAACCTGTACTATCCGTAAACGAAATCCAGTAAACTTGCTCAGGGTCCAATGGTCTCAAGATTATCCGTAGTTCTGCCGATATGTGGTGGATCTTTTTGCTGTTCTCGGCCCAACAGAAACCCTAGGCCGCATGACAAGCCTAGTCGGAATTAACACTTCTATACAGACACGCCCTATTATGTTTAGAAATGACAATAAATCTATAAAAGGAATAAAGAGCAATTCAAACAATGTGATCTGAGAAAGAAAGAAAAAAAGTCATAGACCACTGGAGTCGCGGGCGGGCCGGAAGAAACGGAGAAGATAAACGGGTCTGCACAGGGTGGATTAGGGGTCTTGGTATTGTATTTTAGTTGTCTTATGTATTTTGTTTTTTTGTGCCTTTTGTGTATTTTGTGTCTGTATATTCCTTTTTTTTTCTTCTTTTTTTTTTTGGAGATTTCTCCACCGAACTAAATAGCGTGCTTGGGTTTGGAAGTGTATCCTCTCTGGGGGAGCCTCGACAGACCCTGGAGCTTGGCTTCTTTCGCTCTTTCGCTCTTTCTAGTATATTATTAGTTAAATGACCATGGTTGGCTGCTTGTCACCTTTTTTTTTCTTTTCTTTTCCCTTCTCACTACTTCCTGATCTATATTCCTTTATTGGATTACCTCTTAAACTATTTGGATTTCCCGATTAACTACCTAACTCTCGCATCTTATCTCGTATTTGACTTCTCAATTCCACTTCGACCTCTATCACGGACACGCGCAGAGCGCATTTAGTTTCTACTTATTTCCAGACGGCCTAGCATTTCTCTGGAAGAACTGTTACCTTGCGCGGTTAGACAACCGGCGTTGAACTTCGACTTTCTGCAACATCCCCAGGCCAGTTTTCAACTGCCGTTGAGGATTGTGTTCCCCACATCTAATTGCAAAATTAGAAAGGGAAGAAAAGGAAAACACAGAGAAAGAGACGAAAATAAAAAAGCAAGACGACCTGAGCCTCGGAACAAATTTCACTTGCGAAAGAAGCAGATTTGTCAGACCTCAGCTTGCCCTATCGTTGTCAAGTCGTCGTATCTCCAGTATTCAACAGCCTTCGAGATACTTCCTCGTCACTTCCAAAGGACACCCGGAGCCCGGCACAAGCTCGAGTCATCAGGCCTCTGCGCAAATCTGCAGGCAAGTGCCGATTTAGGGTCTAATGGTGTCGACGTGTTACACGACGCAGAGGACACACATCTTTCAAGAGCCGCTGGTGCGTTTGTCGTGTGTTCCGGGGGGGCAAGAATTGAGCGAGATGTTCTTTCTCTTCTTCAACCTCCCCTTTCGTCCCTTGTCTCAGATCGGTGATCTCTTGAGTCCTTACGAGTACCCAGAGCCCGACTGAGCCGGTTACCAACAGGTTAAACTGACTTACATTCTGCCTTTTAGTACAGTTTTCCAGCCCCGGTGACCGCACATCGGGGCCTTGAGGAGATGTCCAGCTGTAGGACGAGTATTGTGTCCATTCTGAATAACGATGATAACCCATCTTTTGCGGTCCGCTCCGCTGCCCGATTTACTCGGACTCACACATCCCCATCACATTATCCACATTCAGAGCGACTACTACCCCCGCCCGCCAGCGACCCGCAGTACACCCGTCCCCCAGCTTCATCCGAATCGCCAGCAACATCACCACGAGGGACGAGGCATCATTCAGACGCGTTGACCGAACCCGTCCAGCCCGTTTCACCTGGGTCATCCGACGGCTCCGCTCACGACTACTTCACCAGTCAACGATCAGCTTATCACCCGTATGCCCGGCAGGATCCGCGACGGGAACCATACCAATTCCCAGCCTGTGGGCCAGCAGCTCCCCGAACGTCGCCTGAGACTCGTTCGAGCACATCCGAAACGGCGTCTTCTCAGACCGGGGGACGCGCGGCACGGGTCGAAAGAACAAGTACCCGTGTCCCTATGCCGCGAGTCATGGGTGTTCTTCAACGTTTACGACTTCGGGCCATGCGGCGCGTCACGGCAAAAAGCACACTGGCGAAAAGAGTGTGCACTGTCCAATCTGTAATAAAGCCTTTACGAGAAAAGACAATATGAAACAGCACATTCGGACTCACCGCACGCACTCGGACGAGATGCGCTCTACTTTAGAACCAGAGACTGATGCTCGGTGGGCGATGGCTCGTCCCGGCTCGGCATACGCCTCGGCTTCCCACCAGCGCAACATCAGTCAGCCCATGGAGGAAGTTGTTCAGTCTCTCCCAGGGACTGCTCCGCCAGCACCCTAAGGGAACGCAGTGCGGTTTTCCCCGACTGTCCACCCTATTTGCTGTTTTATTATTACGACTTCCTTCTTCTGTTGGTGCTCTGTGCCTGGCCACTGCTGTGCGGTGCAATTTGATTCTGTCAATTTAGTCCTCTTTCTTTTTGGTTGGTCCATTCTGGGTTCTGTTCTCAACATGTGATTTTCTTTTCTTTTCTTTTCGTTTTTTTTTCCATACTCGGCGATCATTTCCATGACTGCATGTTTCGGAACAAGAAGACGTCTAGGCCTACCATACGTGTTACTATTTGTCTTTATTAGTTCCCTGTTTTATATCCCTCGTGTACCATGTGATTCTGTTATGTGTGATGGTTGAATTTGTGGGAGATGTGTTCTAGGAGAGCCAAATACTGTCCAGCGTCCCTTCAGGGATTCCCATGAGAAATCATGTGCAACCAGTTCTGCACCCAACGACATCCAGAGCATCGTGTTGGTGGGATCGTAAGCCACTGGGAACCCCCGAAGGCGACCCGTGGAACCATTGTTTACGTTCCATAAATCTTAATCCCCGATGTTTTTATATCCTGTATACTGTATACTGTATTTTGTATATTAGTTGTAGTAGGATATATCTTTTTAAAAGAAATAATGATCTAATTGTCTGCATTTATATATATTATAGGGCTGGAACGTCCAAAATTCCCTGATACTCAAGATGCAGGATGACGTTGGGGTACTATCTGAAATCTGATACACGACATCAGTCCAGATGCTCATTCGATGGGGTATATCCGCTTTTGAATCATTCCTTTGCTGTTCTTTTATACGTCATTGGCGTAATCTTGATTTGCAAGTACTACCTAGGTAGATATATATACAGTCTGAGAAAGAATCGACCTTTTTTTGGCCTTGAACTTCGAACTTTTCTTCTACTAGTTATAACTAGTTATGTATTATCTCCATGAAGACAATCTACAACTCTCAGCCACTGCCAAGTCATCTGAATCCACATCGACGTCACGCCACCTTCAGCCCCTGCCCCGCCATACATCTCAGATCAACTTCTTTTTTTCATCCCATATTCTCCCAGTGAGCGGTAGTAGCTCACAACCTTCGACCTTTTATCTTTGAATTTGTCTCCCCTTCACTTTCGCCTCAACCATGGCGTACTACGAGGATCGTCGTTATCGCGAGCCGCGCGACCGCTACACACGTCCAGCGAGTTATATCGATCCGTATGATGATCCTCGTGGCCGTTACCGAAGACACGAGCGAGACTCATATGTACCACATGCCAGCAACGACTCGATCGAGGAGGTTCATCGCGACTACCCACCAGGCTCAGACTATGCCTACGACCGCCCGTATGACTCTCGACGGCCGCGACGACCCGTCTACGAAAATGTGCGCCGTGCCTCCTCCGTCAGCGGTTACGATCCATACAACGATGCTGCTTACCGAAGCTCTGGTCCTCGTCGGTCCAGACACCACGAGGAGAAACGTGAGTGATACAGAGCTGTTGTGGTTGAAAGTAATTCTAATATCTCTCAGGCTCCCGTCGCTCCAAATACGATTCCGATTCTTCACCAAGTCGCTCGTCGCCCCGCCACAGACGTCGCAAGTCGTTCAGCGACCAAGCCCTGGGTGTCCTAGGCCTCGGGGGTTCCACTGCTTCTGATAGCCGGGGGGACCGTGGTCGTGGTCGTGGTCGTTCCCCGTCCCGCCATCGCAATAGATCATATTCCAGGTCATCGTCAGATTCGCGCAGTCGCAGCCGCCATCGCGGCGGCAGCAAACGTGATGGAGGCAGCAAACGCGACAGCAAACGCGATAAGAGTGAGCAGCGCATCGTACAGGCTGCTCGGGCCGCCTTGACAGCCGGCGCATTTGAGGCTTTCAAACAGCGCAAAGAGCCCGGCGAATGGACCGGTAAGAAAGGAAAGCGCATCCTCACTGCTGCTGTGGCTGCTGGTGGCACTGATGGTCTTGTCGACAAAGACCCCAGCAAGCATGGGACACGTCATGTTGTCGAGTCCACGCTTGCAGGTCTGGCTGCCAGTCACTTCATGGGTGGCGGTTCACGCTCGGAATCTCGTGGCCGAGATGGTGGTCGCTCGTCAGGTAGTGGTGGTGGCCTCAAGAACCTTGCTGCCACTGGAGCCATTGCTGCTGCCGGAAAGGAAATCTTTGATCGATACTCAAAATCTCGATCTCGGCCTCGCGGCCGCGACCATTCCCGTGATAGCGATGAGGAAGAGCGTGGCTCTCACAAGCGCAGCAAGAGTGTTTCGGAGTACATCAGCAAGGGCATGGCTGCCCTGGGACTTGGAGAACAAGAAGAAGACAGTCGCCGCGACAGCAGGGACGATCGCAATGAGCATCATCGGGAGCATCGTCGGGAGCATCGGGACGATCGAGAGAGACGTCATCACCGGGGACACCGACACGACGACTATTCGGGTTCAGATGCGGAGAGCGATTATTACAACAGGGACCGGAGACGGGACAAAGGTTCGAGAGATGTAGGTCGATACCGTTCATTGGACGGAACAAACCCACCCCCATATGCACCCACCCGCGCATCGCGCGGTGAATCCGGCGCCGGTTCTAAGGACCGTGGCCACGGGTCAACTTCCGAGAGTGATTCTGACCTAGGTTCCAGTTCTGATGAAAAGAAGCAACGCAAAAAGCTGAAGCGGGACATGCTGATTACGGGAGGTCTGGCCAGTGTGGCTACCATCCACGCTGCGCACAGTATCTACGGGAGCATGGAGAAGAGGAAAGAGCGAATGCAGCAGTTGCACGAGGGAGAGATTACGCCTGAAGAAGCTCACAAACGACGAATGAAAGCCAACACCAAGGACGCTGTGAGTATCGGTCTCGCTGCGCTCGGTATCAAGGGTGCCTATGGTGAATGGAAGGAGGTTATGGAGAAGCGAAAGGAAAATTCTACTTTCCAGGAGGAATGTCTTCAACGCGCTGCTAGGCGTGAGCGTCGTCGTGCTCGTAGCCAGGGTCCGCTTTCTCGTCATCGCTGGCCTGATGAGATTGAATATGCAGAGTCGACCAGCGAATCCCGGAGTGATAATACCCTTGTTTATCGTGATGGGAATCCTCATGGGGCTCGGGAGCCAGCGCAGATCTCTTACTAGGGTTGTTATTTTTTTTTTTTTTTGAGCCATTATGACCTTTACTCTTTTCATGACTTATGAGACCATGTTTATTTTATTTTGACCCTTTTATTTTCTACTTTTTGCTGCTTGACGAATCTCTTACATCAATATACACGTGACTTTAGAAATGGTACTTACCTATATAGGTATAGTACTGTCGTAAAGTTTAACTTACAGCTACTAAGCCTATATAGGTACCTAGGTAGGTATCATAATGATGTCCTCCGTACGTAGATAATTGAAGAAAATGAACTACGGATAGTCGAGAACCTGAATACCTGAATCTTGAGACTCTAATATCATCATGGATGTTCTACGTGAATCAATGGAATCCCTCAAAACGGAACCAGAAGCGATCCGAATCCTGAAAAAAAGGAAGTAAGATACTAACCGGCCCCACCTTTTTTCCAAGCAAAAAAAGGGACCCTCGCAAGCGAGGGTCTGACACCCAAACACAAAACCACCCCCAAATGCAATGGTATCTTTTACTAGGCGAGCCATATAAAAGGTACATACATAAATGCTGGTTTTTAGTACTATAAAAGTCTTTGAAAGCTTACTATAACCTAGCATATAAAACAATCAGCTCTATTTAAATACTATATTTGATTTTCAGCCTAGGTTTTATGGAGCCCTCTTAAAGTATTACGATTTGCAGTTTTGGCATACTGTTGAGCAACCTGTTACTATATGGGGAGAAAGCAGAGGAAGAATTATTAATTGATTAAACTAGAAATGAAGGGGGTTATATACCCTGCTAAAACCATCTAAACTCTGCTCGATTATAGTAAACAAGCTAACAAATAGTAAATAACGAACAAATAGGGCTTAGTCTATAGTTAGCAAACATATATACGTGTGTAACTAGGAGATTGTTCAACAAATACCATATTAATTTTTTTTTAACACCGGGCTCTTTATACTCCTAAGTCTTACTTGATTTCTTACTATCTTACTATCCTACTAACCGAATCTGAACTGAATCTGAACTGAATCTGAACTGAATCTGAATTGAATCTGAATTGAATCTGAATTGAAGCTAATGGGCTCCTTCTTTGTACAAAACTGGAACGCTACTTTGATGCTGGCAAATTCGTTATAGTTCCAGACATTCCGAGTTTTCAGGGCAAGGCCCTAGTATCTGCTGTTAAGTACTGGCTCGAGGGTGAGCCCCGGGAGTTCCGCGTTAGACTGATCGACACGGATTGGGAGAAAATTGACGAGCGCCTATGTATATCTAAGGTTCTAACATTTAGACAGCTAGACGGCCGTCAACTGAAGTTCCGTACGGACTTCCGACCCGCAGCACGATACCTATACTTCCATTACTGTGTGCAGATGCTACGAATGTGCTGGCAACATAGTAGCCGCGGTAAGTCCAGCCAAGCCGCCGCAATTCTACAAGCGGAAAGGGGGAAGCCGTTCTGGGGGACTGCTGGAAGATATCTCCCGCGAAACATGCTCTTGGCCCTCGTGGAGGATATGGGCCATGAATATAAGTCCGTTATGAATGGGGCTGCGGGAAGTCGGGCGGATGACGATAAACTTCTACTAGCCCTGCTTTCGAAAGGCGTCAAGGCTCGACCATCTATTCTGGCGCCGGGGATTTTTGATGGTACTCGTTCGGAGGAAGACGTGTCTGAGATTGACTATGATGGCGATGATGACGATGAGGATGAGTGGAGTGAGTAGGACTTTATTCATGAATAGCGGTGGATCTATGTATTATTATCACCCGTATCACAATCGATTGGAAATTACCATATTGCATGTGTATTGTTGTATATTCTTTAATGTTTCCGGGTTTATAGTTACATGAGGGCACTTTGCTCTGCATCTAGATGGAGAGTAGTATAGGAGAGAAGAAGATAGAGGAGTCACCAATTCATGAAATTAGAAAATAGAAAAGATACCCGAACACACGCAATGCTTCTAGCCGAAATAATGTTTATAGCATGGCCCCACGCCTTAAGAGACCGATGTTTGTAGTAGCACTTCCTGTCTTGGTCTCCAAACGGTCAACAAAATGTTCCCACGATGCCTGAGATACAATAGGCGCAGTACAGTAGGGCCCAGCACCAGTAGCATCCAACAGCTCATTTAACCGAGGTAAAACAGCGCTGATTCTTTCAGCTTCCATCTGGAAGATTTGCTCTCGGGTTACACTGGCATGCTGAACAAACCAACTTAGGTCCTGTATCATAACCCAAATCTCAAACAGGATCACTAAGTCAGGATGAACTCCAGCCTCTATAGCCGCTTCATAGGCTATGCGGTATCCTATGGCCTCAACAAATCCCTGGGATTTTGGCAAAATCAAGCGGTCATAATCTTCTCCGCGGTGACCTCCTGAAATGGTGCTGGTGATCCCGCGAAGCTCATCAAGTAGTCCTTGTTCGTACTTTGCTAAAAAGGACATTGGGTGCTTTGCAGGCGGCATTTCGTATCGATTTAGCAGGAGCTCCGATGTCAATCCTAAAATTGAACGTCGTTAATACATAAAGTAAAGATGACATGAAAGGAAGGAGCTCCCATACGAATACTCAACACTAGGGTATCTCCCTCGGCGATCGACATCCCACGCGTTTCCAACATCGACTCAATAATATGATTGTTCTCGTACAAGCCCTGCGCTCCACATCGCTCCGACAGAGTGAAGAGACTGGCTTGAGATGTTTTGTACAAAACAGCCTTCGCCATAGCCCCAATTGCATGTCGGACCGGGGCTGCCAGATTGGAATCTTGGAAATACTGAATATTCTTCTGAGTATATGCGTCGAGAACGGAGATTTGGGCCAATGCGTGAAGGATGGGACCGTATTGAGTTCGGAAAGAGATGATGGGCTTGGGTTTCTGGTCTGGCCCCAATATATGTCGGCGCTGGCTATACTTCCCTGCGACGAAAACACTCCGTTTCATCGCTGTAATCATGGTTAGTGGCAATACGAGAGTACCAACTCCAATGCGCCAGATGCATGATAGGAACTGCTTACGCGTGTCTTTTGGCTTATCCAGAGCCCCTAATAGGGCTGAATGGGGCAGTCGGACATGGTTAAAGCTGGTAATGGCATGATCCACCGGTTTTGATGCTGCTCGCCTAGGGAGTAACCTAGAACAAGGATGGATATGTAGGTAAGTATCTTATGAATCTGGGTATTTATTTGTCACACGTACTTTGCAGTCACACCTTCACACATCTGCTTCCCATCGCTGAGCCAAGTAATAAAGGGTCTGATGCCACGGCTTTCGCCAGAAACAATAAGCTGGGCAAAGACAATCGCAACTCGCGGGAAACCCTTTACCGGGGAAGATGGTGGCATGATCCTGAAATTGTCAACATAATATCACAACATGGGAAGTATATTATATCTTACTTCGCTCCACTGAGGCCAGGGGTGTTTAGATCGAACTCTCCATTTGGAAGCATTGTTGCCGTTGTTTCTAGATTCTTTGCATCCAAACCGTGCCCGACCTCAGTTAGCATATACTGTGCCCTAGTCACCGAGTTAGTAGTATTGATATATTAGTACCTCTATACTAACGAAATCTCAAACTTCAACATCTGATCCAACAGTTTTCGGTACTGCGGTTGGCTCTCTGCAAAGGGGGCCAAGGTTCCTGCCGCAAGATTGATTTGAATGGTCATCAACGTAAATGTAGCGACATCTGCAGCTCCAATAGGATCCAGATGAAATTCCCAGAATCTTGGGCTGCAGCTAAGAATATCTACCGCTGTCATCCCTGGATTGGTGGGTTAGATAACGTCACTAGGATTTAATATTGGGAGGTGTATTTCAACCGTAAGCTTTGGTAATAGCAGCAGCGCGCTGGTAAGTGATATAGATTCTCTCATTGTCGGTAGCGCCTTCTGGGGGAGCCTTGAATAAGGGTAGATGGAGCAATTCGAGGGATGGGAAAGACATTGTTCAGTGAGACACCTGTAATGCAAAAAGTCCAAATTATAGACTGAAATGAACAGCGGAGGGTGACAAGGTCGTCTATAGCATATATCATGAACAATTGGACGAGATAGTCTGCTTTATAAACGAAGACGAATTAGCCAAAGCCGGGTATTGTTAGCTAAGTGATTATATGTTTGGTACTCTGACATTGGACATAAAATTGGGATAGATTGGCGATGATGTGGCTTTCCATAAATGGTTTACACCACCTTGGTCAATGCAGCTGTTTGACTTGGGGGTGGTGGTGACGTGGCCCTGTGTAAAGGGCCACGTCGATCAATGCAGCTGTTTGCTTATGGGGCCCAGATTAGTGATGTGGCTAGCTAGAAGATCTTTCTCTGGCGAGTATCTCCTCTTGTCGACCTTCCTATAAAAGAAAGAACCTCTACACATTAGGTCCTATAACCCCTCCTCGAAAGTGGTCTAGAAAATAGCTAACTATAGTGTGCAAGGAGAGTGTTATAACGGGAAATCACGTATTCAACAAGCTCCTGTAAGATAAACCAGTTTCTTGGTGAGAGAGTATAAAATACTTCAACCCGGCTATCCCCTCGTTGTTGTTACACGGAAGGCTTTATATACGCATGGTGTATTACAATAGGCTTGTGCGACATGCATACCTCTATAGACGTATTATCTATACGAGCAGGCTTTGTTATTATGTGATCTACATATACATATTCCTGTTATGGAGTGGACAACAGAATGTGACCCCAAGGTTTCGGCTATGATGCAGTATTACATGCGATATAATAGCAAAAGGCATGCTGCAGATTCTGAATGCTATGTGCCACTTATGGAATTGGTACGCAATGATGAGGTTGCGATATTTGTCTCTTCAATCGAGGGATTATAGATATAAATGCTATGGATGTACAACCACGTATATTTGAACTGATTTTTCACTACGTCGACAGACAGCAACCGGTTTGCATCTCCAATCTCTACCGGACACATGGCTTCACAGACGATGGCAAAGTTTGCACATGTTCTGCAAGATGCGAAGCATATAACTGAACGCATACAAGATGCACCAAAAATATCTATTGAAAACTTCATCGGATATATCTCTGTACCAGTTGGACTGGCCGGCCCTCTGTCGATCAAAAGCCCCGATGGAACCAGTACGCCAATCTATGCTCCAATTGCTACCACCGAGGCTGCCATCATTGCAAGCTGCAGCAGAGGCTGTAAGGTTCTAAATGAATCTGGTGGAGGGCAGTTTCACGTTTTGAGTGAAGCAATGTCTCGAAGTCCAGTGTTTAGATTTGACTGTACCCAGCAAGCGATCGATTTTGCCCGTCGCGTGCCAGATCTCTGGGATCCTATCGTCAAGGCTGCAGAGTCCACAAGCCGCCATGCTTGTCTTGTGAAATTGACACCAAACATTGTGGGCTCAAACGTACATGTGCGGTTTGACTACACATGTGGAGACGCGACAGGGCAGAATATGGTCACGATTGCTACTCAGCGTGCGTGCGATTGGCTTCTTGCTTCAACTCAGGATCTGGAGTTGAATATCAAGAGCATCCTGATTGAAGGGAACATGGCACCGGACAAAAAGCCATCTTGGGGAACTGTCAGCTCACCTAGAGGCGTTGAGGTTGTCGCATGGACCTCCATTTCTGATACGATATGCCGTGCCGTTCTCAAGTGCACGGCGGAGAGCATATACCATGTGTTCCGCACAACACAAGAGGGAGGGATCCGGAACGGTCAGTTCGGCTCCAATATAAACGTGGCCAACATCATAACAGGAATCTTTATCGCGACTGGTCAGGATGTCGCAGCGGTTGCTGAAGGGCCCTGGGGCCATTTGACCCCGGAGTATGACCATGAGTCTCGCCAGCTGAAATTGACTCTTTATTTCCCATCTCTACCGGTTGGCACTGTTGGAGGTGGAACCGCTTATGAAACGCAGCGAGAAGCCCTAGGGATTTTGGGATGTGCTGGTCCTGGTATGAAATCCCGTTTGGCGGGTCTAATTGCTGTCTTTTCTCTTGCCCTTGAAGTTAGTACTGCAGCCGCTGCCGCAAACAACACCTTCAGCAAAAGCCATGAGCTGCTAGCACGTGGAAAGCAAGGAAATGAGAAGACAAGCAAGATTTGAGTAGCAAGCTACCTAGGTACTTGGCCAACAACACAATTATCAGGAGAGTTATTTCGGTACCAACCTAGCTTTATTTTACAGTGTAGTAACGCTATACACGCGATAACTAAGGAATCAATATTATTTGCAAACTCTGTGTCATCCCGCATTTACTAACTAGTCCACAGCACAACTATACAGTATGGGCTAGTAGATACTCCCCACGTATATAAATAACACGCTATCGAATCCAGATATGCTTTTGCGCAATATCTATATTGCCAGTTATATCAATGTTCATTTGCTCCGACCCCGCCTCGTTGTCAGTCTCCACGGACGTTTCTTTGGAATGTGACGGGGAGAGCGCCGCTGCTCTTCTCAACATCCACACGAGGAGCTGCTCCAGATGAGTCCGACGGCCCGCGGCGGCAAATTCTGTCCACTAATAGACATATGAGTTCAGGTCTTGGCTGATATGGCTTAAGCTTACCTTTGACTCGTGGCTGATCTTGAGGAAATGCCAACTGTAGCCAGTGTAGGCCATTCCATAGACGCCGCGGTACGAAGACGTATCGGGGCCCGGGGTTAAAACCCCTTTTTGGGAGGGTGTTGATGCCTGGATACCTGAATTAGTACCGCTTTATACACCGCCCTAATACAGTATACTATAAATTCTTAATACATCAACCTGCCTACACAGTCATGTTGTAGTTATACGCCTTTGGCCATCATGTCAAATTGCAAGGTTGCATACATGGGATGATACAGATTATGTAATCTAGCTTAGTCATAACCGCACAGAAACAGCAGTTTCTATTATGTAGAAAATGCAGAGTTCTCCATATCAGCCCTGAGGTGCATACATTTCAATACGTCAGATTTCTGTCACATCATACAAATCAAGGTATCTCTATAGGGACTTCTAATCTGAATTGAATCTGAACTGAATCTGAACTGAATCTGAACTGAATCTGAACTGAATCTGAACTGAATCTGAACTGAATCTGAACTGAATCTGAACTGAATCTGAACTGAATCTGAACTGAATCTGAACTGAATCTGAACTGAATCTGAGGTAAATCCGAATTGAATGTATATTTCATGGAAGGAGATACCTGATTTGTATGGAGGTCAAAAGCTTCATTTTTTGGACTTGCAACCGTCAGCAGAATCAGGGTACTTGGATTACTAAGGCGCATGTAATAGTAATTCAGGTATTTTAATTTTCTGCCGTTTTAAATTAAGGCATTCAGGCATAAACCCCTTCCAAACGGGGTTTCGACTCCGGGCCCCTATACGTCTTCGTACGCCGCAGTTGCGTTTCCCCTCATATTTCCGGGCTCGATGGATGCAACCTTTCATACCAATTAGCTTTTCTAGACAAAAGGTGTACAAAATAAATAGCAAGATACGTACCTATATACGCGAGCAGTTGGGGGATAGGGTTCGTCCCTCTGATCTGCCCCTTCGCCTCAACGATCAGAACGTTGAGGCACAAAGACTCGCTCTCTCCATACCAGACACTATAGTCTGGGCGACCTGACAGAACAACCTTCTGGCGGTTGAGAGTCACAGGACCGAATTTGTAACCCCGTTCGCACTGCACGTTCAACGGCTGTGCATTCCTGATTGTGGATGTTGCAGTCTCGTAGGCATTGATAATGACCGAGTCCACGATCCATCGCGCACTGGCCTCATTGATTCTAGAGTGGCCAAAAGTCCTTTCAATGAGACCCAGTGTGCTCACTATATTCAATTTGCTACATGTCCCTTCTAATCCATGTCTTGGATTGCGTACCCAGGCGAGGAGGAAGGGGGAGCGGCTGCACATCTTTCATCTCCGTGTCTTTCGAATCAAATTCAAGCCTGAGGCATTTTTCCACCTCTTTTAGACTCAAGTCCGAGATCGGGACGGTCTTGTATTGTTTGCTCTGTGCATTCAGTTCATCAGTTGCTTCTTTAAGCTGATGTCGGTCGATTAAGTTGTCAAGGAACTTAAGCACTTTGGTCTTGAGCTTGTGAAAGAGCTTGTGGTTTTGTTTGGCCACGATCTCTGTGGCATCGGTGCTCTCGTTGGTGACACTCTCCACACTCCGCACCTCGTCCATGTTTTCTCTCTGCTGGCTCATTCGGTCAAGAGTGTGCCGGATAGAAGTTGGCTGAAAAGATGATGGGAGAAACGGTATTGGATGATGATGGAATGAGATTTACGATGAGAGGGGATTGTGAAGGTTTATCCCTGGCCGTTCACCAAAAAGGGAAAGAAGGTTTCCACACATCAGCCTTTTGGGAAGCGGCGGGTGATGCACTGCGCCAAGGAACCGCCAGGTACAGTGAGGTTTAAAAAGTATTTGACCTCAGGTACTTCCAAGGTTGAACTTCAGAGTCATCTGTTTACTGCCCAAATGATATTTAGAAACATATTGAAAAAGATAGTTAGAAAGTCAGAAAAAGGGCAGGTAGGAGGACAGCTAGAAAGACAGCTAGAAAGACGAGTATTAGGAATCAAAATGAGAAATCTGAAAAATCTACCTTGAAAAATCTATCTTGAAAATGCTGGATTCCAAAGCAAATGGATTTAATGATCGATAATCAGATATTACGCCAATCCATGGTTCGGAGTCCGCACCAATCAAAAGAGACCTATCTCGTGTAAGTAGGTTATATCTATGAGGTTACCTAGGTATAGCTCTGTATAAGTCTGGTTCGGACCAGTATTTTCTGCCGTTCCCAGTCCTTTGAGGATTGGTATTCACAGTAGAATTGAACGTGTAATTTTCGTATGGAGTTTACATACCAGTGGCAGTGGTCACGAACTTATTGACGTCCGTTATCACCCCGAACCCTGCACCCGGGAACCCCTATCCCTACATCCCACCGGTCCACCTTGTTGCGCCGCAGGGTAATGACTACGCGTGCCAGCCGATCCCCTCCCACCATTCATCACCCTGGGGTCCGAAGATATTGATGAAATTCTGTTATCCGGAAGCCTCAGGCAAATACAAGTCTACGGCAATTCCCAAAGAAAATTACTATAGAGGTAGACTTAGATACAGAGGAGATGATAGAGGCATAGGGATTGGGATTGGATGTGGATTTGGATTATTTCCGCCAAGTCTTTCACTTGGAATTCTGTGGGCAGTCTTCAGGTTATTTAGGGGCATTTGGGGTCGCGAGTTGGTGGATGGCAGGGGCGACTGTTGCGGTTGGGCTGTTTCCAATGATTTTCTGTCGTATAGTGCCCCATCCCTTTCGGGTCTAGTGCAGGTCTCCACGTGGGCCGGCAATACCCGGCTTGGCAGAGACATCGCAAAAAGCCATAATTGCCTCTTCGGAATTCAAGGACCTGAGCCCATCACATCTCGCTTTGAAAACAAAGCCAAAACTACCATGGCGATCCTCAAAACCTTCACTCTCCCTACCTCCGCAAAGGAGCTTCTGATTGGGCCGGGCTCAAAATTCTTTATCGCCTTTATCTCCGGATCAGATCCCATCACTAAGCAAGCTTGGTGTCCCGACGTGAGAGCCGCTATGCCATCTATCACCACGGCATTTGCGGGAGATGACACACCGGCACTTGCGATCGTTGAGGTTGGACAAAAACCCGAGTAAGTTCAAGCACGGATGCTGACCCCACATTGTTGATCTTTCTCGGAAGAATGCCGGTGACCGCCAGCATGATCTAAATTCCAGTTGACTAATATGAAAATCCAGGTGGAATAACCCTCAGAATGTCTACCGCACTACTTGGGCCACCAAGAATATTCCTGCTCTTATGCGCTACCAGGAAGTCAACGGAGAAGTGACTGAGACAGGCAGACTCGTAGAGGGTGAGATTCTCAACAAGCAAAAGCTCCAAGACTTCATGGCATAAAGACATTACGACACGTAACTTTTACGGAGACGAATTGACATGTGTGTTTACATTTACATTTGACATCGGTTGCGTGCAGAATCACTAATCGGGGGAGCCTTGAAACTGAGCAAGGTGGATGGATGATTAACGAGAAATGCATTTCATTATCATAACCTTGGAATTACATCTCCCACTAGTTCAAACTTCCCAGTCGCCGGAACTGTATGCGGCTCTAAATCGTCAGCGTTCCCGTGAGGGACAAGTCCCTGCTGTTACGCCCCACAAAGATCTGATAAGTCCCGCGCTGAAGGAGCCATTGCTGCGCATCTGTATCCCATGTGCTCAGGTCTCGGCGAGTCAGATTAAAGGTCACAGTGGCCGACTTCCCAGTCTTGATCAAAACCTTCTCAAAGCCACGCAGTTGGCGGACCGGGCTATTGGGAATGCCAATATAGAGCTGCGCAACTTCCTTTCCGTCAACGCTACCGGTATTTTTCACAGTAGCCGAGACCTTGGCTAGTGTATCAAATAGGCGGGGATTTCCACCCGGAACGATCGGTGCACTGGGAGGATAAGTCGTCGATGAGGCTGATGTCTTCGAGATCTTCAGGTTTGAGTATCCAAATGTTGTGTAAGACAAACCGAAGCCAAACGCATACTGTGGCTCGATGTTGTCCTTGTCAAAAGCGCGATAGTCGATGTAGACACCTTCGGTGAAATCCGACTGAGGGAAATATTGGTACTTCCCTTCGGACTCGGTGGGCTGGAGAAGAGGGCCATAGTCTGACGGTTGCTTCGCAACGGTGTAAGGAAGTTTACCTGAGGGGTTTGCATCTCCGTAAAGAATGTCGACTATAGCACGACCTGTGTCCTGTCCAGGGAGATGGGCAAAGATGACAGCGGTAACATTCACATGATCAACCCAGGATTCGATAGTGCGGATGCCGGCGTTGTGAACCACAACAACAGTGTTGGCACATTTATTTGCGACATTAGTCACAATTGTGTCACTGTGGGTATCAGACAGAGCCTCTCGGTCGACAGCCTCTGTAGCAAAAGCATTAATGAATACCAGACACACATCAGAGACATAGTTGACGACGGGATCTTCCGAAATAAAGTCCCACAGAACGGAAGACCCGTCTTTATATGCTCGACGTTGAAGAGCTTCTATCGGAGAGTCAATGTAGGCAGGTGAATTCGCACCAGATCCACCGGCACTATACAGTGTTCCGTTCTGGTATAGAGCTGATCGCGCTGTTGTGGGGAAGCTGAAAGAGGTGGCAAGAGTATAGGCCAGTGGGCTGTAAGCATCGTATCCGAAGACAGAGACCAACTTTGGGGATCGAAGAGGAAGAGCGTTGTTCTGGTTCTTCACGAGAACGTGTCCCTCAATGGCCGATTGCAAAAGCACTGACTTTGCGGCTTTGGACGTAGATATGACGGCCTTGTGGGCAGCACTGATGTTGGAGGGCATTCCGACACCAGGCTTGGGGAATGCTGAGTCTTGATCGAGATAATACCAAGTCGCCATTAATCTGCCGATGGACTTCAGCATGTCGCTTCATTTATTTTCCTCTCTATTTTCAGTGTCTTACCTTGTGATCATGTCATCCAGACGAGATGCTTCCATAGTTCCGTTTGAAATTGCCGTTGTCAAATTACTGTTCCAGTAGCTTGAGCTAGGCATGACAACATCCAGACCGGCGTTAGCAGAGGCAATTCCAGTATGCTGGGCAAACCAATCAGTAATCACATAGCCTGCAAAATAAGTTAGTCCTTGGATTTTGCTCAAATGTTTGGGATCCACCCACCTTGAAAGCCGAGCTCTGTTTTCAAAATTCCGTTGAGGGCTCTGCTGTTGTGGCAAGCGTAGGAATTATTCAAGCGGTTGTAAGAGCACATGACGCAAGTGGTCCCAGCAAGAACTGCATCCTGGAAAGGCCACAGGTATAGCTCATGAAGTGTTTTGTCATCGATGTTTGTTGACACAGACTCAACATAGTGGCCGTCGGAATCGGTGGTCGGATTGCGGTTGGTCTCTTGCTCGTTTGCAATGAAGTGCTAATAAAGTTGGTCTCAGCAAGGCAAACTTCTGGATATTTTTCTCGACTTACCTTAAGAGAAGTGGCAACATTTTGGGACTGCAGTCCCTTGACCGACTCAGCAACCAGGATTCCGCTCAGGTATGGATCGGCAGCGAAGCCTTCCCAGTTGCGACCACCAAGAGCCACACGGCCCAAAGGTCCGACGACAGGCCCAAGTATCATGTTAACGCCCTTTTTACGATATTCCTGGCCCATGAAGATACCTCTTTGTTTAGCAAGGTCACGGTTCCAGCTGCATGGTGTCATGGCCACCGATCAGTAATGTACGTCAAGCGCATGTTTAAAAGTTTTCACATACCTGGCGCCTACATGAACACCAGAAGACCAGCCATTAACGAAGTCAGGTCCTCTCTTGAACATGAGTGAGCATATAACTAGATGTGAAGGTATCGAGAGGTACTTACCAGCCCATTACCGGCGTCGCTCACACACATTCCCGGGAACCCAAGGCGTGTGATACCCTGGATGTTACCAGAGCATCCATTTTCGGCAGTGATACCTGCAGTCAAATTGACTTTCTCATCGTCAGAGAGCTTGGCGACGAATGCCTTGGCCTTTGTGTAAGCAGAAGCCCAATCCCCGGCGCCTGTCCCTTCAGCTGTTCAGCGAGTCAGTGATACTCATGTTATAGTAGAAAACACAATGAAGTGGAAAATCATACGCGAAGGGTAGACCGCAGGTGATTGCCCGTAGAACACTGCGTCATCAATAATGACATCCTCGGCGAGAGCTAAGTTCGCTACCGCGAGACTCAGTAGAAATGACTTCCGCCAAAAGGTTAACATTGCGAACGAATTTCAACAGCCACGAAGCTTCGTATCAGCAAGCTTGACAGTTTCTTCTCTCACTCCAATACCAATTTATACCTCAGAACCCCTCCCAACTCCGGGACATTGCATGATACCAACTACCGAATATCCCACTTCTGAGTTCCAGCGGGTAAACATCGGCAGAATAGAATGTAACATTGCACCTATTCAGGGTCTAGCATTCAAGGACTTGTCTAATTTCTGATTAGCTCCAGAGGAAAGAACGGCTATGTCACCGCAAAGAGTCATCTGCGGGGAAGGCGATGGCGTCGACGGGGATAGTTAAGCCGAAGTTGCTTGACCGCAGGAGAGGACCCGGGTGTACTATGAACAGAGTCATGTCATTTGAAGGCCCAAGTCCACTCATGTGCCGAAGCAAGCTTGCAGTAGCGCGTTGTAAAGGCGGGGGAAATCCCCCACGGGGTGACAGCCGGAAGACCCGAACAACGCGCCGGGGTTTCGAATGGCGACGAAAGGGATCCATCGAAGGATTAAGAAGCAGTCAATCAAAGCTTTTCCATGCCTGGCTCTGGTATCAACTAGTCGAGATATGAAGAGGAAGAAAAAGGGGAGAATGAGATATGAAGTATGAATGGTGAAGTGTGAAGTGTGAAGTGTGAAGTGGGGTGATCCATTGGCCCCACCTTAATATGCACAATCGCCCAGCATCAGCTTTATACACTCCAACTTAACTACCAGGCTTGATTTATGCTAACAGCCAAGCGCCGACTCTATTGACCTTTTGATCCAGGGTTTAGGATGTCTGGCATTCCTCCAACATACTTGCTCGATCTCTGGGCATTTCATCAACACTCAAAGCAAGAGGGCGAAAGCGAAGAACACCAACCCCGAAGACCATGTGAAATGCTGCAGCATCCCCACATCCGAATGTGATTTCCCGATCTCACCAGTTCCAGATTGCACTCACAATGTGGGGCTTATCCCCGCAAGTCTGCAAAGACCCGAGGTGGACAGCCGAGAGTACTGGCCTATATTAGGCGCGTGCTATAAATCCTATCATCCTGTCATTCGGTCACTCTGTCGCTCTGCAACACTAAATCGTATGACAGGCAAGAGACTAGATAGCCCACAGGAAGGGGGTTGCCAGACATGTTGTTGCTTGACATCATGAAGTTACCTCCCTGTACGGAGTAGATGGCTGCTCTCCTTCCCCCTCTCGCGCGGGCTCCCTGGTTGCTTTTTCTTAATTTGCGTCATGGCCCCTTTCGAATGTCTCCTTTCTTTTCCATTCTCCTCGTGTTTCTCCAGTCCTCCGCATTATCCCCTCCCGTCTGTGATCTGCCGACTATAGGGGTACTATTGCCCTAGCTCCGACGCTTTTGATTACGCCAACCCCCGGACAAATTGGCTGGTCTACTCCGTACCTTTCTCTGTTGCACAAACCACAGCTGGCGAGTATGTCTACCGCCCAAATCATATTCGAGCCCCGAAAAGCCCTCGCGATGGTTGGCGACGCCACGCTTCGCCAAATTCTTGTCAACCAGGGTGCGGAAAAAAAACATGTCAGTTGGTATTGCCAACGACTACAAATCTTCTACATGCACTGACCATGATCAACAGGCAACATTCAAGACGTGATTACGCATGTTGCATCAAATAGTCATTTGCACGAGCGGGAGATCGCTATTGGCCTAGATCCTTTCATACTGAAGCATCCGGGTCAGGTGGGTCAGCCTGCCGGAAGAATTCTCATGGCTACAACAATTGAAGCCATCATGGGAGCGGTCTACATAGACTGAGAGAAGAATGCCAACGATTGCGAGGCAGTCATGGCCACTCTTGGTCTCTCCTGGCCTGAATGATCTCTGTCGGCCCCTCGATCGGCCCTCCTTCCCATTAAGGCATGAGAAAGCCCCAGTGTGGGGGCAGGGGAGGTAAATTGCAGGGCTGAACCTTTTTCATTGAGTGGTGAAGCGGTCTGTGAAATGACTTGTATGCCACAGCACTCTCCAATGAGTCATGTTCGCCCTGGAAGGGACCTCCCCTGGCCCCTCATTTGGGTTTCCCTGTAGCTCAATGGGTGGGAAGTATCTTGTGAAGAAAATGTTTTCAGATGGAGGAAGAGAGCGGAGGACGGGATGAGTTTTCATGAGACAGTCGCTTGTTACCATTGAAATTGAAGTAAAGTTGTTGCACTGAACCTGGTATTTTCTTGAATATCTAGATACGCTGTGAAATAGTCGTCGAGATCTACCACCCAGCCCTCCCGGAAGATAGAGTAGCCCTTTGGCATTGTGAATTTTACTATCCAGCGTAAGATATTGACTGTTGTTGATTGAGCTACCTGAGGCTGGTGGGCCGCTCTAGATTCATTTGCCAATCCAGCAGCCGAAACCACGGACTCAACTGATCGCCAAGGCGTAGATGTGTGGCGAAGGGAATCGAGGACTGAACAGTATCATATCGATAAATCATGAAAGCCTCGTTAAAATGGCCGTTTGCGAAAGGATAGGTTGAAAGCAAGCTTTGTTGGCTGATGTTGATGGTGATGGGAGGCGAGTGTAATCCACTGCATTCAATGGGTATCGTGACGTGCAAGTTCGCTTCACGTTCATTCTCCGTACAAGAGTGGGGCCTTCCATGCCTCTAATCGCTCATCATCCCATATAGCGTACCCCCAGTTCCAATGCTGCATGGATCTCATGTTACAAACTGCGCCCTCGAACGTTTGACCCGGGAATTCTGGCGTAATATGGTCCTTTCTCCATGCTTTGTTCGGTGTTTCAGTCGGTGGGAGACTTGACGGTGGGAGACTTGACCACAACTCTTCATAGTTCACAACAGAGTACTTGTCTGCCGGTGAGATCAAAGGTACTATGGCTTCTTGGTGGATCGTAAATGCGTAGAGCACATCGAGACCGATAAAGGTCATAAGTCTTGACTCGATGTTGATCAGGATCATATCGCGCCGCGGTAAAAAGGGAGCATGAATGAGGCGATAAATAAAATCTGGTCCGAGCTCAGCCAGTGAGTTGGAACATTCACCACGTGAGAACATCGAGACGAGCTGGTCGGCCGAGCTCACGCGGCAACTCATCGGTGGTTGTACATCTGGCGGTATAAATTCAAAATATCTTTTTTTGAGCCTAGGTTGCAAAGTTGGACTATTATCCGCAATCTCGCGCATACTCTCAGCAATACCATCGTAGAGTGGTGGGAATTTGGTGAGTAGGTAAGACCAAATACAACCTATTTCTGAGTATTCCCAGGGTGGCATTGCCCCGAAAAACAACCGGTATGCCTCCCGCATTTTAGCAATGTGGTCATCTTTGGGATCTTTGGGATCAGCGGACTCCCAGTCATTTTCTTCAGGTGGGTGCATTCCGGGTTTGGGGACTGTTTCAGCCGGGCCGAAAATGTGACCATGGGTTTGAAGTCGACACATTGCCCTGAGGAAGCGATATTTCTCGGTATGGGAAAACTCCATTGGAATAAAATAGGACTCCCATTCATTCTCTGGGATCCATGGAGGACGTGGTGCATGTTTCGCATAGTCAACCAAGAAGAATTCAAGCTGTTTATGGGAACGGAAGAGGTCGAATGTTTCTTGCAGATTGTCGACGACGTCAATGCGTTTCAAATTTGATGAAGTTCTTTGTTTGATTTCGTCTTTGCGTCGCCAAGTATCGAGCAAGGCGATCGCTTTTTCCTTGTGGTTCGCGAAGAGAAGACCACGAGATCGTATGGCCAGAATCGCTTCTCCTAGCAAGGGACCAAAGAGGTTTGTTATCATACGGCGGAGGAGCTCAGGTCGTGCTTTAAGGTATACCCGATAGACAGTGGGCGATGAAAGCGCGATGGACTTCAACGAAGATCTGTCGGGTATCTCAGACAAGATGAGGATCAACAGCTCCGTCGGGAGACCCTCTAACGTGGGTTTGGCCTGTGAGATGTAAGTATGATCTTCGGGATTTGATGTATCGCTCTTACCATGGTGTTTTTCTTTTGCGCCCTCTGTTGTATGCTTTGGCACGGGTACGGGTTTTACGGAAGAAGAGAAAAGGGAGAGGTGTTGTGGGAGAAGAGAAGATCAAGAACAGCGGGGGAAGTTCACGTGCCAAGGCGGGTTTGGGGATTTGAAACCATAGCCAGGAAGGTGATCATTGTGAGGTCTGTTCAGAGGTCATGATGCGAACCGCATTTGAAACGAGCGTGGAGGCCCTTTCCCAAAACGGCCCAGGACCCTCACCTCACGTCCTCAGCGAATTTGTGAACTTTTTCGTATATGTCTTTGAGACCAATGGGCATCTCAGAGTGCTGCTTTTTGCAGTCATCTTGGTCTCTACCAGCCATTGCGGGTAACGCAGGATATTTCCGAGAACTTGTTGAGAAACTGGTCAACAACACTGTGTCGGGTAGTAATTAGGCACCCAAATGACCCCTCAACCTTGTTAGTTTTCCATGGGGAGTATCTTCCAACTGCAAATAGAGAAGATTATCTAAATTCCAAAGAAAATAGTAAAATATATCATTTGGATCACCGAGTACGGTTTATATTGCCAGGCAATAATTTAGATCCACTCTCACTTCACAAGTACCATTGTTGAATCTATAGTTACTTTATATAGTATTTTTTTATCAATGAATACTGTTGAGCAACCTGTTACAATGTGGGGAGAAAGCAGAGGAAGAATTATTAATTGATTAAACTAGAAATGAAGGGGGTTATATACCCTGCTAAAACCATCTAAACTCTGCTCGATTATAGTAAACAAGCTAACAAATAGTAAATAACGAACAAATAGGGCTTAGTCTATAGTTAGCAAACATATATTTATATGTATAGGAGATTGTTCAACAAATACGATATTAATTTTTTTTAATACCGGGCTCTTTATACTCCTAAGTCTTAAGTCTTGACTCTTGATTTCTTACTATCTACTAACCAAATCTAAACCGAATCTGAACTGAATCTAAACTGAATCTAAACTGAATCTAAACTGAATCTAAACTGAATCTAAACTGAATCTAAACTGAATCTATAAAGTGTATAGTATATAAATAATAAATGCTTCAAGAAGGCAGTCATGAACTAGGCGGTGGGGTAATGTCGGATGGCATATTTAGTCGCCCGTAACCGAGCAGCATGTAGTTACAATACAGAAAGAGGGCTGGCTTCAGTATACTTTTGATGTTTACACGCGGGGCGGATATACATCTGCAACGTAACCACTCACAGCAACTTATTAATATGCTTTTCTCTCTACTAAAACGCCATTAAATTAAATTTGGGTATTCAAACTACCATTTAAGCGATATATGAAGTATAAAGGAGAGAAAAGTCGGTTAGAAGATAGACAGTTGACTTTTATGAAGCTTTACTTTATAAGGGGTACTTGTTTTTATTAGGGAATTATATATAGTGAGTAGAGGTACTATTAGTGCTACTATGATTTGTACGTAAATATAGACCTAATATATATACCTCTTTCTGCTAATACTTAGTAATCCTTCCTCCTAGGTGCCAATTCGTGGTCAAGTTAGATCCTTTTGGGGTGGTTTAGTATAAAATTCTGTACAAAATCTAGCTTTACAATAAAATCAGTATAATACCTACTAATTCCTACTTCTTACTATGATAATATAATGATAATAAATATATAGGCTGGTATATAGCTAAAATATAGCTATTAATCAGTTACTTTATACGTGCTAAGGCTATATTTGTATACAGAAATGGGCATTTGATAGGCTTTGATCCATTTGTGGGCTATTGAGAGGTCTAATCCCAACACCCGGGGTTTAGAATAATGCCCAAAAAGGGCAAAAAGGATCTAAAGTTTTCGGATGCAGTGTAATTAATTAAATGATTAGATGGTAGGACAGAGGTTGAAAATGTTGTACGCACAGACGGGCATTGTCAAGTTGACAGGTATACTCTGTGATTTCTAGATTAAGTTCGTGTAACATGCTTATGAATTCTCCTAGAGACTTATATCATATGTACTTTGATGATCATGCAGACCACAAAGTCACACACTGTACCATGTTATACAGGTGTTGATCTGTGTTGATCTGAACATGTATACCCAAAAAAGCGAGCCAGTTAGTAGGCATAAGTTCTCATACCCCTTATAGCCTCACCATTATATCATCATACCGCCTACCTAAAACGCGTAGTATGCATAGATATAATCACCATAAAATTGCACCTGAACGTGCCAAGCGCCCAATACACCTACCGGGTATTATACCCATTTTTCACCAGATACCCAATCTACCTATACAAAAGATACTTAGTTATGCAGCCCGTAGGCATAACATACATTTTTTCAGCCCTTAAACTAGTCAGAGAAGACATAAGAAGATATATATTGTGTAAAGAAAGTCTATATTATTTAACCAAACTTTGGTAAGGAATATGAAGTATACTAAAATATAGAAAGTACCAAGTATATTTCTACAATATAGCCTCATATAGTGTCATTCTAAATTATTATCCTTCTTCTATATTAGATACTAAGAATCTATACTACCATGAAATTAATGAAGCTAGACTTTATACTATATATTCGTATACTTTCTATTACTGTAGCTAGTTCGAGTACTAAAATACATGTTATGTTTACGGGTGCCAAGGTACCTTTTGTATAGGTCAGTCATACAAAAGATATATAGTTAAATTCTAGATTGGGTATCTGGTGAAAAATGGGTATAATACCCGGTAGGTGTATTGGGCGCTTGGCACAGTTAAAGCAGATTTTTCGCAAACAAGATGGTGTGTTCTTCATTCCTAGAACTCTAAATCAAATGCTTTTATAATGTGTTACTATTTGTAAAGATAAATATAATATATTGTTTTTTTTGGCGAGCAGAATATTTATATAATCATAGTGGTGTGGAGCTGGGGGTGTAGAAACTTATGTCCAGTCACTGTACGAAAGCCTACTTAAAGTACGAAATTCCCACTATTCAGTTCTTTTATTCAAATCGCCAATTTGATATCAACCAATAAATACACGAAGCAATTCCAATAATTCATACAGCAACTGTCACTATGCGTTGGAAATCAGATATCGCGCCATTGATCTGTTATTGTTCAGCATATCTGACCATCCTCCTCTATCACACACGACGGCAAGTTGGAATGTATAGCGCAAAGTTCTCCAAGAACAAAGCGTGGCTATTCATCCATATTAGCACCGGGCTCCTGGAATTGAGTCGATACCATATCTCTAAAGCCCGACTTGGCAATGATAATATCCTCCCCGGGGAGATAGATGTGCTGTCTTGCTTCATCTGGTCATGGTCCAGTTTCGTTCTTGTAAAGACGCTTCGTCGTGGCGATCCACTTACAACTCGGCCTCCATACCAAACGGGTGCATTGCTGCGCCCTGTCATCTGCGCCATATCATATCTACTGCAACTGCCCAGTCTACACAGGGTGTCTATCTCTGCGCTCGATAGCTTCATTTATGCCCGACTGGCGATCTTTTTCTTCACCTACACGCCGTATCTGCGTGGATACTCGTCCAGCACATTTTACTCGATCTCTATTCCCTTGGCTGCGGTTATCAGTATTCACGAAAGCGGCGTTCACGGCGCGTCCTTGGTGTTCATCCTTGCGATGGCTTGTGTTTCAAAATTAAATGAGTGGGTGACACATAGATCAAGAATCCTACAGAGGTACGTTATGGCAATCAGGTCCTCGAACATGTTCTAACTTCGTGAAAATAGATCGAAAGCCCAGTCATATGTGGTTATGCTCGAAAAATATCTCCTTGCTGGGTTGATTCACTTTGGATTCGCCGATTTAGATAGGCTGCGAGAAGTTTCGAAGAGTGACGCGCTGATAAAACCCCTCAATGACGACTATATACCGAAGCTGGAGCGGAACATCTGATTTTGACTATCATGACTGGTTATGAGAGGGGAGGAACCGATTTGAACATACCGTTATATATTCCTAGAAATTAGAATACGAGGGCATACATGGTGTAGAACTTACATTGTGGCCTACAAGCAATATTAGGCGTTATTCAATTGCAAATTTTTATTTTGAAGATAAATGAGGTCTTCCAAATGGGAATAAAAAGAACTATACTACATGGTCGATAAGTGTAAGGTCGATTCCCGAATCAGGATGGTAGTAGCCCCCGCCCCACAAGTGCACCCACCCCCGGGGCCACCCACCCCCCGGGGCCCTGGGGCCCGGGCTCCCCAAATCCTTAACTAGGAAGAGGGAATGAGTTATACCTACTTTTTAGGTAATATTTGACAGTAATAGCCAATAAGACTAAAGTCCCAGATAGCACACTTTGTCGCTCGGAAATGGCTCTGTTGTTGACTTAATAGGATGAGTATCCATGGATATGTGGCCCCCACCGAAACAGCACTATTAGGGAGGGTACCTTGACATAATTTGTCCACATATTTCACGTAGCAATCTTGAGACTCGGATTGGTGTAATTTATGAGCTGGAATTACGTATTTTGTGACATAGGAAGGGGTGGTTCTATATGTCTTTTCATTGACTACATGGATATAGAACTACGACTCTGTAGTTCCAAGGTTAGATGAGGGCTTCGTCATGAACTCATCACGTGACTACAACAGCTGCCACTTATGTAAGTGGTGGCTGCTGATCCTGACTAAGCAAGACCCCCGCCATCAGTCAGCCCACTACGGAGACCGAAGCACTGTTGAGAAGTACTGGTACCTAATTGTACACATTGAACCAATGCTAGAAGCGTGTACCAGTACTTGCCACGTTCCGGGACCTTGGTGGATCCCCTCAAGCCCGTGAGTTTTCCTTTCCCCTCTATTCTCCTTTTCCCTCTTTCCTCTTTCCTTTCTCATTCATACATCTTTGGTCAGTCAATTTCTACAAAATCACTTTGCGATATTTCTTTCTAACAATCAGCAGTTTCTGAATACATACTACCCATAATGTCTGCCCCCGCACAGAAATTCAAGGTCGCTGACCTCGTATGTCTCTCTCAATCACCTATTTGTTCCCCTTCAATCACTGACCATTCCCATAGTCGCTGGCCGCCTTCGGTCGCCGCGAGATTGAGCTCTCCGAGGTTGAGATGCCCGGTCTCATGGCCATCCGTGAGAAGTACGGTGCCGACCAGCCCCTCAAGGGTGCCCGTATCGCTGGTTGTCTTCACATGAGTAGGAATTGATCCATCACAAAAAGGAAAACCCATGCTGACCGCTCCTCCAGCCATCCAGACTGCTGTCCTCATCGAGACCCTCACTCACCTCGGTGCCGAGGTCACCTGGACCTCTTGCAACATCTTCTCCACCCAGGATCACGCCGCTGCCGCCATTGCCGCTGCCGGTGTCCCTGTGTAAGTTTTCATTCTTACTGGAATCTTTCAGTTTCGTAACCCTTGGTGAACTTTTCATCTGACCATTGTGTTCTACAGCTTCGCCTGGAAGGGTGAGACCGAGGAGGAGTACCAGTGGTGCTTGGACCAGCAGCTCCAGGCCTTCAAGGATGGCAAGAAGCTCAACCTCATCCTTGATGACGGTGGTGACCTCACCTCCCTCATCCACACCAAGTACCCCGAGATGCTCGAGGACTGCTTCGGTGTCTCTGAGGAGACCACCACCGGTGTTCACCACCTCTACAAGATGCTCAAGGAGAACAAGCTCAAGGTTCCCGCCATCAACGTTAACGACTGTGTCACCAAGTCCAAGTTCGACAACCTTTACGGCTGCCGTGAGTCCCTTATCGATGGTATCAAGCGTGCCACCGATGTGATGATCGCTGGTAAGATTGCTGTTGTTGCCGGTTACGGTGATGTCGGCAAGGGTTGTGCCCAGGCTCTCCACTCCATGGGTGCCCGTGTCATTGTCACTGAGGTCGACCCCATCAACGCCCTCCAGGCTGCCGTCCAGGGTTACGAGGTTAACACCATGGAGGCCGCTGCCCCTACCGGTCAGATCTTCGTCACCACCACTGGTTGCCGTGACATCCTTGTTGGCCGTCACTTCGAGGCCATGCGCAACGACGCCATTGTCTGCAGTAAGTTGTGTTGAATTAAGAATTTTGGTTCGTGGATTAATACTAACAATCCTCTAGACATTGGTCACTTCGATATCGAGATTGACGTCGCCTGGTTGAAGGCCAACGCTCAGTCCGTCCAGAACATCAAGCCCCAGGTTGACCGTTACAGCCTCAACGGCAAGAACATCATCCTTCTCGCTGAGGGCCGTCTTGTCAACCTCGGCTGTGCTACCGGTCACTCTTCTTTCGTCATGTCCTGCTCTTTCTCCAACCAGGTCCTGGCCCAGATTGCCCTCTTCAAGGCTGAGGACGAGGCCTTCGGCAAGAAGTACATCGAGTTCGGTGCCGGTGGCCGCAAGGATATCGGTGTCTACGTTCTGCCCAAGCAGCTCGACGAGCAGGTCGCTCGCTGCCACTTGGACCACGTTAACGCCAAGCTCACTGAGCTGACCCCCGTCCAGGCCGACTACCTTAGCCTGGATGTCAACGGCCCCTTCAAGCCCGAGATCTACCGTTACTAATTTCTTTACATTTTCAACTGCGTTCGATGATAATCTTGGGAAATAGACTTTCAACATGATTCGACGATGTTATGATTGGCATATTCGAGTTCTCCATCAACTTAGAACTCAAAAGTGGTTGTCCTTCAACGGCATAAAAAGTGGCCTGCACCGGAGGTGTGTTTCTAATGTTTGGTTTTGGCGTGGGATGACCTGGGATGGTCTTGCATTCAACACTGCGTGATGGGATTTTATTCTTGATACCTTATTTCGGTGTGTGGGCCTCCATGGGCCGATTGTGATAGTGTAGAACTTCAACAAATCGAAGCTATGCGTCAACATTTCATTTCTTGCGTAGTTGCTCTCGTAGACGATTGACCTGAGTTCATATTTCTATTCCCCGCGGATCAACTTGACCAGTTCATCTGCCACCGCCACGGCAAAGTCAGGATCATTGATGTCACGCGAATCTCGCACGACTGATATCCCACTGCCCTCCAATTCCTTCTCCAAAGTCGAAAACAGTGCCTCATCTGCCTCTGTATCCTGGAATGTCTGACCAGGGACGTCCAACATGCTCACCCCACCAACAGGCAGAACAACCTTCGTCCGCGTCAGTCCTTTATCCCTCGAATCCCGCAACAAGTTCCCTGCTATAAAAATCCCAATATCCACACACTCCTTCTTCGTCGTCCGCATAAGCGTAACAGTCGCATTGTGCTCGTGAAACAACCTCCCCGCCTCCCGAAAAACAGGTGGAACACTCCCCACCTCCCCGAAATTAACCATATCACACGCCCCAACACTAACAACCCTTGGAATATCCCGCAACGTAGCTGCAGTCAACCGTTCAGCCCCAGCACTAAGAACCCCACCAACAATCTGATCCGCAATCTCCGTAGTCGTCAAATCAAGCACCGCATCAATCTGCCCCTCCCTCACAAGCCTCTCCAAAGCCCTCCCCCCCAGACCCCGTAGCATGAAAAACATAAACCTCACAACCAGGCAGGACTTCTTCAAGACGTTCCCGGGCGCGTGTGACACCAGGCGTTGTAACACCGAACATGGATATACCAATCTTCGTACGGGAAGATTCCTCGACCTTCTTATCCTTTTCACCCCGCTCTCGTTTCAAAAACGAACTCGCCATCCCCGCAATTCCCCCAGCAGCATTATCAAGAACACCCTCCAAAACGCGGTTCCGGCCCGCGATATCCACAACACTGTACATCATGCTGATATCTGTTTCGCCGATGTACGGCCCCACGTCTCCTGACGCCATGGTTGATACTAGTAGTTTAGGGAATCCGACTGGTAGCGCGTCGCGCATGACTGCTGCGGCGAGTGCTGTGCCGCATGAGCCGCCGATGCCAAGGATCCCGTGGATTTGGTGGGTTTCGTGGAGGTGGGTTACTGTTTTCGTGGCGTAGGGTGTGAGTGTGGTTATATACTCGGCCCGAGGCAGGGTTGCTAGATCTGGGATTGGAGTTGAGGAGGGTGAGATGTTGGTTAAGGCGCTTTGGGGGATTGTGATTTGGGCATGGGTTGTTTGGTTGCGGCCGATGTCCATCAAAAGGACTGTGGCGTTGTTGGATTCGATTTGGGCTTTTGTGTAGAGGAGCTCCGGGAGTTTGGTGTCACATGTTCCTAGCAAGAGGATTGTGGGGGTGTTTGAGGACATTTTTGATTTGGCTTTTTGTTTTTGGTTGGAATTGGACAAATCGAATTAGCTAGTTATTGAAGTTGAAATTGGAAAGTGTTGTTGAAAATAGAGGCGAAGTTGAAGTTGAAGTTGAAGTGGAAGTGGAAGTGGGGTGCTGGAGTTATAGCGGGGTTGGTCTACTTGGGGTGTGATACCTCTACAATCAATATATGTATGTACATATGCAACTATACCGGACTTGATGTCAGTTCGCTGGGATGGTCGGCGAACGTCAATATGGTTGGACTTATTAGGGGAAGGGAGTACTACTGTGAGTGTTTTTACTTGCATCGGATCGAGACCGATAGGATGAACGGTCACGTTGATCAGTTCCCTTTTTGATAGGCGATTTGAATTGGAAGGCTTATCAACCTTGGAAGTCAGTGTCTATACTTAGGTACTCTCAGGGACATGCTCAGTATCATTCAGTGGTCATAAAGCGGCAAGAGGTGAGCACGGAAACGGAAAAGGAAAGGTCTTGAGTGCTAGCTATTACCCGGTACATATGTTGAGACAAGTGGACGAAATTGAGGCGTAATGGATAGTATATTTTGGAAATATATGCATTCTCATTCTGCCCGTTCGTACAATCGTCTCCTATATTGACAATGTCTATATTAAACATTTATGCATATAAACTAGAGTTTAGCAGATCGACCGGCCTTGAATTGCCGAAACATACTTATCCTCATCCGCCAGCTCAAACAACACATCTTGCGCTCCTTCCCACAGAGTCAAATTCCCAAGCGCATGCAGTCTCTCAGACCCTTCAGTGATAGTCAAGAAGTAATTGGCAGCAAGCGCACCCATCTTGCTTGCAAAAGCAACTCCTCCATAGCAGAAGAGGAATTCAGTCTCCGAGATACCCCCGGGGTACAGCAGAATCTGACCAGGCGCGGGATGCGCCGTGTGGTTTTCGAAGGGGATATTGAAATTGGTCTCGCCCAACGGAATCCACATTCCCTCGCCGCTCCATCGCACGTGAATGAGCTTTTGGCGATATGGGAGGAGAGATCGGAACAGTTTGACTGTATTGGGAGCTGCAGACTCGAGTTTCGCGAGGAATTGATACGGACCTGCCGTGATCAGAATCGTAGAGTCTCTCATTTTCGAGTTGAAGTGGATTGAGAGCAGACGTAAGGTCTGTGTTGTCATTCTCCAGCTTTTAAAGGTGGAGATTCTTGATCTTTCCCGCGTTCTATAATTTAGCTCGCTGCTTGGCAGTTGTTCTGTCCAATGGGCTCGTGGCTTCCCCGATATCACCCACTCGGATATCGCCTTCTTCCAAGTTCCGATGTGCTCTATATATACATGTTGGGCTGTATTGACCTACCGTTCGGAGTTCAGAATTCGAGATGGGGAAACTCGGACAGCATCGATTCTACCTTGATAGAAAGAAGACGGCAAATAAAGGAGAGCCAAAGTGCGTTGCATAAGTGACTATTACGCCGAGCAGATGAAACGGCTAAATGCAAATTAAGTATCAGGAAGAACAATTGAACGATAGGAGAATGAAAAAGACGTTCGTGATGGTGTACGTAGAGTCGTAGACATAGTCTAGTCATTAGATGGTGACCGCACGGTAAACTCCTGTAAGGAGCCAGGTGCTTTTGTATAAAACGACTATTCGGTGGTATCTAGTTATAGGCTTTATCAAAAAGACTGACTATATTTTAACACTTTTATAAATAATGCTTTGCATCTTTCAACGATCCTTGGCTTTGATGAGAGAGAAGAGAAAGATAATCAGAATAGTCGGAATGCCCATTGGAAGACTGGCTCTCGTGATGGATTATTTAAATAAGTAAACAGATCACGCAGTGAAGCCTTATCAAGCAGAATATCAGATCTGTTTGATCGCTGTTTCAAACTCGTCGAGGAAAGCCCATAGTGATTTCTCCCGCCACTTCTTCTCCTTCCATCCATTAGCCGACAATGGAAAGAGATCCACAGATTTCAACAGGCTGCGATCATGAGCATATATAAACCAAATATTGCTGTCTGCATCAGCCACCTGCGCTTTCTCAATTGTATCTATTGCCTGTTCAATATCTTTCCCCATGGCTGGTCGGAAGAATGGCTTGTCCACCGAACCAGTCCGTCGGACTAGCAATTGCTCGTATACCGAGTCCCCGGGACAGGGAAATAAGATGGGAGTAGTGAAGCTTGGTTGAATATCGCCAGGAATCCGGAGATGTTTCGATGGCCGAATTTCCCCGCTGTGGTGACAGAGGTCACCTCCCATGAAAATGAAGGTATCGGGATTGGTCGTGGTGCGTGCCAATGCACTAAGGTGACCGACTGTGTGACCAGGACTATCTATGATGTAGAATGAACCATCACCGAAATAATCAACAGCTCGGAACTCGCCAACTTGGACAGAGTTTGAGAAGTCTATTTCGCGTAAGTTTCGTCCGCTTTCGTAGAACTAGAGTTAACAGATGAACGAATTTCCATTTCATGAGCAAACACTTACGCAAAGTCACTTTCGCGTACAACGGCATCTGGCTTCGCTGGATAACCAGGAAGGAACTCGGCCTTGAAACCAGGGCCGACAATGAGGTCAGTGGAGGAAGGAAATCGTGATGGGTCACCGAGATGATCCCAGTGCCAGTGACTTCCCGCGAACAGAAAACGTCAGTATCTTACAGTCTATGATTGCCTATCATTATTAATAAAAGTATATTGTACTGACCTCCAGATGATGGCGGAAATTTCATTCGAAGCGATGCCATTTCTGTCGAGAATGTCGATCACCTCTTCCTTGACGTCGACTTTCCATCCCTGCTGTTCGAGATGTTCACAGATGGCCGGCGAAAACGAGTCCAAATATTTCGGAACTCCAAGATCATAAAGAATCTTTTGACCCGAAGGATGCTCGACCAGGAATGACCAAGCAGGAAGGGGGAGCATATATTCCATCCCCTCCATTGGAGGTTCCATGAGAAACCCTAATTTTAAGTTGTTAATCCTAGTAGTCGAATCAATGATTCGAACCTGGACACTCTGATCGCCCGAAGGCACGGTGAATTTGGCGTTGGAAAGGTGCGACATGATGAGATGACAGCGAGAATTGTAATAACGATGTGTATGTAGCTTTGAAAGATGTTGAATACAACAAATACAAACTCGATAATGCTATATCTTTCTATGGGGTGTGAAATTCGTCAGGGGCAGTTGGGAATGTCATCCATCTCTGACATGATTGCGGGGGCGGGGCACGAATTTGGATCCTTGTACTTTCGCAAGCTTATCATCATGCATGTTCTCCGATCTGTCAGAGAAGTTGACTGCAAATGTTTCATTGGCTAAACCAGAATTGCCAGAAGTGAACGAAGATCGAGCTGTCAATTTCCGGGACATGGATGACTAACCATATTATGCACTTTTATATGGAGCAGGCCATGTTCAAACCATGGAAAGCATGTTATCAGCCTATTCTTTAAAGCAAAAGAGTGCATTCGATTGGAATAGCCACAGGGAGGCAAAGAAGAAAAGAAGAAAGGAAGAAAGGGGCCTACCCACTCTAAAACAAACAATGCAAACCATACAAACATAACAACTTGCCTCTTGTAGTTAACTATGTTGTGCATCCTGACATGTACCACCGTTGCACTGTAATACATACCATGTTCAAGCTGATTGATGCTCAAAACCCAAAGATTAGAGACTATATCCACCAATTTCTGGTCCAGTTTTATAGAGGGCTGTTGAATTGATCATAGAGGTTGTAGTTATAACCGGCTGAAGACAATTCGGGCCGAAAGTTGGAATTTACCCGCTTTCCCGCATTTCCTCCGTCACTCTCCAACGGGCAATTTTCCTCCGTGGGGATGCGTGGGGATGGGGATCAAGTTTCGGCTAAATAAGAGAAGAGAAGTTAAAGACAAGGAAATCTCCGTCCTAAATCAATTTCATCTTCTTTATTTCTCTATCTCTTTCATTAACATCCAAAATGGCTCGCGTACTTGAAGGGAAATTCGGCATTGTCACTGGCGGATCGCGGGGTAAAGCCCAGCCTCCCCCGCATATCAACAAATCAAGCTAACACGCTATCTACACAGGAATTGGCGAAGCAATTGCCCGCAATCTGGCCGAAAAGGGCTGCTCGTTACTACTGAACTTCACTTCAGAGTCCTCGCGCGCTCCCACTGAAGCATTGTGCTCCTCCTTAGCCACAACCCATAACATCAAATGTGAGAGCGTGCAAGCCGATCTCAGCAAACCCGCCGAGGCCGTGACAGCCATCATCAATGCCGCACAAGAATATTTCGGCACCGAGGGCAAACTCCGAATCGATATTCTGATCAATAATGCCGGCGTATCGCAAGACCGCAACTTGAACGATGCCACCAAGGGCCCCATCGAGGCTGAACACTTCAACTGGCAATACGCGATCAATGTCCTCGCCCCGCTCCTCCTCACACAGGCATGCGCTCCTTTCCTTCCCACCGACCGGAGCGGCCGCATCGTGAGCATCTCCAGTGTATCCTCATCCCTCGGATTCGTGGGCCAGTCAATCTACGGTGGTACCAAGGCTGCCATTGAGGCCATGACTCGTACCTGGGCACGTGAGCTGGCAGACCGTGCGACAGTTAACGCCGTTAACCCCGGCCCGGTTGTTGGTGATATGTACTTTGCGACCGGAGAGCAGTTCTGGAACGATATCCAGGGGTACCAGGATAACACGCCGATGAGCAAGTTGGATGTGAATAGCCAGGATACTATGAGCCGCTTGACCGATGAGCAGAAGCGGTTGATTCAGGAGAAGATGGGTGGTCGTCGACCTGCTTTCACTAGTGAGGTCGCGGGTGTTGTTGGCATGTTGTGTACACCCGATGGTCTTTGGTGTACGGGCAGTGTGGTCTGTGCCAATGGTGGCATGAAGATGGGACAATAAGAGAATATAATCAATTTCATTTCATCTTTACTTTACCGGAAGTTATGAGTTGTTTGACTAGCTGGCATATCTAGTTGTCAAGTCTTTACCCCTATCTTGTATCTCATCTCTCTATCTTTATAGGCCGTTAACCCCTGTCAACGCTAAGCTTCCTTGGAATTCAGCCTCCCAACTGTGACTCATTTAATAGTTTTATGATGGTATCTGATATTCATTCGAGATAAGCAGGCATAAAAGAGAGCAAAATATACCAAAAACTCGAAACCCATTGTCCACATACACAGACACACACACACACACACACCCTCTCTCTCTCTCTAAACCCAGCCTCATATGACCAGACCAAGCCAAAATGCCAGGATTCTCCTTCCCACCGGACTTCACAATCCCAACACCACGTCTCCAAATCAGTCCCTTCAACCCCACCGACCCGATCCACTGCGCCTTCTTAGTCCAACTCTGGAATACAGACGATTTCATCAACTCCTGCGGGAAAACCGGAGTCACCACACCAGAAAAAGCATCTGCATTCCTTGAAAACAGAGTCTTGAAAACCTACGCCTACCATGGATACGGTATGTTTCTGGTCTCGCGACAGACCAATGACGGCCCGAAGCCGATCGGCATCGTATCACTCCTGAGGGGGATTCCACCAGATCCACATTATCTTGCTCCAGATATCGGGTTTACCATTTTACCTGAGGAAGGTCGGAAGGGGTATGCGACCGAGGCGGCAAAGGCTCTTATGGAGTATGCAAATAAGACTCTTGGGGTGGATGCTGTGTTTGGATTTTGTTCGCCTGCGAATCCGCGTAGTCGGGGTGCTTTGGAGAAGCTTGGGTTGGAGTTTAGGGGGGTTAAGCCTTTGAAGGTTTTTGGGGGCAAGGAAAGTGCCGTATATGCTTTACCGGGGATGGATGAGGATTTGAGTGTTTATAATGTCGACTGAATCGAGGAAATGGCTGTTCCATTGTGGTATTGATATGCAAGGTGACATTTATATTCTTGTAACTTTGTAATTTTTATGCCATTGCACTAATCTTTGACTTCATCAATAGCAGTATCACAAGCTTCAACATCGTCCGATTGTTGTCGACGCTGTTCAGGGGTGAGCCTAAGCCTAATACCAAGATCATTTCGAATTCTTTGTAGGGTAATGGCCGAAGAAGGTGTGCCCTCTGCAGCGAGGATTGCAAGAATCTTTTGTGTGCCATACCGAGGTATAAGCTCTTCAACTCGATCTTGGATCTCTGCCCTAGTTGTGAGAGTACGCCGTGCGGGTATAGGCGGTTTCCAGTGACCAAGGCATCTCTTCAGGGTGCTGCGACTAATCGAAATATCGTGTTTTTCCTTGAGAATAGCACGAATGGCTGCATGTGAAGTATTTTGCGTGATCAGATGAAGTATCTCTTCTTTGTGTGGCTCGAGATCAATACGAGGGCGTGCCATGATAGTAGTATAAAGTAGGTATAGAGAGAGTAGGTGGAGGGATTTGGGTACAAAAGTCATGAAGGATGAGGACAGGTGGCAAGTTTTAATACAGGCTGACCGATATCCCGCCTCCTCGAATAGGGGTTGAGTCGGTTGAACCTTTTCCTCCAATACCACTTGGTATGTGTTGTAGTGGATACTATAGTGTGTGTGGGAGAAAGCAGGAGAAGAATTGTTAATTGGTAAAACTAGAAATGCTGGGGTTTATATACCCTGCTGAAACCATCTAAACATTGCTCAGTTATAGCAAACAAACTAACAAATAGCAAATAAAAGCAAAAGGCTCAGTCTGTAGCAAAGCATGCTTGCAAGCATGGGAGATTGTTCAACAGTATGACTTATGGCATTTGACTATAGATTCGGTCTCCTTCCGATGGTGCCTGCAAAAAGTCCGAAGGGGGATCTTGAGGCAGCTGGTTCTCTTCGGCCCAGCGACGGACAGCATCAAAGTTTTTACATCGATGCTGAGTGTTGAAGTCAACATAGGGCTCCGGATTCTCGGGGTAAATCCAGACTTGACCCAACACCCCACTGTCCACGGTGCACATGAGCTCTTGGCGCAGAATATCGAGGCAATGTGCTGCGATGAGAGAAATTATCAGTTCAATGCAATATGGGAATAGGAAAGTGAAGAAAACATACACACGTGGCGGCGGACGATATAGTCATTGTTCGTGAAGGGCCCTTCCCCCCTGGTGTGGTAGTAGTCATAGTTGTAGTAAAGAGATTGACGAAGGAGGTTCTTGTCGGTGTTAGTATACTTCATTCACAGTATGGGAGTGGGGGGTAAGACACAAACCAGACAGTGAAGGTGGTGCAAGCCCTCAACATTTGCTGGAAACCCTCCCCCATACTTGGCATTGATCTTCACTTGGTCGGTGGCGAGTCCAGATTGTTCTGCATCCTCTGAAGGTATGCGAACACTGCGGTCTAGATATAAGAGCTGTGATTAGCTAATGCCACGGAATAGTCGATCCGTTTGAAGACAAACAGTTGACACCCAAGGACTCCCACGCTGCATCAACATCTGGGCCAGCATCTTGTCGGAAAATATTCTCTTTCAGGAGAGAGCCGTTGAATTCCAGTAGACTATATTGGATGCCAACTTCCTTCATGACAGTTGCTATATTCATATGGGATTAATAGGGTCCATGAGAGAACTTCAGAGGCTTGGAGATCTCACAATATTGAGAAACATGTCGACTGCAAAGGGCATCCATGTCACCACGCCAGTGAAAGCCGAACAGAGTACCGACTAGGAATACCAACACAAGGACACTCAATTGCAAGAGACATTCTGCAAAGCTGTTGCAAGTGGGTGCTGAAGTTTCATTCCCACTCCAGACAGTGCCTTCTTCTTCTGCAAGAAGTCGCTCACCTGATTCCCGTTTGGAATCCTCTCCATGAGAATCTTTGCTGAACATACAGTCCATTCTCGAAAATGAGAGTAGTTTACTGAATGGTTTCCAAGGACAATCTGTGCAAAATAGATTTCCAATCCATCAAGGGGCAATCAATAGAGCTGCCTTAGTGTCTGTGATGTGCAGACGTGAGTTCCAGACCGCAACTTCAGGGATTGGACTTTGCCCAGCTTCAACACTGACATCAGATTGAATCTTCATAGCCATTGCCAATTAACGCAACGTGTACTCTGCATGTCTCACACGTTTCGCCATCCCATGAGTGTCCCACCGCGTGGTGCATGGTCAATGTGAGTATCCCTCAAGGGGTTCTCAACTACATGGAAGACAACATCATGTCCATGCATACATTGAGATGGCATGGTGTAAGCATGGCTTGTCTGCCTAGCCAGAACAGATCAGCACTATTTGACCGCGGGTGATCGTCTAGGAATGTGAACACTCCCCTTGCGCACGGGATCTACGGAATTTTTGCAGATTTACGCGAGGTTCATCATGAAACCCCTCAAAGATCCACCAATCAAAGTTAAATCTTTTTGTTGTACTCTGTATTGCGTGTGCTACTCCATCTTTTACAGTCAACTGAGATCATCGTACATCTGATCGCTTATCCCCCGCAAGACAGTATGATTATCAACTACACGTTTCGGCGGTGTCCCTTGCATCGTCAATCCTCGTCAACCCTCACCGAGGAATGGCGTGAGCCGACCTCAGACATTCTTACCAAAGGCTCGGCTCTCAACTCTATTGAATAGCATCTTTAAGCAGCCACAATATGGGAATTGGGGCTGGGGTTGGTGATATATAAATACAGGCCGACGAACCTGGTTTCAATCAGTATTCTCAACAGAAAACAATCCCAAGAACCACAGGATTGTACCAGCACCCCCAAACCAACAATCGTCCATACTTTATTTGAAATTCTTCGAGTTCACCTGCCTTCAAGATGCGCTCCTCCATCGTCAACACCCTCATGTTCTTGGCTGTCTCGCCCCTATGTGTCCTCGCGCGCCCCGTGGACCCCAACGATGTGGCCGGACAGTGGGACCCGAGTGGACAATACCGAAAGGGCCAATGGCAGAATGGCGTGTTCGTTGCCAACAACGGAGATAACCGCTACAACCAGAACGGCCAAGTTGAGCAGAGTGGCCAGTGGCGCGACAACAACAACAACAATCAGAATGGCCAATACAATCAGAACGGTCAACAAAACAACCAAAATGGCTGGACTGATTCCAACGGTCAGTGGCATGCGAACAACCAGAACGTTCAGAATGGCCAGAATAGCCAAAATGGACAGGACGGTTGGACCGACGCGAACGGCCAGTGGCACGCCAATGATGGTGCTGTGCAGCCTCGCGATGGAGAAAATGACAACCAGAAGAACCACAATGGCTGGACTGATATCAACGGACAATGGCACGCTGGTAACCGAAATGATCAGAATGGTTGGACTGATGCCAATGGCCAATGGCACCCGAACAACCAGAACAACCAGAACAACCAGAACGGCTGGACTGACGAGAAGGGTCAATGGCACGCCAACAACCAAAATGGTCAGAACAACCAGAATGGCTGGACCGATGCCAACGGTCAGTGGCACGCAAACCAGAAGCGCCAGGCAACTCCCACCACCAACCAGAATGACCGTCTGAACGAGGTTGCCCATGATAATAACAACGCTCAGGTTACTCCCAGCTCCCAAAACAGCAAGTACCAGAGCTACGGTAACTACAAGAACTACGGTTCTTACCAGAACTACCCCGCCAACGGACAGAACCAGGCTCAGAACAAGGATACCAAGGCTGTCAATGGTCAGCAGGAGTAAATCTGAGACTTCATCGTACATGAAAGATTGGATTCATTATCGGTGTGGTGGCTTGGAGGAATGACATTGAATTGGAAATTTGGTTTGCTTGGAGGAAAGACATGGTTTGCATGACACGAACTGTATACGCTCATTAATGATTTTTGGCCGATGAATTCGGTGACGACTTTCAAGATTGCTGAAATGATCGAATGAAGAAAGAAGGAAATTGGGTAGAAAGCTATAGCAGAATCACAGTTGATTTTTTTAAACACTCTTTTTCTTTGGTTCATACACAATAAACTATATCTACTGCTGGCTATGTCTTTGAACAATTAATTCATACATTGAAACTGCTACAGGGCCCGCGAATGTTCATTATGCTATACCATGATTTCGTCGAACAAATCGACCGCTTTTCTGGGTATCTTGTGAAGGCGATGAATATCTTCATCAAGTTGGAGATATTTCCAGCTACCGTACGCGACCATTTCACCCATCTGTTGAAGGTGTGTTGTCCTTTAGCTGGTCGGGGCACACTGCTGTTGGTTAAGAGGTGCAGTCGGAGTTGGGCCGGTGTAAAGCTTTACTCGAAGAGCCCATACTTCTGGATATTTAGAGTTGTGCTTCAGTCGAGTTGGTGTTGCCGACTTGATGGTCGGTAGGTAATCGGATGGCTGAAGGAAAAGCCTTTGATTGGCTAATATTAGCCCCGCAATATTAAGGTATTGGGTGGTACGAGCTGTGGTTGGCTGGATCAGTTCCACTCTGGGTGAGTGGAAGAGACTAATAGTCCTAACTAGACCTCAGGATAGCCCATAGACCCCATAGCCCAGACCAACCCAACCCACCAAATGGTCTGGTTTTTGGGCCTATGCCTCGGTCCATCGGTGGTTTCTGGGCCCGGAGCATAGAAATAATGGGGTATGATGGGGGCCCATTATGAACCAAACAATATAAACATGCTAATTTATCGTAGCTACATAATTAATGCATTTTTCCCTAGTTTTTTGGGGTATTCAAATTACCGCCTAAGCTATACATAAGGCTATACAGAAGTCTTCCCTCTCTTCTAATTATATAGAAAGGTAGATTAGGAGATATAAACAAGATTCAAATTTGATTTTTATAAAATTTCAATTTTTACAAGAGGTAGGTTATATAGTTATATATATATTTCTCTCTATGCGGATACTCAGTAATCCTCCTCGGTGCGAATTCGTGGTCTACGGGTCAAATTGGATCTTTTTGGATTGATTTTGTATGAGATTTTGTATTAAATCTAGTATCACGATACTAAAATCAGTATAATATCTACTTAATTCCCACTTCTTACTATGATAATTTAATAATGCTGAATATACAGGTTAGTATATGCGAAAAATACACCCATTAATCAGCTACTTTATACGTGCCAAGACTATATTTGTGCACAGAAATGGGCATTGATGGGGGCCTATGAGGCCCCCATCAATGGTCTGGGGGTTGGTCTGGCTTCGAAGCCACAACCCATAACCCACTGCGGGTTGGTCTATGGGCTGGGGGCATGGGCCCATTGATGGGCTATCCAGAGGTCTAGTCCTAACGATGTACAAATGTACAACATAGTGAAAAAGAGATGCTGATAACCTCTAGATATAGTAGAATCCGATAAAATAAATGGATCATAGAGAGGTGAAGGAACAGAAGAGGAGACAGATCTACTTAACATCACATCAGGGGGATGGCTGAATTTTCCAGACTAGTATTATTCCCTATGATGGCAGCTATAGCCTCAGTATGGCGTGTGAGAAAAACCAATTAAAAGAATACGTCTACAAGCACATCTACATGTTATCTCCACGGACGTTGCAGAAGCGGCTATTCTTGTTTATTACAATTCCAAGGAGCACTTAGAGGACACAAATAAGAAAATGCATTAGCACTATTTAAAGAAAGTCCATCTCAATATCGTCAGTCATTTGCTCAAGGTGTGCAGCGACCATAAGGTCCATTGACGGGTCGGATCTAAGTTCAAATGCCAGTCGGTCCAAACTGTATTCCATGCTAATACATACCTGTTCTAACTGCGGATCTCCAAGTCGGGAGGAGAGCCACCCGGGAGTTGCGTTGCGGACATATACACTGTCGGGAGTCTCGTCGACCATCTCAAATGCAGCCTCCTTGATTCGCTCCGCCTGATGAGAAAGTGAGATTAGTTCTTTGCGGACATCCTTGATACGATATACTCCTTGACCTTCCGGATCATTTCTCAAAATCTGAGCTTGGGTCTCTAGACTGGACTTGAAGCTAAGGCACTCTTCTTTGTAGATTTCTTCCCAGCTTTGCAATTCGATCGAGTCAGATGACATTTCGTTCTCCAGGGCACTAGACAAAGGAGTTAGGATTTCAAGTGGGACTGATTCTGACAGCTTGCCGCTCTGTTGGGCTTGGCTTGTGGGGAAGAAAGATTGATCAGTGTTGAACCAAAAGTCAAGGGTAATCCAGAAAATCCGTAGGATGCGATAAACCCCGAGTTGAAGCATTTAGACGGTATAGAAAGCTAATTCTAATGTTTGCTTGGTTAGTACTCAAAAAGGGGATATATATCAGCAGTATTTATGTTATGCGAGTCAGTACTTGTTTGATTCTATTCAAAGAAACGATCCAGGGATAACAAAGCCTATTGTTTACCTTGCACTGTGCGAACAACAAAGGCTCATGTCAACGAAGTGAGGCTGACTTTGTTGTTGGAACAATGATAAAGAGATCTCACATGGGAAAGGTGGTGAATTGCGTAAAACAACTTGCAACTTCCTTTGTATGTCATAGTAGAAAGTATTTTATCTTTACGACGCCACGTCTGTCCAGGACCCTATCATTTTGAATTTCATAAGCCTTATAATAATGACCGGCAAAACCCCGGCACCCCATAATGAAAATTCAGAAACGAGGGGAAAACCCCGGTTGAAACCCCGAGATACCCACAAAACCTTCGGCGCTCGTTCCTCTCATCGATTCGGCCCGTGGGGAGCTCGAACACAATCTCGGAGGACCCTTCTCCGAAAATTTCTGTTTATGTTGTAACTCTTAGTTTGTACAGTTGGTAATTTTTGCAAGTACAAGAAAATCGCATGTTGCATTGAAGTAGCGAGGAATGATGACAGCCAAAGGTAGTAAGTGCACACAAGGGTACATTATATGTTGTACTGTACCGAATACATAATGATGGACGGCATAGAAATAATGGCAGCCCTACGTGGGTCTGGGCATTGGGGAAAATCTCCCCAGAGGGGTAAGATTTTTCTCTTCTTCTGATTTTTGTACAAAAGTTGGCCAAATCCAACAAATCTGCAGTAATGGGATTAATTCCCCTCCAGTTGAAAAATCCCCCAAAATATATGCTAGCATGCATTCTCTGCTCAGCAAATGGAATCCTCTTCGGGATGGATACGGGTATTATCGGACCAGTGACTGACATGAAGGACTTCAAAAAGTCATTTGGTAGTCAAAACTCCACAATCCACGGCTTGATCGTCTCATGTATCTTGATTCCGGCAGCGCTGTCTTCTTTCTTCGCTGGCTATGTCGCCGATCGGCTTGGTCGCCCGAAGGGCATTTCTATCGGGGTTTTCATCTTCGGCATTGGAGCCGCAATAGAAGCAGGAGCGGTCGCTCTACCCATGTTCATCGTTGGTCGCATCGTGGAAGGCCTCGGAGAAGGCCTTTTCCTTGGAAATCTTGTCGTCCTGATTTGTGAAATCTCACCAACTAGAACCAGAGGTGCCCTGACGACGGGTCCCCAACTGGCTATTACGCTGGGATTGGTCATGGGATACTTCATCAGTTATGGAACCTCGAGTATCCGCTCGTCACTCTCATGGCGTATGCCATTTATCCTCCTTACCGCCTTCTCTATGGTCTTATGTGGACTTTCACTGCTTTGTTTACCCGAGTCGCCTCAGTGGCTAGGTCTTCATGGTCGCTATGAAATGGCCGAGCAGGCGTGGGACAAGTTGGGCGTCAGCCATGCTGAGCGTGAGAAGGTTGTTCTACAAGTGCGGGCACATGAAGTTGGCTCCGATTCTGAGACGGTCAAGGATGGAACCATGGATAAGCTTCTTGCTATCTTCTCCAAAGATGTGTTGGGTCGGACTATCCTTGCAGTATTTTTGATGGGAATGCAGCAGATGAGTGGCATCGATGGTGTTCTTTATGTATGCTTAAGTCCTTTGCAAACCTCGGTAGAACTTACAGTGGCTAACTTGACCTCGATAGTATGCTCCACAGTTATTCCAAAAGGCCGGTCTTGCCTCTTCAGAAGCAAGCTTCCTAGCCTCTGGTGTTTCAGCGCTTGTGATTTTTGCCGTCACCATCCCGGGGCTAATGTATGCCGATAAATGGGGCCGCCGAAGCAGCATTATCTATGGCGGCGTTGTAATGGGAATCTTGATGTTTTTGATGGGCAGTCTGTATGCTGGAAATGCCGTCCACCAAACAACGGGCGCTGGTCGCTGGGTTGTGATTGTCTGTATCTACCTTTTCGCCGCTCTTTACTCTGTCACCTGGGGTATCTCTGTCAAAGTCTACAGCGCCGAGATTCAACCTCAGCGAACACGAGCATCAGCTACCACATTGGCTCATTCGAGTAACTGGGTGTGCAACTTCTTGGTGGCTTTGACAACACCTGTCCTCCTTGAAAAGAGCAGCTTCGGTGCGTACTTTTTGTTCGGTGGGTGCTGTGTCATTACCGTTGTTGTTGGTGTCGTCTTCATGCATGAAACAAAAGGTCGGACCTTTGGGGAGATTGAAGAGGCATTCCAGAGGAGGTCCCCAGGAAGGAAGATTAAATTCGGCCGGGGTGTGTAGCTCTATATCCCATATGTAGTGAATAAGCCACCCAGCTAGACCATTTTGTGACATGAATAGGCGGTTGTTAGATCATCAGGTCGGCAGTCATCCAGGAATTTCCAAAGAATCGACACTATCTTGGTGATATTTAAATTAATTGTGGCTAGCAAGGGCTTTTTATACTACCATATATATTAATGTTTCATGCTATTTCTCTTCAAATGATTCCTCTTAAGAAACTCTTAGCAAAACACAGATCGTTCACCATTTGCATTTGCTTGTTTGGTTTGGTTTGGTTTGGTTTGTTTGCTCTTGCTTCGTCATCCGGTAGGATGTTTGCGTGGTTTGTTTGCACAGGGGTTTATTTGCTTTGAGGTATCCTTCCACTTCCATCTCGATCCTGTCACCTGTGTACTTTAGCAGGTGAGAAATAACCTGTGCAAATGATATATCTCAGAGAGGGGTACCCAACTGCCCGTGCAATTTGTCCCGTGCAATTTGTCGCTGTTGCATTTGATTAGCACGTTGTGTTGAAACGGAGCATAGCCACAATTCCATATGCAGGGTCAGCGACTAGCGCAGGCGTTATTTATTGTGGAAGTGTGCGGATACGAATGGAGCTGAAAGCGCATTTAAAAACAAAGATGAATGGTCAACTCATAGTGGCCATCGGCCGTAATTGGTTGAAAGGATTGTAACCCTTGGGGTTGACAGCGAATTCACAGCATCCGAGATCCAGGAGGCTGACGCCAACGGCTATCTCCATAGCATGGGGTTGCAGATGAATGGAATCCTCGGGAGCGCCAGTCCCAGAGAAGAGAAAGGGAGTAACCAAACGAAGCTTGGGCCATCTCAAGAAAGCACAAAAGAAGGAAGAAGAGAGCGCGAGAGGAGGTGTTAGTTACATCTTTGAGGTCACATAGACCCTCATACAACATGTCCCACCCCACCACTCGCACGGGACCTGGAGCTCGTTGGATCTAAGGATCAAGCGGCTCTTGGCGAAAAGTCTTCTCAGATAATTGTGTATGCTTCGCACGAGGCTTTTCCCTTTTCGTAGTAATCCCCTAGAATTGGGGGTCCATTCCCAACGAGAATCGGGCTGCAGATCGTGAGATCTGACATCCGGAGCTCTCTAAGTCTGCTTATTACTGTCATAAAACGAGCGGGTATTTAAGGCTGTATTTGGTATTGCAGATGAGAGGTCGCCAACAATGACTATTCACATTTCTTAAGACTTTGGATCTCCCCCTGGTGCTAAGACCTCATGTCCAGGTTTTTCTTTCTCTCCTCAACCCCCAAACTCTCTCCACTTGCGGGAAATTCCTTGATCATCGATCCACACATGATAGCCCTGTTCGCCTTTGTCCAATAAGTCTATGGCATTTTCACCTTCGCGTCGAGCCCCCGTCTCGTCGGGTCCCTTTGTCTGCACTGATACCGACTGCCGTAAATCCTTTCTGCGCAAAGAGCATCTTAATCGCCATCTGCTCATACATACTAATATGCGCCGCCATAAATGTTTCATCTGTGGACGAAGCTTTACGAGGAGGTAAGACCCGCCTGCACTGGTCGCTTGGCGTTTTGGCTGTAGAAGACGATGAGCTGATTGGACAAAACAGTGATATTTTGAACCGACATGTACTCCAGCATAATGTACCTCCAACCGGTGCAAAAAGGACACCGCTAGCATGTCAAACGTGTCGGCGGCGCAAAACAAAGTGTGATTCTAACTACCCCTGTTCTATATGTGCCGACAGTGGAGAATTATGCGTGCGTGAATCATCTAGTACGCAGAAGTTCATCCCCGCAAGTCGATCGGTCCTCAATTATTCCCTTGGGAAGGAAAATAGATCAATCGAACTTGCAGAGGGCATAGACTACGAGGGGCCTGGAACCCCAACCATACCAAGTGTAGATGATACCTCCCCCATGCGACTGGATTGGAATATGCCGATGGACCGAAGTGCGAGCAACCACTCTATTAATACTCGGCCCAACTTGGTAAATACGGACACAGATCAAGGTCCTCTACAACCACTAACCGATCCATTGATGGGCATGATGTCCGGGATTAACACAGCCACATCCACCCCGAACAGAACCCCTCCTATGTACTTCAGCGAGCCATCTGACATTATGAGTTTTCCATTTCATGCACCAGTGCAGCAACCCCCAGAAACGAGGAATCACTTCGTTGTAGACGAACCATGTGAAATATACATGAGCCATGTACCAACCTTTACCCCCAGCAGCAGTTTTTCAAGTGAGTGGGAGCTACAAACTACTACATTTGAGAACGACTCTGATCTAACTTCGCAACCACAGATGCTTCAATGCTTGGGATGACCGGCTATGAGGCATTCACCCCATCATTATCTAGCGAGTCGCTGCAGCTGCACGAGGCCATTGTGAGCCAATCACAGTTCGTCACTGCACAGGTCAAATCCATTCATTTTGAACATTTCCACCAAGCCTGGCCCTTTCTACACGTTCCAACCTTTGCACCTGAAAAGCAGACAGATCTGTTGACAAGTGCGGTGGCCAACCTATCGATGTGGATGCAAAACGCCAGTCATCACCATCTGGTTCCATACGAAATCAATCAGGAACTAACCAGAGCACTAATGCCTACAATTGTGAGTGTCGCTTATATGGTGGAACCTTGCAGTACGAAAATATTAATATTGGAATAGACGGAAGAAGGCTTGACAGAAAATCAATCGGCCGATATAACCTTACCCACCCTACAAGCATTGGTCGTCACCTTGACCTATGCGATTCTCGGAGATGTAAGATTTATTCCTCGATAGCCAAAAAAAAAAAAAAAAAAGATGGAACAAGTTAATTAATGGGCACAGGCACCTGCATCTACTTTGAATTGGGCAGCACAGTGGACCGATATTGCCATCTTCACTTTTCGACGGCTCGGTGTCTTGGATGATCGGTGGCACCCAGACCAACACCTACAATCCGCCGATGAGCGATGGGTCCAGACTGAGGAGATGAAACGGTATACTTTTCCCACTCCATCTATAACCACCCATTTTCTAACGCCTTGTTAGGCTAGTATACGCGGTTCTGCGCATTGATACTTATTTGTGTATTATCCTTGACCGACCCCCTACCATGCGGTACCAAGAGATCAGACCACCACTGCCTGTGTCAGACGATCTATGGCGAGCAGAGACTAGAGCCGACAGAACCAACCTGCATTGGTATGAACCGGCAGTCCGAACCAAAAGTTCATTTTCTACAATGGTCTACGGCGGACTAGAGTCACGAGCCTTCATCCCTGGGTACCTCCGAGTGCCTCACCTGACCCTTGAGGATAATCATTTCAGTCTCTGTGCATTCATGTCCGAGATATGGTGTGTTTTGAAAGAGGCCCACGAGGAACGTCATCGAACTTACCGCTCACCCGAATTGAACCGCACGGCAGACCGAGTCAAGCTTTGGAAAGGCTATCTCCAGGGCTGGCGAGTTCATATTGAGAAGACTGACAAGCTGGAAGACACATTCTTCGGTGGATTCATAGGCAATTGCAACCATTTTCTCGGTCTCAATCTTACCCTATACCACGTTCTTTGTCTCAAGCTGTATGCCAATATGAGGCTGCTCGAGCATAGCAAATGCTGTTCGGGTTGCCCGGAGGCCAACATCGAAAATGTCATCAGTATTTGGGCCCGATCTTCAGACGGTCGTCAGGCAGTCTACCACGCCGCTCAATTGAAGCGTATCTACGAGCGCGAGAGCAATATTTACCGACTCAACGACCAATCTCTGTGTAATGTTCTAGGTCCTGCCAGTCTGTTGAACAGTGCTATTGTCCTATGCACATACAGTGCCAAGGCGTCTAGGGTTAACACGCCTGACGGCGACACTGGTATGGCAGCACCGGCTGATGCAATCGAGCTGAGTCGGTCGAATCTGGTAGGCACCCCTGAATTCGAGAATTGGATCTCCCAGGGTGGTCCCGCGACCGTGGACGGGGTCGCCTTGCATCCTTTCTCGGTTCCCTGTTTCTCGTCATGGCACCGTGATCGGTTAGAAACACGTCCTGTCTACTCGTCGCGCTTGGTCACATTCCTTCACACGTTAAAATTTTGATGACTTTGGTTGGCTTTGCTTCCTTCCCCCTCACCATTGCCCTATATCAGTTATCGGGGAGTCCATTTTTCCCGTGGGACGGATACTACTCATATACTACTCATACAGAAATTGTAACCTCCCAGGAGGTAGTTATGCGGAACAAAAAAGAAATGGACGGGCAGCGATTCGAACGCTGGACTTTTCGCATGCAAAGCGAACACTCTACCAACTGAGTTACGCGCCCAATAGATAGTAGATGAAATTGTATCGCCTATTGCGGTCTATATAGTTGAGACTGTGTGGCTCAAACGGGATAAATTTCATACGTAGATTGAACTTCACCTGGGTGATATCGAGAAATAGTATATACTATACCAACCCGCTAGTGTTTGGGGAATCCGCGGGTGAATGCGACCGAGCTTTTCTAAGAATTCCTTCCCCACCTTAACCTGGGCTTGGCTTAATCGCTTCTTATAGTTCTAGGAAACAAGTATTTGCAGATCCGTACCCAACCAATATATATATTTATATACTAATGTGCATTTCGTTGGAAACAGAAGTACAAATCTTGACTATCCCGACAACAATTTGGCAAGGCGGACCACCCATACGGAATTTTGAAAGTTCTCAGATTTTCAGAATGATCTGTCGAGAATCTTTTGATGTTGTTCATCAAACCAAGGGGGTTACTGGGGGCCACTCCAATTGCATCAACTACCAAAGTGATAGACTGCTTGGCAAGTTGGAAACACCGGGCGAGCACAAAGTCCAGTTCCTCCATGGAAAGATGCTGTAGTGCAAACATACAGAGTATGTGGTCTACCCCTTGTATCCTTTCCGCCATGTATACTTCCATCCTTTCATGGACGAGTTCGGTATACAAATTGTTTTGGCAGATATCCAGCGATTTCTTGGATATGTCGACTCCCACCATTTCCGTAATTTGGTTCTCCGGATCCGATCTCAGAAGGCGGCCGACAGTTCCAGTTCCACACCCAAGATCAAGTGCGGTGCCTTGATAAGATCTCGTTGTAATACATTTGGCAGAGTTGGTCGCTGAAACGCGACCAGCATGAGATTGAGCCAGACAGTCATAGAAGTTTGCCATTTCGATGAAATCATCCCCACGCTTAGCGCGATGATTGAGAAAGTAATTCGTGATATAAGTGTTGAGAACGGCTCGGTAACTCCCAGGAAACCCCCGCTGGATATCAGTATCCTCAAGTTGGGATCCAACGGGGTAAAAGAAAACAGGAAGCGGGTCAACCTCAATGACATAAGCTCTCCCATCCTTCCCAATGCGCATATCAACATCACAGCCCATGTAGTTCGTATACATTTTGTTCGTCGTGAAAGCCTCGACGGCAGTAGCTTGCAAGTGCTTCCAGAGCCTCGGGTCATCGTTCTCATTCAGCAGCTCATATCCAGACGCCTCATCGAACTTCAAATCCAAAGTCAAGAATCGGCCCTCGCTGGAAACCTGTTTGTATTTCGCACGTTGTGGAATGAGCGGAAAAGGACTTTGTCCCATAGCAATGACCACAACAGAGTACTCCTCTCCGTCGATAAATTCCTGCACAACAAGATCCAAACTGTTCCTCCCTTCAGCCTCCCGGGCATCAGCATATTGGTCTGGATCTGCGTATCCAAGCGCTCGCGCACGCAAGACGCGCACGGAACGCATCGACTGATTCAATCTTTGAATACAGTCATCTAACTGATCTTCATTTTGACACAGAGAATGCTCATCAATAAACATACTCCCATAGCTCGACGCTGGCTTGACGAATAAAGGGAATTTCGTTGTCCCAGGCACAAGGGGACTGCCGGCACGTTTGGCCTCTGCAAAGAAGTCCCATTTGGTTTGTTCGCGCTCGGAGCTTTGGATACCAGCGCTAGGTAGGTTAAGCGACTCAAAGTATCGAATTGCGTCGATGCCAGCTAGTGAGTCATCGTGTGTTCCCCACATGAAATTCAAATAGAAATCATGGCCTTCGCGCACTGCGGCATCTATTTGGGCTTTCGCTGTGGTCTTATGGATGGTGTTGTGGGATATTTTGTGCTGGGTGATGTGTTGGCCGGGGTTCATGTATAGCCTTTGTGACTCGCCGACTGAAGCTTGGAGTTCTTCGAAACATGATTGAAATACACAGATTTTCATTCTGAGAGAGTGTGGAGGTATGGTGTTTTTTTGTTCTGTCTCGCTCTCTGATAGCCTAGGCTAACCAAGTGATCGCGTGCCGATTCCCCCCACCTATATTGACCGCTCATTCCTGCAAGATCGACGATATGTGATTGGCCTTGTGTTCTTCAGAAGCCCTATGAGGTTTTCTGCCTTGTCCAATAGTACCTGCGCATACATCCCTCGTCAATCAAACACGGAAGTGATCGGAGGATAGTGGACTGGCACCCCCAACCCAGGATATAGATCTCAGCTGCTGTGGCCTGCGCCACGATTCTTCAGGTTATGACGTACAATAATAATCGGAATATAACTATCCTTGACGCCCTAATACTTTGATTACCTAGTCTATTTGGACTGTGAGATGGTATTAGAGATGTGCTTTTGAGTGTTCTTTGTATATGTCTTTTTATAGGTTGGTGAAAAGAACAGTATAGTTAATAGGTCAAAATATGCTTCACAACCCCAAACCGCCCGGAAAAACAGCCGTAGCGGTAGCAAATGCAACTATTCCCTCCTCACGCCCCACAAACCCATTGCGTTCATTCGTTCCCGCCTTAACCGAAACGCGACTCCTATTCAACCCCACAATACCAGCAACAGATTCCCGCATAGCATCACGGTAATCACTAATCCGCGGCCTCTCGCACACAAAGCTTACATCACAATGCGTAATGACACCACCACCCTGCTTAACAAGCTCAGCGGCATGTTTAAGAAACTGAGTAGACGAAGCTCCCTTCCACCGGACATCCTTCGGCGAGAAGTGGCTGCCAATATCCGCGGCAGAAATTGTGCCGAGAAATGCGTTTGTCAAAGCGTGGAGTCCGACATCTGCGTCGGAATGACCGAGGAGTGTGGAGGTGTGTGGGATCTTTACACCACAGAGTGTGATCTCATCTCCGGGGATAAGACGATGCGTATCATACCCGTGGCCAACTCGGACGTCCGGTAGCAAGCCGGGGGTCGGGCTGTTGGCTCGCAATAGTCTTTCGCCTTCTTCGAAATCTTGAGAGTAGGTTAATTTGATGTTCTGCGAATCGCCTTGTACAATGCGAACAGACAGTCCTGCTTCCTCTAAGAGTGAGGCATCGTCTGTGTACGATGAAGTAGACGTAGCTGCCATTTCGTGGAGATGTAGGATGGTCTGTAATGTAAATGCCTGCGGGGTTTGGGCGCGGAAAAGGCCATCGCGTGGGATTGTTGTCTTAACCAGGCCGTTTGAGTCGGTCTTTTTGAGCGTATCGGACACTGCGATGGCGGGGATCACACCTGTTAAGGGCTCCTTTATAAGGCATTCCAGAACATCATTGAGTAGACGGTGGGTTGCGAACGGACGCGCTGCGTCATGGATAAAGACGTGTGAAGGGCACTCCGGGAGAGAAGAGAGGAAGCGTAAGCCCTGTAGGACGGATGCTTGTCGTTCGACCCCTCCCGTGGTAGTATGGATGTTGGAGTCACAGTCTATGGAAGCTTGGAGTAAAGATGTATCATCCCCATGATGAACGACAATAATGGGACAATTGGTATTCCATGACCGGAACTGCTTCAGAACACGATTGAGCACCGTATCGCCCCCGATTCGGCGATAGGCCTTTTGGCAACCTTGACCTGCACGTGTGCTACGGCCAGCAGCTGGTATGACAATACCGATCGTGGGTCTTTCTGTGTGAGGAGTCATTATATGAAATTCCAAATGGTGTGTTAATAGGTAGGTTCAGAAAATACCTATCGACAATCGACATGCCCCTCCGAGATCTGCGTCCCACGCACCCCACGTCACGACCTGCGCTTCCCAGGTTCCCCCGAGATCTAATTGATTCCTTCGCTCCTGTCGCGTGAGCACCTTCCCTTTATCACACTCTATAAATTACCTATCTTGCTAAGTTATCCTACATGTCAATGCAACCAATGACTATGACCACCCGATCAATTTCCCTCCAAGTCCCCGCAAAGCTCAACCTGCAGGTCCGCGTCGGCCCTCTTCGTGAAGATCGATATCACGATATCACACTAGTTTATCAGGCGATATCGCTCTATGACACGTTGCACATCTCACACAACCCGAAAGGCCCCACAATTACTATAACAGGGACGGAGAGTGAGCGAATCCCAACAGACGGTCGCAACCTGGTCCTTAGAGCAGCTCAAGCTCTCGGAGACCATGTAGGCTTTGAACCACATATGCATTTCGACCTAATCAAGGCGATACCCACACAGGCCGGGTTGGGTGGTGGAAGCGCGGATGCGGCGGCCACCCTTGTCGGCTGTAATATACTGTGGGGATCAAATGTTTGTGACGACGATCTCATGACGCTGGGCGCAAATCTAGGGGAAGATGTACCGTTTTTCATCAAAGGCATGATCGCCCTGGGCGTGGGACATAAGAAGCCTCTCGTGAGCCTGCAGACAAGTATGTATACCTGGAACTGGGTTCTAGGTGTGCCTGCTGCGGGTTTGTCAACAAAATCGGTGTTTGAGAGATTCGATCACATATTGGCGAGGTCTCCATCTGCCGAGAAGATTTATTTGGAAAACCAGCAAAAGTGCATTGAAGTTCCTTGGGGGACACGTTATCCGGGGAATCTCCTATCTGTGCTTGTTAATGACCTCGAAGGTCCATCTACAGAGCTGCTGCCGGATATTGAAATTGGTTTACGCGCTGGAAAGGCCGCTGGAGCGATTGCTAGTCTCATGAGTGGATCGGGGTCAACGTGCGCATTCCTGGCGAGAGACGAAACTCATGCGAGAAGTTTAATGATAGAATTGCAAAAGGAGACAGTTTTTAAGGAGGTACTGATGGCTTCAGGGCCCGTTGAGGGTGTTCGTGTTCTCTGAGGGATGAGGTAATACAAATTTAGATGCCAGTTGTTTTCTGAGTACTGGAATACCGACATCAAATTCGCCAATGTCGCCTTGAATCTGCTATGCAGCTAGACTTCGTAGCTCATCCAATTGGTCTCCAGATGGGCGATACGTTCGTGATAGAACTTCAAGCCGACAAATTCCTTTTTTTTCTTTTGTTTTACTAGTGCGTCAAACTGCGACAGCACCACACTGGCAGGCATATCATATGTTCCTGCACGGCCGATTCTGGCCTGCTGGTCACCCTCACGTGGTGATATTGGATATATGTCGGGATGGTGAGCGTGTACCTATACTGTACAACGGTTGCCAGGAACCGTTGGCTAAAAGTTCCAAGGTTGCTCAAAAGGTGCAGGCCAAGTGGGTCTGTAACATTCTAATGCCATTCAATCCTCTTTCTTAGACACTGATGACCCCATCGTCCTGGCGACAAGCGGAAGAGGCCAGGCGAACTGGCCAGTCGGATCCTCGTGTACTTCACCAGCCGTGAGCATGTCGATAACCACGACGGCAATGTATCCACCAATGGCCGTGAAGACATGCCACCTATATAAATCGTCAGAGGGTGTATCTCGTAGGCAAGGCAATGAATGCACATCGACTTACCATCCGTGTAATTCAAAGAGGAAAGCCAAGGGAAGGCCGATGGAGTGTTGGATGGAGGTCAAATGTCTACAGGCGAACTCATCGATGAGCCAGACCATGTATCCAAAAAGGAAGGAGACTGGAATTTGGTCATTAGTATGGATCCGTGGAGAATCGTTTCGGCAGTGTAAAAAGATCAAGTGTGTCGGCAATGGTGATTGGTAAGTAAGAGAGGCACTCACAAACTCCAAAATGAGTCACGCTCTTAACACTCTTCCGAATTACGGCATCTGGAATTTGTCGCGGAATGAGTCTCATTGTACAGATCACAATCAGAAGAACACCCGATCCAAAGGCCACCGCATGGAGAAGGAACTCATCCAGGACCATATGAGCAACCATGACGACGGTGAACTCGATGAAGAGGATGATGCCCATGAGTCGGGTGTACTGCTCGCTCTTCTGGAAAGTGAGGAGACGGTGCACGAGCGGCGTAGTGAGGAGGTGCATTGATAATTCATCCGCTGCAAAGATAATTCGGGAAAGGATGTCAATTTAGCCCCAGGCCCATGTGGGGATATGCAGAACGTACACATTTGCGTGTGATATTTCAGTGTCATATGGTACCCGCCGGAGCAGATACCCACGCCCATCAAACCGAAGAAGGGAAGTGAACGACCCACTGTCGCTTGGCCATTTTTGATGATCCTCAACAAACCGTGAATACCAAGAACGACTGGGTAGGCGAGATGGATTAGTTGATATGAAGGAAATGTGTTTTTGGCATATCCGGTGGGTTCCGAACGCACTGTATACAAGGCTGCTGAGGGTGTTGATGAACTCCGCGACGTATCTGGTGATCACATAGTCCTTAAAGAGCCAATCACATCTAATATTAGTATTTGCAGTAGAGAATCAGCCGGGGGAATTCCGAGACTATGCTGGTATACCTCTTCACAGAAGCTGGGAGAGGTGAGTTACGGACAAGCACTAGGATCTGCGGCCGATCAAAACGTACTTCAAATAGGATGTCTGGGGGCCCCAGAAGGGGTTTTTGGTGGCAAGATCCATCAGGAATGGCCGTGAAGATGAAATTCTATGTGTTGGGAGGTGAAAAGTGAGACGGACCAAAGAAGAAAACAAAATGACAGGAATAATGACAGAAAATGAGGTGGATAGGTGGATGGATGTGGGTGGGGGGGGTTCTTTTGAATCGATCAATCCCCTTTGAACCAAAAGTCAGCTTAGGTGGCCCACACAGGTACCCGTAGTCTTGGCACGCAGTCTTGGCACACAGTCTTGGCACGCAGTCTTGGCACGGATTGGCCAGAACCTTGGAATTTTTTTGCCCTTCGGCCCCACCGCTTCCCGTTGGACCCGAGTGGTAACCTTGGAACACCCTGGTTCAAGTCTCCAGGATATAGTACCTAGATATAGAGGAGGAAGAATACCCGGTTTACGGTTCTTCCGCTGGGAGGGATAATCGAGAAAATGAGGGACTTCTACCGAGAGAATGTTCATCAGGCTTCCCTAACTATATTTACAATGTTACACGTTGCACGGTTATGATTGCCAGACAAGTCTTCAAAATCAATAGGAAGTTATCGTTGCCCCGTATGGCCGATAACGCCGCGGAGTGTGATGCTGCAGATCCTCCGAACCAGGTCCCAGATTAGCCAGGCGATATTCCGACGACGGAATTTCTCCACTCCTTTGAACTCCCCCTTCCTCCCTGCTATGAAGATTATAGAGATGTCTCAGCTTGGCCACCTCATACATCAGCACCACCCGACAAACAATCACGGATCCCATGAAGCGGGTAATCACCGCAACGCTATCTCGGACGGAGATGAACAACATGCTAGAGAAGACGAGGGTGCCCAACATGACATGGGCCGCGGTAAGGAGGGAGAGGATCCACGAAAGGAGTATGTATAACGGGGTTTCCTTTTTGAGCTCAATTCTCGGCGGAGGTTCATTCAAGGTGTAGCCGACGAAAAAGGTCTTGAGCTGATCGAAGGGTGATAACGAGAAGCACGGGATTCCATATCTCTTGATGCTGGTGTGGCCAGGCCAGTGTACGCGAAGACGGAGCGTCCAGGCGGCGACCATGTGGCCAATGGGGCTGAAGAAACACCATAGGAGGATGAGATACCCGTAGTTGGGGGCAAATGAAAGCGCCACATTCCGACCGAGTTGATAACCTAGCGTGCCGACGTTGGTGATGGCAGCGAATACGAGTGCATACTCGAGAACTGTGATGAGAAGTTCAATGTGAAAGTTGAAGAACATGGGAGGGAGACGACCAGGGCGGTCTTTCAGGACCGCTTGGGGATCTCGATAATCGAAGGCTCGGAGGGCAATCACGGCAGGTGACCCGACGGTCAGACACAGAGCAAAGAACGGACGGTTCCCGATCACGGCTAACACAGAGGTCTCATCGACGTCGGATCCCAGGGTGGCTAGAATCATGGGAGCCAGGCCTAGGAGCACGTTGGCGCTTGCCATGTTGCTTTTCATGTATTCAGGGCAAGCGCCCATTATGCAGTTTACCAGCGGCGCGGAGAGTGCCGCAGTGCTGCCGGATCCAATCCAGCGGGAGGTTTCGTGCCAGTAGGTGCGGTTTTTCTGTGCCGTGAGGTAGAAGTGGTACTCCGAGGAGCAATTTTCCCGCACGATACGGTCAAAGATGAAGTCGAACTCAGGGTACCAGTGTTGGAACTGGTCCCGTGCCCCTGATACATGGGTAATCTGAAGGAAAAGAAGGAGAAGTAGGCTGAAGATAGATAGCCTAGGAAATCTCGACATGGTATTGAAGCTTGAGTCTAAACGTCTTAACCGGAGACAGGTTGGCGCTAGAAAGAAAGAAAGGACGGTCTTTCTTGAGCCCGGAGCGGAGCTTATATTGCGAGGACATGGGAACCAGCTGAACCAGGACCAACCACTAACTGCGTATAATTGGTCTCACAAATTGCTAGCATTACCTGCACCTCGTTGTTTCTCGATGCAAGCCAATGAGGGTGTTACTAACTATAACCCATCTATACATGTCGGATGCCATCCAGATACGTATGATACTTTGCACTGACAATTCAGACTTATACTGACGGAATGGGACACTGTTTGCAGTTTGTTTTAGTCGACCTTAGCCGCACCATATACATGTTTCACCGATTGGAAAGTGCTCAAACCACCGCTATTCTACAAACTGGAGTGACCAAATAGAACCGACAGACAGATCCTTCGCCTCCTGTGAAATACAGCGTGTGCAATAATGAATGCCATTAACGTTGTCCACAGCTAAACAGATGACACCAGGTATAAAAGAAAAACTATATAAAAATGAGCGAGGACCTTTGGTGGCTGCACCCATACTATTTTACAATATAGTTCGACAAAGAACAAAGAAGATTAATTGTTCGTATCTGCGTGACGAGTCATCTACCGCAGCCACCTGGGCATGATTGGAGGCCACCAAATGAGTGGCGTTCACCCCGAACCTTTTGGCCCTTGTCACCAGCATCCTTTATTCGTGCCCTCCACTACACGATGACCCTCTAACAACTATTACGATTCGACCTCTTCATTCCCACAAGAGGGCTGGATAGGTCAAGGTCAAGGCCCGGGAGCGCACTACGCCCCGCGCGGGACGCCCCGTTGCCTTTGCCTACAGTGTGCACCAAACAAAGGTTTCGTGCTAACCGTCCTGGCGCTTAGCTCGATGGTCATAAGTGGGCAACAAACCATCGAAAACATGCCTTCAGGTGAAGCCATAGCGCGAAAAGTGGATATGAGCGTCGTTTCTATACGGACAGTTCGTTGGTTGGAGTGATGGGGCTGGGGCTGAATACGAGGAACTACTGTGAGATAGATCCCGGTCGGCTTACCGTTCTGGGACAGCCATGCAGAGATTCTAAAAGTGAATCGTCTGGGATCTGCATATAGCGTCTCATTGGGTCCGTCTCATTGGGTTCTCCGCAGTGCTCGTGGACATCCAAGGCACAGGATGCAGAAGAGCGGAGCTTCATCACATCGCTCGTGTCGTATCTCTCCCACACTCGACTGCCTCGACATGACGTGTCATGTTTGCTCATTGACAGGGGGCAGTCAAAGGTGCCCGTGATTAGACATCAGATTGAACGCCATAACTCACGAATTGCCAATCATCTTGGGAGGACTCTCACCGGGATGGGAGGGATCATGCCTCGTATTACTTGTGAAATGAAGCATCCCGAGCGAATCATCACAACTGACCCCTGAGCGGTTGACTATGCTCCTAAAACACGTATCCTACATGATACGTGATACGGGAGTAAAGAACCGAGCTTTGATGGCTATCTCCTGCGCAGTTAGGAGGTATTGACGTTCCATGCCGTTCAGTAATCTCTGGGATTGTCTCATCGATATCTGGCTCTTCCTTCTATTGACTTCGAGACTTTAATGGCGACGCACCTGTCTTCCGAACAATCGCATAAAGACACAGTGCCTTCAATCGAGCCAGACCAAAGCATAACTTCTTCAGCTTCCCAAAAAGTGGTTAAGCGCATAGGATGAACAGCAGAGGTTGTGAGTCTATTGACTCGACTCTCCCGGATTTGCCGCGACTATCGACTGATACTGAGAGCTCCTCGGTGTCTTTACTTGACCAGCAAGTATCTAATTCACCTTCTCATAACCACGCATTCGAAAATTTCATAGAGTTGGACGATTGGCATAATCCCCTGCTACCTGGACAGAGGGAAACACGGTACAGGGGGCCCAGGGGTGGGGGATATGGTTTCGCAATATGGCAGCCCTGGAGTAGTGTTCTGTCGTCACTCCTTGACAAAGTCCGCTCCACAACCCAAACGCTTCGCCAAGCGGTCTCCCGTGCTCCGTTAACGGCAGGTGATGGCCGCCGTCTTATCCTTGACCCCAAGAGAAGGCGGTCGTTGATGGACCACCGCATCCAGCGCCCTTATGTATCCAATTCCATCCGGTCCAGCCGCTACACACTTTGGAACTTCTTGCCCCGTCAGTTGGTTGCCCAGTTTTCCAAAACCGCCAATTTCTACTTCATGATCGTGGCTATCTTACAGGCCATTCCTAATCTCAGTACCACCGGCAACTTTACAACTTTCATTCCATTAATGATCTTTGTCAGTATCTCCATGGCAAAGGAGGCTTTTGATGATTTTCGCCGCTACCGACTCGATCGAGAAGAGAATAACCGTCAAATTTCAATACGTCGTCTTGGTAGCCTTCACACCATACCCTCCTGGCAGCCGGCACGATGGAACGAGGTTCAAGTCGGTGATCTGATCGAGATAAAAAGAGACCATCCTGTCCCTGCCGATATCGTCCTCATTCATGTCGAGGGTGACACTGGTGTTGCCCATTTTGAGACAACGGCTCTCGACGGAGAAACCAGTCTCAAATGCAAACAACCATGCCCGCTGATCGCAGAGACCTATCAGAGTCCCGAGACGATCGATACAATTGATATGCACTTGGTGATTCAGGATCCCAATGAGGACCTTCACAGATTTGAAGGCCATGTGAGCATCGGAGACGTAAAGGCACCTCTCACCAACAATCACATCGTCTATCGTGAAAGTGTCCTGCGCAACGTTGGCAGAGTCATTGGTGTTGCCATCTATACTGGAGAGGAGTGTAAGATCCGAATGAATGCCAACAAAAGCCCGAGGACCAAGGCCCCACTGATTCAGACTAAAGTGAATCGCGTAATCCTCTTGGTTGTCTGCGTGGTCTTCATGCTGGTCCTGTTCTGCACGCTTGGTTACACAATGTGGTTTAGCACGCTAGAGAATGGATTCTGGTATCTACAAGGGGCAAAAGTCAGATTGGGGCCAGAGTTTATCTCATATTTCATCATGTTCAATACTATGATCCCATTGTCATTGTACACAACCCTGGAGTTGGTCAAGATATTCCAGACATTCCTACTACTCCAAGACGTTGACCTATATGACGAGGACAGCAACATCCCGGCGCAAGCACGAACCTCAACAATCAATGAAGACCTCGGTCAAGTGAATTACATATTTACTGACAAGACCGGCACTTTGACTCAGAATATGATGGAGCTACGAAATCTTAGTGTAGCAGGAGGATCGTACTTTCACGACCCACGGCACACCTTGAACGTGCCAGCTACTAATACCACGAACACTCGTCGGAACTCACTCTCCCAACCGATGGCAAATCTCTCTCGCACTCAACATATGATCGAATTCGTTCAGAACAATGCGCATTCAAAGTTTTCACAGAAAGTCAAACTGCTACTGTTGAGCATCGCTCTGTGTCATACCTGCTTTCCGGAATTTAACAGAGCAGAGAGCAGCGTTGGCTTCCAGGGAGTGTCCCCAGACGAGGTAGCTCTTCTTACTGCCGCCCGAGAACTCGGATATATGCTTCTGAGTCGCCGCCCAGACTCCATCACTCTCCGAATCTTCCACCATCAAAGACATGATAGGTATTCCGACGAGACCTATGAGATATTGGATGTAATTGAATTTTCGACTACGCGCAAGCGGATGTCTATCATTGTCCGTATGCCTGATGGACGGATCTGCCTTTTCTGTAAAGGTGCAGATAGTGTTATCAGATTGCGCCTTCACCAGAATCTGTGCCAGAACTCGTTGAGCCAGGCTAAATTGGAGACGGGAACTTCGATGATCGGTCTGGGGGCACCCGTGAGGGGCGAGAGTATGTATAGCGTCTCATGCGATGATCTGTCACGATTAAACAAGACTAACCGTTAGGATCACTGCTTAGATGCCAAATCAGATACCGAGGGCGACCCATCAACACCCGAAGTTGGAGCGGAAGAGGCGGCTCCCCCGATTTTTGATACTATAGACGGTACTGTTCGGCAACAAGTCAACCTGTCTGATAATTCAGAAGTTGCCAAACGTTGCTTTCAACACTTGGATCAGTCTGCTTCCCAAGGCCTTCGAACGCTACTGTATGGCCATCGTTTCCTCGATGACCAGACGTATTCTGAATGGAAGCGACGCTATACTGGTGTTCATCTCGGGGCTACTGATCGGACAGAAGCCATAGACGAAGTCGGCCAGCAGCTCGAACACCAGATGGAGCTGACGGGGGCAATCGCTATAGAAGATAAGCTTCAAAAAGGAGTCCCAGAGGCCATCGATACGCTACGCAGAGCAAATATCAAACTTTGGATGCTAACAGGCGACAAACGCGAGACGGCAGTCAGCATTGGCCAATCCTGCCGCCTTCTGCTTTCTCATTCAATTGTGATTAGCCTCGATGAAAGTAACTTCCGTCTGCGTCTGGCTGATGTGACAGAAAAGATATCCAAGGGAGAAATCCTGAGCTTTTCCATCGTCGTTGAAGGCTCAGCACTGTCTGCGTTCGAGTATGACGGGCCTTCCGTGGACAGCTTCTTTAGACTTGCAATTCTCGCTGATACGGTAATATGTTGCCGTGCGAGTCCTACACAAAAGACGTTCCTCGTGAAGACAATCCGCAGATATTCCCGCAACGCTACAACTCTAGCGATCGGCGACGGTGCGAATGACATTGGCATGATACAGGAAGCCAACGTAGGCATTGGAATAGCAGGCAAGGAAGGGCTGCAGGCTGCCAGGGTGTCTGATTATTCAATAGCAGAATTCCGCTTCCTCGTGAAACTTCTCCTCGTTCATGGGCGATGGAACTATATCCGGATCTGCAAGTTTACTCTTGCCACATTCTGGAAAGAAGTAGTCTTCTACATAACACAAGCCTTCTACCAAAGTTCCAATGGGTACACCGGAACCAGTCTGTATGAGCCCTGGGGCTTGAGCATGTTCAATACGCTCTTCACCTCGGTCTCGGTTGTTCTTCTTGGTGTGTTCACGAAGGATCTCTCGGCGTCCACACTGCTTGCCTTCCCCGAGCTCTATGCGACCGGCCAGCAGCATAGAGGCTTCAATATCGCAATATATCTAGGCTGGACCCTGATGGCCCTCTGCGATGCCATCATAATCTACTTCATCATCTATAACCTGTACAAAGATACAGGAACCGACATATTCTCCTTTGGTCTACCCACCTACTCAGCCTGTGTCATTGTCGTCAACCTAAAACTTCAATTCCTCGAGGTCTACAACAAAACCATCACCGGCGCGGTTTCTTTGTTGGTGGCTATCGGGGGTTGCTTCCTGTGGAATATTGTGTTGTCCTTCGTCTATCGATTCGAGTCAGGTCAAGGCATCTATCATGTCCGATGGAACTTCATGCATGAGTCCGGTGAGAACATGTTATTCTGGCATGGTTTGGTGCTGGCGGTGCTCAGCGTCTGCCTGTTCGAAATCGCAGTCGCAACCTTCCGGGCTTGGCTTTTCCCCACGGACGTCGATCTCTTCCAGAGATATGAATGGCGACGAAAGGAACCATCTTTCTGTGATGAGCCAGATCAAATCAACGAAATGAGTGAATTTCAACTAAAGGACTAGTACAGAGAGGGAAAGAAGGAAAGAGTGACAGGAATCAAGAAGAAACGCAGCCAAATCTCCCAGCCAACGAAATATATAGCACAAGTGGCACCACTTGATAACAGCCAGATCGTAGCATTTTTACCGATTGAATTCATATTGGAATAAGCAAGTAAGTGTTTGAACTAAGATTACATACTCATGCCATTGAGTCACTCGATTAGATGATTTCAAGGGGTGTCTATTCCATAGGGGTGGGCACCTGAGCGGGACTAGACAGCGACATTGCCCGAGGACGGGCACCACCGAAACATACCACCTCTAGATGTCTCGTACTATTGCAGTAGGGCGGAGACAAGATATCTGTTGGAAAGACTCTCTTCATTAAGTTCTCAACTAGTTAAAAGGGGACGAGTCTTCGACAGTTACCTTTTAGGAGCATGGCGATAATGTGATTTTGCACCGACTTGGTTTGGACCGAGGTTAGGTTAGTGAAAATAAACCTGGCGATACATTCTCATCATTGAAAAGCATGCTCCAGTCCATATCCGTCAGAAGTTCATCTGCCCAGCCGAACAAGTGAGACCCTCCGTCAATTACCGAAGGCGTACGTTCAGTACCCTCAGCACCTTGGGAAATGGCTTGGAATAAGACAGTCACAATATCTGGGGCGCGGTCACAAGCCCGCATCCATGGTCTCATCTCCGCGAAGATCTCGAGCGCTTTGTTTAAGCTCGAGTGCCAGGATATGAGGTTGTCAGAACCAAGTGCTCCGAGGTTGGAGGATGTAGCCATGGCGATGGAAAGGAGCGGAACCATGCAAGCTTGGAACAGATACCAAGCAGAATTCCAGACTTGCGTTCGATTAGGAACCCAGTGAAGCGCAATCGCGTCGATAGCCTCCGCGGCGATGGCACGGCAGAGGTCGGCCATCTGCTCTTCTGCTTGCCCAGTGCTATGCCTTTCGGGGTCTCCATACGCCTTGTATAAAAGAAAGCATCGAGATAGTATTAGGCGTACGTTGTGGTACCTGTTTCGTAGAAACTCGCGAGCTACGGTGATACGAGGCGGGGAATTCATGGTCTCTTTGAGGATAGGAGATAGTGTCCTATACCATTCCTGAAGTTCGTGATCAAGACTTTGGGCTTCGGATATGTTGATCCTGGTTGATTGTGCGAAACGATGCTGGAGACGGTTGCTGATGTGACAGAACTGCGTGCTAGCTCTCAAAGAAGCCGCAAAATGGTCGTCAGGATAAAGAGCAGTGGGCAATAATGTATTCATGGTGCTACTATCCCAGCGTCCACAGGTTGGGCGACCCAGGGTCATACTGGCCCAAGTGTCAAGGCAGTACAGACTCCACCAAGTACGCCGTCTACTTTCAAGCCGGACGGCGAGGCGTTGGCCGATATCCGGGTCCTGATGATCGAGACGAGTTGGAGACTCTCGGTGCAACCCCAATGCTATGGCTAAGCGTTGGGCGGCGCCGAGGATCGCATATGCCATATTGGGGGAGTTTCGATAATGGAGATAGTACCCGCCCAGCAGACACAGAGCCTGCAAAGTCTCCAAGTTACCAGATCCAAGCGATTCTAGGTCAAGGTAGGACCGAGCCCGATCGTAATAGTATATGTGAGCAGTGTCACTTCCTGACGCAATAGACCCTACCGTGAGAACCATGTTGTAGAGACCCAACCATGTGGGAGTTTGTCGATCGCCAGCAGCGAAGGTTGCCCTGAAAGATTCCTCATGCAAAAAAGGCGTGATGGCATGGATAGTCTCGAAGTAAAATCCAATATAGCGTTGTTCTCGCAGGGAATCAGATGGCACTGGAAGACCAAGATGCGGATTCAAAGCAGACGGCCGATTGACTTCTTGTTGGACCTCGGGCCAAACCTTGGACTGTTCCACAATCCGGTCTTTTGCGGCAGGGCAAAGCCGAAACAATGCCCGGAGAACAGCACTTACAGAGCATATCCCTAGATACGAGCGGCGATGCCGGTCGCTCGCCAAACTGATTGCATTTATATCATCGCTGGCCGCCATCGTGGCGGGGTTTTGCGCGGACTCGTCCCAGCATCTTTCCTCTCCCGATTCCCCCTATCGGACTCTTCTGGTGAGCCATGAGAATCTTCAAGGTCGCCGGAAATAATGGGTGATATGGCGACAGGGGGCGCTTCACTATATAGCTCTGATGGTCCGTCCTCTGTTGAGTCATGCGACAGGAGGAGGATGAGCTCCGATCGGTCCTTTTCAACCAATTCCTCTAAAGAACAATTAGGAAAGAGTAGTCTGAGAACTCCAGCCTGGCGACGTAGGGTTTCTGTAGCTTTCTCAAGGGTGCTGTACAAAGCGAAGTGCATATATTAGCGACATGATTTATTGAATGAGGCCCTTCGGAGGGATTGAATCCACTCACCTTCTGCTCGCTGCCTGACGTCTGGTCCGTTGTCTATAGGCGCAGGCTTCGGAAATCTGATAGTACTGGCAACTCGTACAAGGGTTTCCTCCGTCGCATTTCACTTTTCGGCGCGTGCATTCTGAACATGACTTGTTCACTTTGCGTGGTGGTTGGAGCCTTGGTGTCGCAGGTACTCCCAGGTCTCGGATTTCAAATGTGTGGAACATGATAGAACAGATGATGCCATTCTGTCAGAGTCATAGTCTTCGCTCATAAGAGACGAGCATTAGGGCGATGCGGAGAAGACGCCAAGTTCTGAAGAGCGTAAACATTGGGGGCAGTGGTTTTTCCGGAGGCCGATCCGCGGGGTTGATCTACAAGTGTGCCCCTGCGGTTTCAAGCAACCACTTCAGATGAATTTTTGGTCAATTCAATAACTCATATATATCGAAAACTTACGGAAGTATCCTTTGGGACAATCGTACTCAAAATTACAAGAATATCAAATTTAGGCATGATACATTTTGGAAGAAAGAAACCTCGCTTAAGCTATATGTTTCTAGAGTGCATGCAGTCATGCTTCACCCCTTCCAGCCACAATAATTCGTTTCCTGGCTTTCACAGCTTTAACACTGGCCTTTCGCGGGTTCTTTGCCTCAAATATAACGTCCAGCTCCTCGAGCGTAAATCCCTTGGTCTCAACAAAGAAGAAGTACATAAAGGTCATCTCAAAAGTATCCCAAAATGCAAAGAACACATAGAACCAGTACCCAATCTAGAAAATAAATTAGCAGTGTACAGGACATAACAGGTCGAGGATTTTGCTTACACTTGAGAGCGCAATGGGTCCAACGAAGGTATTGAGAAACCCAGCGGCTCCGGCTGTTAACTTGAAGGTACCCATTCCCTTGGCTCGCATTTTGTTACTTACGACTTCGGCTGGATAGATAGGTTGCATTGGGGTATAACCGCAAGCAAATATTGCACCGAAAAGGAAGATGAAGACAATACTGACGGTCGATGCGGTCGTGTTGCCATACTCAGTGTAGCCGGCGGAACAGGCTGCCACGATCGACAAACAAATTACCATACCAGCTGTGCTGGTAATGAGCATCTTGCGACGTCCTACAACATCATGTAGACGAGAACCGAAGATGGAAGACACCCAACCAACGACCGCATACACGATATTCAGAATCAATTTCATGTTGGTGTCGGTGATGCCAATGCCGCTGAGCATGATAGGCAGGTAATATGATACGATGCTAGAGATATGGTCAGTTACCCAAGTCACTAGTACCCAGGATATCTGACGTACTTGTTTCCGCTGAATTGGCCGAACCAAGAGAAAGCAATGTTAAGCATGAGTCTATAACGGCTCGAACGGGACTCAACAAGCACCCGGAGGTCGAACAGGTCTTTCCAGGTAGCTTGATGGTCAACATCGACAGTTGCGAGGATTTCTCCCATCTGGAGTGCAACGAGGGGATGGTCAGCATCACCATTTGTATGATAGGTAGCGATGATAGCTTTCGCCTCGTCGTGTCGATCCTTGGACATGAGCCTTTAGCAAGGGTGAGGTTAGCATTGACACACGGTTTCAGCAAATGAGATAAGCCAACGATCTAACAATGGAATATCGACTTACCATCGCGGGGACTCGGGGTAGAATTTAATAACTAGACACACAAGCCCTGGACACACTATCTGAAGCCAAAGGGGGATCCGCCAATCCAAATTACCTTGGTCAGCAAGGTATTTATGGCACGCATACACAGCCGATGTTGAAAACACAGAGCCCACATTATAAAACGTGTTATACATTCCTGCAATGGTTCCCCGATACGCTGGTGGAGCAAGTTCGACCAGATAAAGGGGAGCAGCAGTATGTGCGCATGTTGCGAAGAAGGACAAAATGAATCTTCCTGCGATGAAAGTTGGGAGATTTGACGCAAAAGCTGTTACAATGGTGCCGATGCAGACACCCAGGCAGCCGAAGAAGATGTGCCATGTTCGTCCATACCAGTCGGTCATCCAGATAAATAGTGCACCGCACATTTGACCAACCTAATAATAGAAATCAGTATAGCGCATAATCACTGAGCGAGTATTTACTTTACCTGGAAGATAGCAAAGACAATGCCAGTACTGGCGTTGCCATTCTCCGGCAAGCCAAAGTACCGAATGTAATTTGGAAGCGCGTTGATAGAACCCATCAACGAACTATCAAATCCTATATAGTGTTAGGAAGCCACAAATCTACCTAGCCATCAGTGATAGGGGACTCACCGTTCATAGTTGAACATAAGAACACAACCGCCGAGAGGAGATACAGCTTGATGTAGCCTGGACCTCGGGGATTCGGTTTGTGCGTCGCCATGATGGTCGCGTATGTTCCAATGATGTCCTCCATATTTTCTACCTCCTTCAGGGTAGAGTCTTCCTTTGACTTGTTCATAATGGAGATAAGAGGCCTCGTCCTAGACCAGTCCAAAAATGCGCAAATTTTGCAAGGAATTGCGATCCGTAGTTGAAACCAAGAGAAGCCGTGATGAAAATGCCAGCAATTCCTTTTGCGATAATGCAGGCTGTTAAAGGGCTTTTATAAAAGACCCCTGTCTAGAAGATGCATGTCTATTAGGCTTTCACGCAATCCCCACGGGGAGTCATGCGGCCCCGGTTTTCCGTCAAAGACTAGGCCGAATTCGTCGCGCGGAGATTTAAATCTTCGTTATTACCCCGGAAATATTGACCCCCACAAGGCTCAACCCAGACCTCAATGAGGAATATGAGATAGAAAGTGTCCGGGGTTAGTCAATTTGTGCGGTTGGAGTGGGGGTAACATTGGTTGTGGGTTGAGATCCTGGTCTGGAGGAAACATCGGGAGGTGAATGCGTTAAGGTCTTTTCTTCACTTGCTATACTTTTTGTACTATGATGAGGATGTAGTACTAATTAATTATGAGATATAGTTCATAGGACAAATTCCGTTTGAAAGGAAGCAATAGTCATGTATGATTCAGTCTATAATTTGGCCATTAAGCTATTTTCCACTGCATCTAAACCGGAGGGTCCGTCATAAAGCTGAGCATTTAAGATAGAAGTGTTGACCTATCAATTTTATAATCAGTTGTTGGTCATTTTCAATGAGGATGATGGAACTTACATGTTGTGGCCGAAGATCGCTCACACTGCTGGCACCGACGAGTCTCATAGCTGTCGCGGCCTCGTCTGCAAGAACTATGATTAAATATTAGTACCATGGATATTATACCCAATAGATAGAAGAACACGAACTCTGTAGAGATCTGTGGACACCTTCCTCTCCACCCACGGCTAAGCCATAGAGTGCAGCTCGGCCAAGCCCAACACCCTTTGCACCCAAAGCCAGCGCCTTGACGACATCGGTTCCCCTCTTGATACCTCCATCAATAAGGACTTCTACCTGATCGAAGACTTGCGGGCAAAATTTCCTGATTTCCAACAGAACTTGCATTGGGGTATTGGCCGTGTCCAATGCCCTTCCACCGTGGTTGGAGATAATGACGCCCTTAACAGCCGGGAACATAGTTGCCGCGTAAGCATCCTCATGCGTCTGGATACCCTTGAGGACAATTCCAAGGTCAGTATGAGCGGAGAGCCATGTCAAAGTCTTGCGCCAGGTGAGAGCTGACTCCGTCCCCCAGACTTGCGAAACCCCTCCCCCGGCAACTTCTTCCGCCTTGTAACGCTCATCAGCCTCGCGTTTTCCCGGAAATGGAGCATCAAGTGTCAAGACAATGAATTCGATTTGTGGAATGGCCTTTATCTGATTCAAGGTCCGTTCCGTGGCCTTGATATCCTTGAGAACGTAGAGCTGCCAGGCAAACACCGCATTATGGCCTGCGCGCACGATATCTGCCACAGATACAGATGCATTCTTGCTTATGATCTGGAGAGCTTTGAACTTGGAACAGGCAGCAGCAATACCCATCTCGCCTGATGGGTTTGCTAACTTCGCTATGGCCGCCGGGGAAATGAATATTGGCAGCCCGACTTTGTTTCCTAGGATAGTGGTAGAGAGCGAGCATAGGGTGCAGTCAACGAAAACTCTGGGTCGAAGGAGAACGGACTTGAATATGGCTCCATTTGCGACCTTTGTGATCTCATCATCTGTGCCGGATGCGTAGTATGTGAGTGCTTTGGGGCTGAGACGCTTTAAAGCTAGTCTTTCCATCTCCGCGATACTCAAGATTGTACTCATTGGAAGAGCGGGAATATGCTCGGGTTGTCCGTCGTCCCTGAGATCTTGGGATGCCGGCTTGAATTGACCCAATAATTGACCTGAAGACAAATACTCATCAAGCATCTCAGCCGGATGGACATCTTGAAAAGCACGGGTCGCATCGGTGCCAGCATGTTGGAGAATGATTGCCTTCCCCCTGGATGGCTGTTTAAGAAGCTGCTAACCTGGGGTTGTGAGCGGAAGTTTCGTTTATCGGGGGATGCACTGAAAAGCCTACATTGTAGACATTGCCGTGGATTGCGATCCAGCAATCACCTTCAACCCGATGGGTTTGTACTGATGTGGTCAGCAACTTGCCCAATTTTACTTACGCAAGACTTACTATCCGACAATGATAATGTGATTCCAGGCATAGTGGCTCTGATGTTCTCCATTACCATTGGGGGAGATACTCCTTTCTATTTCTTTTTCTCACTCTTTCATGACATTGGGGAAGATTCGTGAAGATCCGCTCTTCCCCACATTCCGTGCTCTCCGTTCTCTACGGGGTTTGAAATTCCCGTGCCATTTTTGGACTGCGGGAATAAAGACATTCACATTGGTTTACCTAGTCGAGCGTCCATTTTCCGAAGGGGTCCGTACCTTGAAAGTGACCGAGGTTTCAAAATGCCGTACCTTTCTCAGTTGATCCCGACATGAGGGATAAAACGGCTGACCTTCTAACGTGGTTCGCTGAATTCAGACTTCATCGCACAAAGTTCACATTCCTTGACATCATGCAAAAGTCTATGCGAGAGTTGAAGACTGGTTGGTCCTTGAAGCAGGCGGGTGATGTTTCTAATGAGTGTTGGATTCCCGTGAAAAAGGTTCCCAGTCAAGTCCACATTGATCTCATTGCAAACAAAAAGTAAGCACGCACTGCTCACTGGACAATATGTCAGCAATCTTCTAATACTAATGGACTAGAATTCCGGATCCATTCGTGGACGCTAATGAACTTGCGGTGCAATGGATCGCAGAGAAGGACTGGGTTTATCGCACCAAGTTCACGGCACCGTCCTCCGAAGGTACCACGACGGACCTGATATTCCTCGGGCTAGATACCTTCGCCACTGTGACTCTGAATGGAACCACAATCTTAGAGTCGGAGAACATGCATACTTCACATAGGGTGAATATCTCCGAGCTTCTTCGTGCTGGCCAAGAGAATGATCTTCAGATTGTGTTTCAATCCGCACTTCTCCGTGGTCGAGAGCTGGTCGATCAGCACCCTGAGCACATCTTTCACGTGCGCCAGACTGAAGCAAGTCGCATCCCTGTACGTAAAGCGCAGTACAACTGGGGCTGGGACTGGGGTCCTATTTTGATGACTGCGGGACCTTGGCGGCCCGTTGTACTTGAGCAGTACACTGCTAGGATCGACGATGTATGGACACAATACGAGATATCTGCAGACAACAAATCTTGCTCTGGAACCCTGTACGCGCGAGTGGGGGCAGGTACACAGGAGGGCGACACTGTCATTTTGTCCCTGTTTAACGCGGACCAGGCGGCCTTCGAGCAGAAGTGCCACATTGGAGCTGATGGGGTGGCAAAGGCCGCTGTGCAGCTTGCTTCCCCCTCTCTCTGGTACCCCCACGGTTATGGATCGCAGTTCCGCTACCGACTGTCCGCTTGCCTCATCCGCGGGAATACCAGACTAGACGAGCAGACCAAACTTGTTGGGTTCCGGCGGTGCCAACTAGTGCAGGAAAAAGACGAGTTCGGCAAGTCTTTCTACTTCCGCATCAACGGTATCGATGTATTTGGTGGTGGGTCGTGCTGGATCCCCGCCGATAGTTATCTTGCCCAAGTATCCAAGCATCGTTATCTCGACTGGATGAAACTCATGGTGGAGTCCAACCAAATAATGATCCGTGTATGGGGCGGTGGAATCTATGAGGACGATGCCTTCATGGAAGCATGCGATACGCTGGGCATCTTGATCTGGCATGACTTTGCCTTCGTCTGCGCCAGCTACCCAGTCTATCCGCGCTTCCTTAAATCCATTGAGGAAGAAGTACGGCAAAACATTAGGAGGCTGAGATCTCACCCATCCTTGGTAATCTGGGCTGGAAACAACGAAGACTATCAGGTCCAGGAGAGGTATAAGCTTGAGTATAATCAGGATGATACCGACGCGGACTCGTGGCGGCAGTCGACCTTTCCGGCCAGGTATATATATGAGCATTTGCTGCCGAAATGGGTGCAAGAAGAGGACCCGTCTTGCATCTATCATCCTGGAAGCCCTTGGGGCGATGGCAAACACACAACGGACCCAACTGTGGGCGATATTCATCAATGGAATAGTGAGTTCTCTCACGGCGTTCGACTTTACGACAACATTCTAACAAAACCTAGTCTGGCATGGCCAAATGAGCAGATATCAAGATTCTGCTAACCTTGGCGGTCGTTTCGTGAGCGAGTTCGGAATGGAAGCCTATCCCCACCTTCAGTCCCTTCGTCGAGTCATTACAGACCCACAGCAACAGCACCCTGGCTCAATGATGATGGACTTCAGAAACAAAGCTGCGGATCATGAGCGCCGCTTGATGACCTATGTTGCCGAGAACTTCATTGTGCCATCCGATCTCGCATCCTTTACCCACGTCACGCAGGTCCTCCAAGCTGAAACGATGCGGTATGCATACAAGGCCTGGAGGCGGAATTGGGGACAACCAGGAGCTCGACGATGTGGCGGTGTGCTCGTGTGGCAGCTGAACGATTGTTGGCCAACTATGTCTTGGGCAATTGTCGATTACTACTTGGTTAAGAAGCCCGCGTTCTACGCCATATCTCGAGCTTTGAGGCCACTTGATGTGGGTATATCTCGTAGCTGCCCGGTGTGGACTTCAGGTCATGCCGATCCAATGTCTACCAACTCATGCGAGTTCGATCTGTGGGTTGCGAGTAGCCTTCAAGAGGCAGTTGAAGTTCAGATAAAGACCAGATTTATTTCCATAAGGTCGGGTAAGTTGGTTAGTGAGACTATCGATATCACAACGGTAGCAACCCCCAACTCCACAACAGAGATCCTCGAAAAGCACCGCGTGAAGGTGTCTATGACTTGTGAGGATGGGGACTACAAGAACCTGGATCCGTTCATCATTCATGCAGAGTTATATGTTGAGGGACTGCTTGAAGCAGCTGACACTGTTTGGCCGCAGCCCTTGAAGTATCTGGACTTTGCGAACCGGAATGTCAGGGTTGAAGGCTCTCCATCCCAAGGAGAGATCACTGTCTCGGCGGATCTTCCGGTCAAAGGGTTCGTGTTTGAGGAAATGGAAGGCTTGAAGCTTAGCGACAATGGGTTTGATCTTATACCCGGGGAGAAGAAAAGAATTACTTTGAGTGGAAAAGGTGTAACAACCATGGAACTCCCGTGGACATATGTTGGTGCAAAGCCACTCCAGCTGGGAAAAAATCCTAAACTATGAGCAATGTCGCAAGTTCTCTTTGGATATTTATGGCCTATTACAATTCCTTTTTTTCTTCAACTCTCATCTTTGTAACTATTGACAGCCCGGAAGGCCCCGGGGTGTTGATGATGACTAATTAAATTTTGATATCCGTGTCAAATTGCAAGGTTGCATACATGGATTTACATGGTATTAAACCATGGAAGATTATGTAATCTAGCTTAGTCATTAACCGCACAGAAACAGCAGTTTCTATTATGTAGAAAATGCAGAGTTCTCCAGATCAGCCCTGAGGTCCATACATTTCAATACGTCAGATTTCTGTCAGTTATGAGCCCGGCTTTGTTCCATTAAACATCAATTCAAAGATCAACCCTGCTTCTATCGATACTGAGGTAGTCAAAGTGACAGAAAGTCATCTACCTAGCGACGAAGCAACCCCTAAATCGAAGAAAAATCGGAAATCTGTTAACAAATCATAGCCGATTATCTCTCCGCGGGTCCATCCTCCCGCGTTATCCTTAAGGACACCGAAACTTAGGATGTATAGATCGCCAATATCGAATCGATTGTAGTACAATTTGACGTTTAGGAGCTATATAATCCTAGTAAGGAATAAGAACCGGAGATACGGAAAGCTCCGGCAGAGATTATATCGATTAAAGAAGCGGAAAAGAAGTATAGCGATAAATAGGTCGATACTTATAAAGTGATTCAATCGAACTAGTCGATAAAGAATACGCTTTATACCTAGGAAAAGAAGGGATTAAGTATGATTATAACGGCAATCCGGAATAGCGTTTACGTAAACTTCTAGCCGTTTATTATAGACTATAAGACTCTATATAGTCTACTCCGAAACCTTCGAGAAAGGTTCGCCTCGGAGTATAATCCGACCTATTCTACTAGGCTCCGTTAATAATAGAGAAGCCTAGATAGAGGGTTAGATAAAAATATAAATATTAATAAATAGTTATTAAACTAGGAGATAGTTTAATTAAGCTATAAAAGAGTAGGAATGCTAGAAGTAAATAATACTTTAACTTAGTTCCTCGATACTATCTTAGTAATATTACCTAGATTCTATAAGATATAGACTCTAAGACTATAAGATAAAGAAGATATCGGATTCACTAAGCTTCTTAACCGGTATCGAGTATACTAGAAGATTACCTATAGCAAGCTAGTTACTAATCAAAGGGGTATCTCTAAAGCTACTTTTTCGATATAGTAAGGCTACGAAGAAGCTAAGCTAAAGACCTCGGATAAAAAGTTAGCTAATACGAAGTTAGCTAGAGAAGAACTACCGTTTAAATTAAAGCTATATATATATAGATAGAATTATAGACGGTATCTATCTTAAAAGTATTAGGATGTCTTTAATAAGGATAAGCCTTCTAGGTATACTAGAAATAAAGAAGCTAAGCAGAAATAGGAGAAAGCCATAAAGGCTAACCCTACTTAAAAGGCCTAGGTTGATAAGAGACGTTAAGAAAACCTAGTATAATAGGGGAAGGCAGCGTAGTAAGTAAATGCTACCCTTAATAATAAAGATGACTTATTATATAGGTTCTTCTCTATATAGGCTACTAAGCCATAGGCCGGCGGGCTAAAGATAGGTAAGCCTTAGGAAACTAAGCTATAGGCCGGCGTGCCTTAGGCAAGTAAGCCCTAGGCAATTAAGCCGGCGGCTAGTAAGTAAGAAAGTAAGCCCTAGGCAAATAAGCCGGCGGCTAGTAAGCAAATTCTAACCTCTACTATTATATCTACCTAAATCCACGAAGCCGAACCAATTGGACGGAGATAGGTAGTTGACACCGGAGCGTAGATATATATATATAACAATCGGGAGTTGTTTAAAACTTTCGAAGATATATAGAGCAGCGTTAGGGTAGGGGATACGGAAATAAGCATCGATGGGGTAGGCACTATAGTAATCTATAGTGTTAGCGTAGTTGATAGCAGCAAAGCAGTCAAAATAAAGCTATATAACACTAAGTACTCGCCTAATTTCTATAGTAATCTGATATCTAATAGATTAATAATAAAGGCGGGGATGATAATAAACTTTAGGAAGAACTATATCGAAACAACTGCTAGAAAACCGGTATATAGAGTATATTAGGACTAGAAGTTGATATAGTTAAAATAACTAAAGACGTCGAAGGATATAGCTCTTACTACTATAAAGAAGTTAGTAAGTGAGCTAAAGTTAGAAGCTTCGATCTAAACTTAGTATAGGCGCCTAGGCTATATTAGTTAGTAACGTCTTACTAAGCTAGTAGAGATGACTAAGGGGATTACTATTAAAAGCAATCTTAGTAAGGAGTAGGTATATAAAGCTTGTTAATTAGCAGATACCCCGAAGCAAATCTCTCGCCGGAAAATAGGCTAAGTATATAGTATATTTAGATATATCTACTTCGATCTAGTATAGAATTAAACTGCTTATAATAGATATATCTAGATAACGTATTTTTACCTTAATAGTATTAAGTGCTACTTTGTCTTTATATATACTAAGAAAAGTGAATACTAAATAGTGGTTAGGAAGTTCCTAGTATTAGTTAAGAACTAGCTAAAAATCGAGATTAGGGTATTCTACTATAATAATAAGCGGAGTACGGGTCTCGAAGTTAAAATAATAATAGAAGCCGAGGGATATATAATTAAGCATTTGCTACCTAGCTTACCGGAGATAAATAGTCCTACTGAGAGATCTAGGGGGATAGTAATAAGAACTACTAGAGTTCTAATTAATAATATAGATCTCCCTAAGAACCTATAGCTAGAGGTAATATATATAGTAGTATATATCCTTAATAGGACTCCGATAAAGATTAGAGATTAATAGATTATACCTTAGAAAGAACTAATAAAGCATACCGTACTAGATAGCATCTATTACTAAGAGATTAACCTTTTAAATATAAGATTATATAGCTATCTAACGTACTCGAGAATCATTAAGAGAGTCTAATTAGATAAGATAGTACCTAAAGTAGAGATAGGATATCTCGTAGGGTATATCTCTAAGAACCTATATAAAGTATAGTTTCCCTATAAAGAACGTACTAGTATAGGAAGGGTAGACGTCGTTAGAGATACCGTTTTCGATGAATTAAGGAGATATTCGAAGTCGATATCGATACCTAAGGAAGAAGATACTACCAGCTACCCGTAAGCGACCACTAGGGGTGGATACGCATACGGGTGATATTTTGCTGAGCTTAGCAGAAGCAAAAGGATTTAGCTTTAAAGAAGGCTTAGGGAGATACCTATAGCTAGGTCTATATAGGGATATAGGCGATGAAGAGTAGTAGGGGAATTTAACCTCCTCCCCACCCCCCACCCCTAAGAGGGTGGGGGTAGGGGAGGAATTATAATACTTAACTAAGATATTAGTCCTAGAGAGAGAGTATTAGCTATATAGGCAGCTGCTAAGCTAGCTAGGAGCTAGATTAGTAGCTAGGAGCTAGGTTAGTAGCTAGCTTAGCAGCTAGTTTAGCAGCTAGTTTAGTATCTAGTTTAGTATCTAGTAGGTAGTTTACTATCTAGGCTACTATCTAGCTTAGCAGCTAGCTTAGCAGCTAGCTTAGCAGCTAGTTTAGCAGCTAGTTTAGTATCTAGTTTAGTAGCTAGGTTAGTAGCTAGGTTAGTAGCTAGGTTAGTAGCTAGGTTAGTAGCTAGGTTAGTAGCTAGTTTAGTAGCTAGCTTAGTATCTAGTTTAGTAGCTAGCTTAGTAGCTAGTTTAGTAGCTAGGTTAGTAGCTAGGTTAGTAGCTAGCTTAGTAGGTAGCTTAGTAGGTAGTTTATAGCTAGCTTAGTATCTAGTAGGTAGTTTACTATCTAGGCTACTATCTAGCTTAGCAGCTAGCTTAGCAGCTAGTTTAGTAGCTAGCTTAGCAGCTAGTTTAGCAGCTAGCTTAATAGGTAGTTTAGTAGCTAGCTTAGCAGCTAGCTTAGTATCTAGTAGGTAAGTTTACTATCTAGGCTACTATCTAGCTTAGCAGCTAGTTTAGTAGCTAGCTTAGTAGGTAGTTTATAGCTAGCTTAGTATCTAGTAGGTAGTTTACTATCTAGGCTACTATTTAGCTTAGTAGCTAGTTTAGCAGCTAGCTTAGTAGCTAGATTACCCGCTTGATTAATAGCTAGTTAGTAGGTAGATTAGTAGTTTAGTTAGAATACTATCTAGACTATTATATAGCTAAGGTAGTCTATAATCTAATCTAATCTAGATTCTAGATCGAGTATCTAATCTAAATAATTTACTAATCGATCTAATCTAATTTAGTATCTAATCTAATCTAGATTTTACTATCGAGTATCTAATCTAATCGATCTAGATCTAATCCGGTATAGATTAGATATATCCCGGGATCACGTGATATAGCTAGTTAGTGCCTTAGGCTACTGATTATATAGTGATCACGTGATCGCCGCCTAATCCGGCGTAGATTAAATATATCCCGGGATCACGTGATATAGCTAGTTAGTGCCTTAGGCTACTAATTATATAGTGATTACGTGATCGCCGCCTAATCCGGCGTGGATTAGATATATCCCGGGATCACGTGATATAGCTAGTTAGTGCCTTAGGCTACTGATTATATAGTGATCACGTAATTACCGCCTAATCCGGCGTAGATCGGTGTATATCACGTGATTATAGGGTACTCACGTGATCACCGCCTAATCCGGCGTAGATCGGTATATATCACGTGATTATAGGGTACTCACGTGATCACCGCCTAATCCGGCGTAGATTAAATATATCCCGGGATCACGTGATATAGCTAGTTAGTGCCTTAGGCTACTGATTATATAGTGATCACGTAATTACCGCCTAATCCGGCGTAGATCGGTGTATATCACGTGATTATAGGGTACTCACGTGATCACCGCCTAATCCGGCGTAGATCGGTATATATCACGTGATTATAGGGTACTCACGTGATCACCGCCTAATCCGGCGTAGATCGGTATATATCACGTGATTATAGGGTACTCACGTGATCACCGCCTAATCCGGCGTAGATCGGTATATATCACGTGATTATAGGGTACTCACGTGATCACCGCCTAATCCGGCGTGGATCGGTGTATATCACGTGATTATAGGGTGCTTACGTGATCGCCGCCTAATCCCAAGTGGATCGGTGTATTTCACGTGATCTATATATATATATCACGTGCTTTATTAGGCACCAAGGTGTCTATATCTTAAAGTCGAATCACGTGACTAACCCTACCCTGATCACATGAGGAGTCAATTTTCCAGCCAATCAGAGGCCAGGATCTCAGAATTCGCAAGGCGGGTTTTTTGGCATAGTATTCTTGACTATATTGCCTGTATTATTTGCTTCGCTTACGCTCAGCAAAATTAGTACTATAATAGATAGACTAGGTATATAGCTATAAGTACTTACTAATAATAAAGTATAGGCTAAGATTAGCATCTAGATAGAGATGCCTAGATCGATAGCTAGGATAGCACTATATAAGGAAACTAAGCATACTAAGCAAGCTAGAGATAATATAGTTAATATAGTTAATACAATTAATATAGCTAATAATCTAGTTGATAGAAATGATAGAAATGATAATAAAGAAGAGGTTAGGTAGAGAACCCTACTATAGATTAGAAAGAAAGTAGCTAGATTGCCTACCCCGTAGTCAATAATAAGACCAAAAGAACAAACAATAGGAGAGCAAATAAATCTATAGAGAGGACTATTAGAAAGCTTCCTAGATATACTATCCTCCCTACTACTATTAAAACCAGCCTTAGTATCCCCAAATCTATCGATTCTATCGAACCTAGGACCTAGAGAAGCACTATTATCGTCGCTAGATCCGATCTCCGTGATCCCGTCGATCGAAACTAGGGGGGTAGATAGGGATATAGAAGTAAGAGATAATAAAGTAAGTAATAACGAAGTAGAGATAGAGAGATAGCTATAAAGGGAAATAGTAGACTCACTAGCACTATTATTATCCTATCGAGAGTAGTCCTATCGAGAGTAGTTCTATCGAGCGTCCTCCTAGGTATCGTTATTATTATCCTAACGAGTACTAAGAGATATATTAGGTAATATAGATATATTAAATGTTATCACCGGCAGTAGATCTAGGAGACTAAGGACGGATCTAGATTATACTACCTACCTATCTCTTAATCTACTAAGCCTACTTTATACCTTCTCTATAGGTATAAGCAAAAGATTCGATAAGAAGCTTTACCGAGATAAACTTCCCCTACTACTAGAGAACTAGGTATAGATTAAGACGTACCGGTTTAGAGAAGGATTTATAGTAGCGGTAAGCTTCAAAATTTAGACACTTAAGAAGAAAGAGACCTATACTAAGGTACTAATTCCGAATTAGAAAGGAATCTAGGTACTACCGTTAAAATAGGTCTTTACCTATAAATTTAATATAGATAGATTTCTTAAGAAGTTTAAAGCGAGAATCTACGTTAGAGGTGATCTTTAATAGATATCGATAGAAGAGAAAAGGGTAGCTACCCTAGCTATTAAAATAGCGAGAGCAATCTTTACCTTAGTAGTAGCTTTTAATCTCGATATAATATAGAGAGACGTAGTTAATATATTCCTAAACTTAGTACTCTAAAGTAAGGTTTATACTAAGTGCTTATAAGGATTCGAAGTATAAGGTTAATACTAGCTACTCTATAAAGCTCTCTATAGCTTACGAATATCACTAAGATTGTAGTAGTAAGAAGTAATAAGGATACTAGTAAAACTAGGCCTTACCCCGGTGCCGGAAGATCCGTATATCTTTATTAAGAATAGTATTATCGTCTTCTTCTATATAGACGATATTATCGTTATAAACTATCTAGATCCTTATTATACTAAGTAGGTAGCTAAGCTAGATAACGATATTAAAAAGTAATAAGAATTACGAGAACTAAAAGCTAACTAGTTCTTAAATATCCGTATTATTAGAGATAGAGATTAGATAAAACTCTAGCTATACTAAGATAGTTATATTAAAAGTATAGTAGCTAAGTATAGCTTAATCACTACTAGGAAAGTAGGATCTCCCCTAGCTACTAAACCCCTTCTTCTATATAATAGAGTAGTATTACTAAGCTAGATTTATAGTTTCTAGGCTAAGGTTAGATCTACTTAGTATACTACTACTATCTCCTAGCTAGATATAGCAAAAGCTATAACTAAACTAGCTAAATTTCTAACGAACCCCGGTCCGAAGTATATCGATACTATCGACCGAGTGATTCAATATCTCTATAAAACTAGATTCTAGGCTATTAAATATAGTATTAGAGAATAATCAAATTAAAAAGAGTCTTCTCTACCAAACAAAAACCTCGGTTTAGAAGAATCAAAAGGTCTCTAGTTCGCTATAAAGTCAGTTAAATTTATAAGCGATATATCGTTCGGAGATAATAAAGATAGGAAGAGTTCGGAAGGTTATATCTATAAGTTGTACGGCGGTCTAATCGATTAGAAAGCATCGAAGTAGAAGACGGTAACAACGTCGATAACTAAGGCGGAGCTACTTACTCTAGCAGAAGCCGGAAAAACCGTCTAATAGTGGCGCCGAGTCCTTAAAGTACTAGGCTTCTAACCAGATTATCCCTTATCTATTATATACGACAATCAGTAGACAGTCGATCTACTAACGAAGGAAGGATCGACGATATATACGAAGCTACGGCATATGGATATCAATCGATCCTAGATGAAGTAAGAAGTTAGTGTAGGTAGAGTCAAAGTGGACTAGGTTCTAACTACAGCTATGCCTGCAGATGGACTTATAAAGGCGCTTCCAAGACAGAAGCAGCATCTCTTCCGAGAGATGATTGGGATGAGAGAAATCAGGCATCTGATTCATCTAGAAGAAGTAGAAAAGAAGTGAAGAAATGAAGGATTTGGCAGCTCTGAAAGCCAGGAAAATGCAGGCTTTAAGAGCTGGGGGGTGTGTCAAATTGTAAGGTTGCATATATGGATTTACATGGTATTAAACCATGGAAGATTATGTAATCTAGCTTAGTCATTAACCGCACCGAAACAGCAGTTTCTATTATGTAGAAAATGCAGAGTTCTCCAGATCAGCCCTGAGGTCCATACATTTCAATACGTCAGATTTCTGTCAATCCGAGCCGATCTTTCCCGGGCCGTTGCCGGGTCCCTTCGGCTTCTTCCAAAGTTGTCCAAGGCCGGATCGAACCACTAGTATGGACTGCAGGAACCCACCAAAAGTTGACTACACTCAATTTAGCATCCCTTTCGCCTATTTATACTGACTTCGGGACCCCCAGGGCTTCATGGCTCGTACCGTTAATGAGTCATGATAGATTACGGCAGTCGATGATAAAATGGACCATACTTTCCCAGAGCTGACAAGGAGTTTTTACAACTCATGTCAGCTCTGAAAATGTCCTCCCAATGGCGGCTTCCGCGTCTTTCCTTCTTCCAATCACTCCGCCAGTCTCAATTTACTTTGCCTGTGCGCCCGGAGTTTCTGGTTTCATCTTCCTTCCACTTTGTTAATCCTCGCCATCATGTAACAGCCACGGATAATGTCACTCAGGCGTTTCCAGAGTCTGTGGTTGCGGGGTTAAGCGATGAGGAAGCATTGGCGTTATTCACCCGAGGGTTCTTTGGCGGGTTCATCTTTGGGTTCGAGAGGTCTATCCTACGACTGGGGGGGCTGGAATTTGCTGCCAGCGCGGTATACGGGTGAGCAACTTTCTGGGAGAAAATTCCTACGTCCTGGAGAACCTTCATAAATCTGGGGACAAGAGTGTTGTGGAATGGTACTCAGAGGTTTCCTCTGCTGACTGAAATCGTCGTTATAGGTTTCCAAGGAGATCCACAGGCATGCCAGATCTGGAATACTTCCGAGCTTCCTCGAAGTCACCTTCTCCCCGTCGGCAGCTCCCTTTTCGGGTCATTCAAAGTGATGGACAAGCAAATAGGACCGGAATCATCGGGCCAGCGGGCCAGCTACGTGGATTATGGGTTTGGCTCGGACGAGTTCACTTTTGCAGGCTGCCACCGTTTCCAAATAACTCGATCGCCACGCATAGGCGCTGAGCCCCTAGTGCAATTCGAGCTACAGCACTTCCGTTGTAATCCTCAAAAAAACGAACCATCAGTGGCGGAATACCTCGCGTGGTTTCATTATGCCTATGCGAAGTCGCTGTTTGCGAATGCAGTCCAGTGCATTCTACTGCGGTAGCCCCCATCGCTCTAGAGTTGACAGATACGAGTCGTCCTAGAGTACTGTATATACTATCACCCCTCTGATACAAATAATAATATTTAGTGTACTTTTACCTTCTAGTTATAGCGAGAAGAGTTCATGAGAAATGATACCCCCTGTAGTTTACCCTGACTCTTAGAAGATACGGCCCCCTCAAGATGGTCAAGTAACGTCCTTTATATAATCCTGTGCCCAGTAAATTAGATTATTCAAGTCCTATGTCCTTGGTGAGACTTGCTGCTGGTCGATTTACCGACCCGGAGTCCGGGTCGCCAGATCTATTTAGCCTCCTCTGTCAAAGTGCAGGGTTGCATACATGGATTTACATGGTATTATACCATGGAGATCATGTGACTTCGGGTACTGGATATACCACACTAAAAGTGCATATTACCATTAGTCATCATTACCGCACAGATTGTTGAAATAGCGGGTTTTGTCATTTTAGAAAGTTAGAGTTCTCAATATCAGCCGTGGTGCCCATACAATTCAATACAGACAGATTTCTGTCATTAAGAAATAACCCACACCTTCAGGCTACCCTCTGCGTGGGATAGAACGTCTTAACGGCACTACTCGATCATCCCCATTCCAAAGTCCACTACTTCCAGGCCGTAGATAGTATACGCGCACACCTGCTTGACAAACAATCCGGCGTACATGACCGGATTCTGAATCTCGCTGTTCCACACCGCAACCGACTCCCCCATTGCTTTCCGAATTCCAGCGCGGCCTCAAGGAACTCGTTGATGACCAGGAGATTGTTCTTCTTTCCTTCTTGGTTATCTTGAATGCCGTTGGAAATAGATAAACACAGCTTTGGCACCGAGGTAACGGCGCCCACGGTGGCCTTCCAGCGTTTGACGACTGGGCGCGGTGCTTTTTTTGATTTGGCCACAACCTTGATGATTACGTCGGATCCCATGTCGACGGCTTTCATGGCCAATCCCTTAGTTGTGTTAGTGGAAGGGTATTTAGATTGTTGGAGGGCAGATTGTTGGAGGACATACTGAGTACTTGTTGAATGTGGCAAGGTCAAAATCGCTAGGGCACTCTGCCCTGGGGCCATCCGGGACAATAGGCCACTCTACAAATCCACCCACGACCTCAAATGTCAATGAAACAGAGTCGAATATATCCATGAAGTTGTTAATGAACCCACTCGGGATTCCACTGAGCCCCAGCCCTTCGAAGGTCCCATCGGCCAGGAGCCCGAGGGTACTAAACTCCTCCGACACTAGTCCCAACCCTGACTTGGAACAGAGGGTAAAGTTGTTGATGTCTTTCGAGAGGTTGGGGTTTCCCTTGCTAGTGACGTGCTGAGCAAACGTATCCTTGTTCACTCGGCTGCTCAGTTTCGGGGGCGCGGACTTGTTGATTGCTTTGTACAGCACTGTTGTGGGGATGGCAACCAGAAGGCCACAGAAGTTGAGTAGGGTTAATGGTCGGCCCTTTGCGATCAAATTTTCCCAGACCCAGCTGATGATTGGAATCTCGATCTTGGCATTTCCCAGGTCCTTAGCAATGCTGATCCCTGCCGACACAGCGCGGAAGATGATATCTGCTAATCCTTTGAGCGCATTGACAAGCTCATCGATGAGAATGGTGCCCAGTTTGCTGATCAATGTCCGGATGTTGAGTTTGCCAGACTGGAAAATTGCGATAAATTCGTCGGCAAGTTTGACCACCGTATTGGTCATGGCGCCGAGTTGTTCAATGGCCGTATCCCACAGCTCCAGCAGCTCATCATCGACCCCAAATGCATATTTGGAGACATTATCAACCAAAACTACATTGCTTGTGCCTCCTCCGTAGGTGAAGTTGTAGGCTGACCAGTTGTACGCGACGCTGTCCTTCACCTCATCACGATCAGTCTGCTTGCTCCCCGATAGCACTTTTCCCAACGCCATATTCTCCAAGCCTCTCTCGTACTCATATTCCTGGAGCATGGGCAGCTGTTGCTTGAGTGTGCGGCCCATAGTCTCCAACCAGTCGTGAACGGTGCCCTCAGCAGAGTCCAGCATTGTCTTGCCGTGGTCCAGGGTTGCGTTGAATCCAGCCACAATACTATCTGTGGTGTCCAGGATATCACCCCAACCAAAGAGAAATCCAAGGGCCTCAATGATGTCCTTAATAAGGGCACCGATCTTCTTGAAAACCCACACGATGCCCTTGATGATTGAGGTGATGGTCGTTAGAGCAATCTCGAAAATTCCCTCACCAATCTTCACAATGAATTTCCAGACATCGCCTTAATAAGTCATTAGCAAGAGAACCAGACCGAAGGAAGATACTCACCGACAAGCGTGAGACCCCAGTCAATCGCATCCTGCGCTTTCTCTGAGACCCAATTCCAGGCTCCCACCAACCAGTCCCCTGCATCATCCAAAAGCCCACAGGGTGCAATCACCCCACTGGCAGGCTGACCGTTCAACTCCAGGATAGCCATCTCGTATACCCTCCGCTTTGAATATTTGTCGAGGTGAATCTCACCTGCCCGGTCAGACAGCTGTTGGAACGCCTTCGCAGCCCGACAGACATCTCCATCCGCCACGTCTGGCCCAACTAGTGGGGTTCCATCCTGCCTGCAAAGCCCTCGGAGATCGGCCTCGGTTTTGATGTTTTTGAGTCGTCCGATCACCTTTTCCGAAGGATCTAGCATGGGGTCCGCTATAACTCTCTCACTGTTCCGTGGTGGCTTTTCGCCGGGCACCTCTGCCGGGCGATAGCGCTGAGCAGCGAATTGATGGCAGGTGGCGTCCTCGGTTTGCAGAAGGATGTTAAGCACTCCCTTGGCATCAGTCTGATACCAACCGCCAGTGGGTGAGATGGTCATAGCCTTTCCATTAATAAAGCACCGGACAAGACCCGAGCAGGTGACATACAGCGAAGAACCAAGGATCATGTCGCGCTCATCGCCGTCATTGAGTTCTTCAGAGCCCTTCTTTTGGATTACTCGGAATCGGAGCATATAGCTCTGCACTTCCCTGACATCCTTCTCCGAAGACACAAAGAAAGGATATTTTTGCCAGACCTTAGAAGCCGAGTCTTGTTGGAGGAGACAGATGTTTGCATCCTGGTCCACGGAAAGAAGACTGCTGACTAGAAGATCCCTCTTCTCATCTCTCGCCTGAGAACAGAGAAGACCAGACACACGGCCGCCCTGTCCTTCGGGGATCAGCGGAATACTTAGCCCTTCTGTCAGGTCTGCGGTTGTGGTGGTATAGTAGTATACTGCATTTTGTACTGTTGTATACCATAGGCGAAGATGCCCTCGTGTCTGGGAGCAGTGGATATCCTTCAGCCCAGGGACCTTCTCTAGAGTATCAATTACCTTCCCAGTGCCTTTGGGCGAGAGGTAATCTTTAGGATGGAAACAACTGATAGCCGTGCCTGCAACTAACATATTTGTCGTTCGCGTTTGGGGATCAAGGAAGCTACTCAGTCCCACCGCCCCTGTGAGTACACGTTAACAAATTTCCGACAACTATGTATTTGGCCAAGAGGATAACTCACCCTTTGGACACACAGGCTCAACGGAGAATTTTTCTTCATTTTCTTCCGGGCTGGGAAACGTTTGAAAAAGCAGGTGGCTGTTGCCACTGTGGCCTTTATACAGAATCAACGCCCCATCTCCCATATTGCATGTTCCGAGCTCTACCGCCAGAATCTCCTTGGGGTTTGCATGGGTATTCCAGCACCCGTTACGCTCAGCTTTCTTTCCATTGAACTTGACAAAGTTGAGATCTTCCGTTTTGGTAAGTCGGTCTGGTCGATTGAAGGCAATCATCACGAGAGGAAGGGACCTGGATATGGCGGTGGATTTGTTGCCCTTGCAAGGTCAGCAAAGCAAATACCGAAGCGTGGGTTTCGACCTACCATATATATGTGCTTGACGATGGGGAAGTCCACTGAATTAATGATCTTGTCCAAAGGTATAGGGTGAAGAAGGCCTTCCGGCTTAATGGCATGCAGCAGGTAGAAGTGACAGCTGTCTGTGGGCTGATTGACTGCCATACAGATATCCAACGTGCCATCAGGGGCCTGCTGCACCGCAAAGGCCAGGACCTTCCTCCCCTCTCCGACTACGCCCGAGCTTTTACCGAAGTTAAAACGGGTGACTTTGCCGTTGTTGCTGATGATGAGATATAGAATGTTGTCCTCACTGAGACTCATCACAGCGGGCTGGTTCGTGTGATCGGTAAAGACCCCGAAGACCTCACCAGCCGGGACTGGGTTGATTGTGGAATAGTTGGTCATCAACTCCCCATCCTTGGTAACTGTGATCATCTTGCTATGTGATGGGGAATTGCTCGATTGAAGATATTTTTCTCAGAAGGAGTTGTGAAATATGCTGATAGTGGGTTGTAAGTCCTTCAATAACCCTGAATTTCAATAGAAGATATAGGCCTCGGAGGAGGTCTGATTGGCGAGGGGTAGCGTGATGTTTCAAGGACACTATACCTGTTAGTAAAACCCTTGTTGGGTGGGGCAGTCGAAGATGGAGTACATCACCAATGCCTGATCAATTGAGGTTGGGTCTGATTTTACCTAACCTTCTGGACAGTGTGCAGGCTGCACGTACTAACAATACATGGTTACACAGGATATTTCTATTTGACCATGTAGGCGCCGGGGTGGATATCAAATTCTCAAGGCCTCATCATCATCATCATCATCATCATCATCATGCATAAATGGCCACTCGCTACGCTGTTCAGGTTGCATCGACAAGATCATACTATTCCGTCCAAATTCGCCCACATGCATACACATATTCTGTCTCAAGAGATGAGCTCTCGTGTGCCCGGGTGCTGTGAGGGATGAAGGATATAGTCCACAGTAACCACGCATTCACAGGCACTCTGCATATTATGGCGGTGGAAGTTCTGAGGAATTAAACATTCTTGCTTCTGCCACGCAAGGATTCCCTGTTTTCCAGACCAGAAATTGATAGACGATAAGTAAAAATAGGAAACTTAAAAGTATTCCATCATGCACTGTGAGCTAATAGTTCGTAACACCATGGCCTTAATAGAAGTATATGCTATTGCGTACTTTGCAGCTTTATCAATTTTTCACCCCCCCCCCTAATGCTTCCGCTCGTAAAATTCCGTCGTCATACTCTGGGCCATTCTGCGGTGGTGGATGAGATATCACTATACTACTACGTGTACTGCATTTTCCTGCGTCTCGTCCATTGCTATATATGGATCTTACAAGAGCATTGTTTCCTCTCATCCTATCGTGTGATCCCACCTTGTTCATACCCAGCTACGCCACCCCAGCTTCCGCCGATCCAAATCCTGTGGATTCCGGCGATTCTGATTTTAGCTGAGGAGCAAGGCGGTCAAGATCTATAGATTGCCGATCCTTATCCGATTGCTTAACGGAAGGAACGGAACGTACCGCCCCGCCTGCCTCCGCATAAATACCCCACATTATGCCAACAATTGGACGGAGGGAGAGGGGCGGCTAATGCAAGGCTGTGCTGGATGCTGATCTCAGCTTGGCCGCTCTACCTGATTGGGATTATGTAGCTAATGGTAACGAAAAGTAGCTGCTTCTATGGACCCGAAGCATGTCCCATGATTCTCATGACGAAGACTGACCCAGCCAGCTGCGCTAGATTAGGCCCAATAATTATGTGTTATAATTTAGCACTCACTACATGCTACCATTCAGCTCACTGCCAGTCCTTTGGTTTCACACCCCACCCATGATCAAGCTCGGGGAACGATGGTGCAGCATCTGGCTCAGCTGCATACGGATTTCTCTACCCGATGGATTTCAAATCGCGCAATTGATCATTTAACCAACTTTATTGTTCATACCGAGACCTAGGGCTATGAAAGACATTGCTTCATGTTCTCGAAGCCAGCAGCCACTCTATAGTCTCTTGTCCCCATAGGCTCCTGGGGCAGCAACCCCCCAACTCAATAACCCTTTTAATCCTTTTCCACGCCCCACGCCGCCTGTATGTGCAGGGCTTTCGAGCACGGTGCTTCCCTTGTTTCTCGGCACTTCTTACGTGTTCAGCTGATGACGCATACGCGCAAGCCTAGTGATGTATCTACTAGTCATGTTATGCAGGAGGTCTACACCGATGTTCATCCTATGACACATGCATCAATCACATATCTCATGTTGAGATAACAATATGATTGAAGATGTCATACAGGCGGTGTACAAGAGAGAGGATGGGGAAATAGATATGTATATATATTTAAAGCTTTCTGTTTCCTCTCCCACCACATACTAAAAAGTAAGCCCTTCAACACATCGCAAGCAATCTTTCCATCATGGCGACAACAGAAAATAGCTATGCATCCACGGTTAATCCTGCTCCCTATAGTCAAGCTGTTTTCCTGTCGCAGAAAATGATCAATGATTCGTTCAGTCATATGTGGCAGCTTGCCCAGAATGAACCCGATGAGAAGAACCCTTTGAGATATTTCAAGTACGAGAGCAGGAATGGGTCCCTGGAATTCGATGTTGGTAAGCCCACCGTCAGCCTACAGGTCACTACCAATGACCCAATGTTGTTCTTCAAACTTCGCATGACGAGGGGTAAGGTTTCCCTTTTCCTGTCTCCCAACCCTAAGGATGATACCAAACTCGAGTTGGAGATCGACAACTGGGTTTTTGCTTTCTCGGTTAAGATTGGTAAGGCCATCTGGATAACATTACCCAATCATTATCACTCACCAAGTATATAGAAAGAAAGCAGATCACTAAAGACTCGCAAGAGTTCCGGGAGTACAAGGAGCGTGCTGGACTTCCCAATTCCAATTTCAGTCTCGCAATGTTGTTCATCGATGCATCATGTAAGTGTTCCCTACGATGGATTCTACCAGACCCTGAATAACATTTGATACAACAGCGACAACTAAATGGAACCCTGGTCTCAGTTGTTTCGGGAAGACTGATTTTTTGAAAAATCTGACCGACCAGGCCCGTTCCACCTTTACAAATGGTATCAATGAATGGTTGACGTACATGAATGTGAAGAGGACCAACATTATAGGTTACTCAGCAAGACGACAGGAAGAAGATAAGGAGTGTAAGGTCCATACTGTGATTACCTAACCACCGGTCCTCACCAATGTGCCGACAGTGAACGAATACGCACCCACATTCCCACCCACCAGCATCGACTATTCCTCCTATCCGTGGAAAGGGCTGGATGGCTCACAGAAAAAAAGCGATAACCTGGACACCAACGCCATCTCATATTTGATGATGTCCAACTTTCAAGATCCCCCGGTAAGCGGGAGCATTGAGTATAGCGGAGCCTGGGTTGATGGAGATCGGGATGGCACCTTTGTCATGAGCCGCGGCTTGTTCTGGCCCTGGATGCAAAGTCTCATGCGAGAAATTGTCATCGGCATGGTTCCTTACCCCAACGAACCAGTTTGCTATTATAGTCCTTCAGACCCAGATCTTCCTTTCAATACTGAGATGAATTTCCAAGTTGGAGATCCTCTTGCTCAAACCAACCAGTATCAGTTTCCGGAGATGAAGCAGGGAGAAGTGTGGAAACTATCTGGAGAATATCGGACAAGCAGAAAGAATGCTGTCAATGAGATTGACATGAATGACAAGATGGTGGTAATGCAATGGTGTATGTTCCCCCTAAACCCTGCGATAAGTGGCAAAAGGCTAACGGAAGGTGCCTGTAGGCAGCGATGTCTCTGCTTCCCTCAAATTCCATCCCGGTAAAGAACTGGTCGATCTATATGGTAGCAGCACTTTCTGCTTCCGGGCAGAGCATCGGTCGAAAGTATTTACATAGTACGCATGGAACCCGTTAAGAGCTTGCCGATCATAAGGAACATGAACTAACAGTGCCGAATGAATCCACAGTACGGCAATGACGTTTGCTATATCTTGGCATATCAAGTTTACTATGGCAGCGGTTGAAGATGGTGGTTTGCAGTTTGCCATTCTCAGAGACACTGACACTCCACCTATTCAAGTCACCCCGGAGGAAGAAGGAAATATGCGTTGGAGTCAGGATCCAAAGGAAGTCGCAAAGGAATGGACGGACGAGCTGAGCAAAAGCTTGAGATTTGCCCTTGAAAGGGTTGAAGACAGACTTGTAAATGGCCTCGCTGATCATCACCGACTTTTCCTGCCTGGAAAGGGAAGCTATCTGATGAAGGATCCTATTTTTAGCGGAAATGGAGATCTGCTAGCCAATTTGACGTTCAATGGGTAGGGTATATTCTTCCAAGTGTCAACTGTTTACTGACCATGTGCAGTGCCGATCCACCGAAACCAGAGCCATCGAAGCGTCATCTGTACACGATCTAATTACAGATATTTCTGACAGGTCTGTCTATTCACCTGCCACAGTACCAACACGCCATGAAGGCTATGTTGCCACAGGGTCTAGTGGTCTCAAGGCCTGGGTATCGTTTTCTGGCTTGCGGTTTCTTTCTAAGCTAAAGATAATCTGTAAAGGCTCATCCTAGCGCCTTCATCAGCAAATACCATCAATATGGCCAACAATACCATGTAGCAATCAAGACAAACAAGCTGCTTAGCGAGGCCACACACACGCATAAAGAACTACTTCGTGTAAATAAACTTGCCTCCTCTTCTGTCCCCAAATTGGGTATCCTAGTTGATGGCTATACTGGGTTAAATAGGAATATCATCTCACTAGTGTCTACTAATCCGAGCCCGTGGGACAATTCCATCTTTACCAATTATGTGAGCAAGTGGTAAGACGCCTTATCGATCACCTGGTGTTTAGAGATGATTACATCTTACCCTATTATATCGTATACAGTGCCGGCCTGTTTTCCGTTTATCATGTACCGTTCCCACACCTTCAAGTAAGAGGACGTAACTGTGAAATACATCGTAATATTATATTTTAATCAAGTTCATCATTCATACATAGTTCTAGAGCTATGACAGACCATGATCCAAGGACTCGAGGCCAGCAGCCATTCTACAGCATCCCACACAACCCCTATCTATGGTCTTCCTAATCCTTTTCCCTCGCGCCAATCCGCCTGTATGCGCAGGGGTTTAGAGCACGGTGCTCTCCTTGTGTTTCGGGCCAAGATGACCGTGGCCTAGGCTCACCTTTAGCTTACGCTATCCTCACTGCTACCCCTCTCCTGTTCTAACTTCTTCCTCTGATGCTTCTGGACACCATTCATAGTCTCTTTGGGTCCTTTCCGCCCCTCGCTGTAATTAGGGTTCCGAAAGGAATAAAGGAATGCGAATATGAATAAGTTAATTTTTTATTCGCGCGAATAAACGCGTTATTCATATTCGCATTCATATTATTCATATTGTGAGATTTCTCCGCATTAATACTTTGTCCGGTATAGCGGTTATCGTATTACCGAAATGCGCTGAGTGATCGATTTCACAATGCCACACTTCAACAGCAACGCTGGACTATGAATTTCCGCTGCGACTATATGCCGGAAGGTACAACCTGCTTATGTAGGGTTGACCAGCTTGATGTACCGTAGTGGATCTTTTTGAGACATGATACTAATTCACATGGGTCTGACTATAGAAACTCGACAGTGTCGACACCGGTCACGGAGATCCGTGAAGATTATATATATCTGTCAAGCCAATTGCGAATCATCTTTCGCAATTAATTGAATAGATCTTCTCAGTTCCCTGATTCCACTCCAAACCATTTCAAACTTGGTGCACAAAGTAGCCCTAGGAAATGGCACGTAAAAACGCGTTTGCCTCACGACCTAGAGCCTCCAATGATACTGGCTTCATTTTTTTACGTTCAGGATCGTGAATATCGCGTTGCGGAAAACAGAAAAGAGATCTATCAAATTTTCACGTCAAGAAGGGCATATAAAGCGCGCACATCACTGGGCCTGTCAACCACCATTCTATCCTCAAGTCTCCTATCAATTTCTAATCCCAGCCTAGGTAGCTCGATGTATATTATGCATTACACGATCCCAGCCCCAGTCATATAGCAACGTCTATAGTCGTTGCAGCGCCTATATAGGTCAACAAACGCGAACGCAGGCCAATCATGATACTGAAGACCACCCTGCACCATTAGTAGGGGATGGTGCAACACAGAATTATGCTACCATCTAAGACAATGAAATGGCTGCCAATCACTTCACACCTAGGAGCGAATCTGAGCAATAGCACTGGGAACTGGGAATTAGCTGAACACTTGGATGAGAAACACCTTCAGATCCGCGAAGCTGTACAGGCAGAGACGCCCTGCTACCCACGTGAAGTAGGCCTCAAAGTTCCTAGGGTTAGGTGGCAGGTCGCTTGTGGTGGCGGGTCGCTTATGAAATACATTATTATCTCTATCAGCACTTCTCCTCAATGTTACCCCCCTCCCCATACTCTGTCCAGCCCCCAAAATTTGTAAGCGCATTGTACTTTATTAGAATAGAAATATGTAAACCCCTAGACCGATCGGGGCCCAGGAGTTCAGATATTTTTGAAGCCCATATACCTGCGCCTGCCCCACCCTCTGGAAGCCGGTCAGGACTTCCCAAAACCGTAAACCTGGCAGGTACATGGTCGAGAATAGAGTTAGTACATTCAGAGTAGCGGTGTGGTCACTAGTCTGTATACATTGCATTGCATCCCACTCTCCATTGTACTACTCTGAGTTGCAGTGCCGATCTTTATCTCCCGGCACGGTCCGTACCCTTCCCGGTGCCACCTTGTTGAATCCCATATATAACCCGTGCCTCCTGCATCACTGCGTATAGACACTGACCTAGCAGCAGACAGTACGCTCATCTCAGATTTGCTGGTCTTCCAATATGTCTTTGTAGTATACGTAGTGTGGTGATGAGAGCTCCGAGCAAGCAGGGATCTTGACGCCCCTTGTTAGCTCAGCTGACTGCTGAATGATGACCCACCAAGTGCCAGTATGCACCATGATAAATGTGATATTTCTAAACGCAGTATGACTTCATATACGGCACGCAAAGCAAGGCCATTTCAGTCATTAGGGGATATGGGTGGTATTGGACAGGAAGTTTGAGATTCTGGTCTTTTGGCTGACCGGTTAGTCTCACCCAGCTCAGGGCCATAATACTGGGCAATGATATACACATTCTTCAGTCCATGGGCTTTGATAATTAAACAAGAAGACGAAATGGCTGTAGATCCAGCTGGCCGCTTGCACGCCAATCTGACAGACCCACGACCAAGAGATGGCTGGTCGAGAGGGGTATGCTCTTGTCAAGACCAGCAGGTCATCCTCCCGCCTCCCATCCCCATTAGAGGGCCTGACACATCCCAGAACCTCAGTTCAAATGACTAAAGTGGAAATGATCATAGAGTCAGCTCGCCACTTGCTCACCGGACTAACAACGACCCCACGACCAAGGTATAATTGGCGCAGAGGGGTATGCGGTCCTGTCTGCACGCGCAATTATACACCTTGGCTACATAAGCCCCTATCACACATATAAAGGGAGTCGTGTTGTCGGGATGAAGAGCATAAATAAGCTCCATCTCTTTTCTCACCTCAGCTGTCTAGCTGCCAGACCCGACCCGACATCTTCATATTCATCACCAAAGTACCCAGACTGGTACAAAAAGCTACTTTACACGAGCTTTCCCCACCTCCTTACTTTATCGGGAACCAACACAATGTTCAAAGTTTGGACCGAGAACAGGGACCACACCAAGGAAGGCCACACCCTTACGGGCACGCTCAAATACAAGGGGAAAACAATTTGGGGCCCCCGCATGTGCCACCGCAACACATTCCTTCTGGGAGATGCCCTGCAAGCGGCCGATTGGCGCTTTCTCATGATATTCGAGCCCAGGGAAAAATCAATAGAAGGACACACGCGCTATATCAGCGTCAAGGACTGGAACGGAAAAGTCATCCTGGACAAACTCATGACCCACCCCAATATGGATGATCTGGCTGATAAAGCTGTCGAGAGTGCCTCTAAAGATGGGCCCCCTATCCCACGGGAGGGGGTGTGAAGTCAGGGCTGACTCCATGTTAGGGCTTTTCCTTAACAATGGGAGTAAAAGAGGTGGGTCCGACCTGGCTCCAGTTTCTGTTCTCGACCTGACTCTCGCCTAGTCACCTCGGGTGGGTCTCAAAATATTGGCTATTTATGATAAAGTAGCTGAAATATTCCCATTCGCTTTGGAAATGTACAGCCTTCTACTTGTCGAGAAAATGGTGATTGAAATTGGACTCTAGAATTTATAGTGGAGCGGTATGTCGAACTGAGGGGTGGTGTTTTACCCTTAAGGACAGGGTTATTCATCAAGTATCAAGTATTCTTTCTGTCTTTGTCTCTGTATGGTAAACGGGTATGTACCCATACATTAGTATAGGTTTTTAGATACCGTAGTATAATATTATAGTGCTATAGGAGTGCCGCGGGAGTACTACAGCACTATAGTGGGGCGAGTGTAGGAATTCGAGGTGACTAGCTTACTAGTGAATATGTAGATCTATATTCGTTTTCTAATCTATCTACTTGTTCTACCTAACACACGTTCTCCCTATTCTTAGCGAGTTATCGGTCGTAGATTATGTCTAGGTCGGCTCTTTATAGTCTCCTTTCTTTCCTTTGCTTCGCTAGTATATAACTATACTACATATGTATAGCGTTAGCATATGGAAGCTGGTCACCAGTGGGCATATTGTAAATTTTCTGGACCTAATCAGCCGGTATTCAAGACCTTCGTGCACTTAGATTTCTGTGATGGTCGTTTTGACCTCGAACGATTTAGTCCCAGAGCCTTTGTCCCTCATCGTTCCGGCCTTGAGCTCGGTAGAGCCATGCCAGCCCTTGAGCGGTCAGTCGCTTGAGGAGCTGGTCGTCTCTCGTGTTTTTATTGACGATGCGTAGATAAATCTCTTCTGTCCCATCATATCGCCTAAGATGCTTATATACTCGCGCAACAGTAAAGGTTCTCATCGTGTGGGTGATATGTTCTTTTTGGGTTTGGAAAGTAGCGGGTAAGTTCCACGTTCCACGTTCGAATTCATCCCGAGGAATCTGGAACTCATGGATCAGAGACGTATTATCGACATCAATTGGTAGGCAAACCTCATAATACTCGAATCCTTCACTGGGATGAAATCTGTGTTGAATCATTACACACACACACACAATTTATTAACGCCCGGCGGCTAAGCCGAAAGGGCAACTATCTCTGATCTACTATACATGTCATAATATATATAGTACTGTGTCTCCTCAGAGCCCATACATAAAGCCTTGCAATATATGTCATCTCAGATGTCCGTATCGCAGCGGATCCTCGTGGGTTAGTAATTTGGTTAGTAGGCTGGCTTGAAGGCGCTTCTCCAAGTGTTCAACATCCTATCTTCGGCAGTTGAAGCGCGTCTACCATTTGTAACACAAGGTAGTTCGTAGGCGGCGTTTTGCTGGCCAGGTCACCAGGTCACCAGTTTGCGGTAATTACTGGTAAGGATTTACTAGTAATTACTAGTAAATTCTAGAAATTATTGGGTAGATCATTTGCATGAGATAATTTTGATGGATATACCTCTGACCTAGCCAGGTCACTAGGTCATAACGGAGTATTTTCCCAGTGGCGACATCTAAAATTTCCTAGTAATGACCACACTACTAGTAGGAACTAGACAAGGCAGTGCTCGGTCCACCTTTATGCCGCGGGAGTCACGGTCACGCGATTTCTTAAGCTAAAGCTAGTATTATAAGTAGTTATTTCTAGTTGGCGGCTAGAAGCTATAATTTAGGGTATATTAAAGCCTATAATTTATTAGAAGCGTTGGTAAGACTACAACTCATAAGATTTAAGAAGATAGGAATAAATAATAAACGTTTAGTATATTTAGATTTTTGAATAATAGATGGCCCCAGGCCCCCCGGGGGAGTTTATTATCTAGCTCTTCTCGATGGTAATCTCGGTCGTTTTCCAAATATGACCGTCCTGATCCGGGGGAGAGCCATTCCGGCGTGACGATTCGCCCCATTCTGAGGATGAGGGTACACTGTCGTCGATCGACCCAGCTGATATATGGGGGGCTTTATTTCTTCCATCCATCTCAATGATACTCTCTTCGCTTTCACCGATAGGTTCCATATCATACATTCTTGTTAGTGCGCGAGATGTTCGACTTTCCGTCCCCGCCCGGATCCGACTGGTAGAGGTCCCAGGCCCACTTAAGTTATACTGGGGTGTGGTTTTCGTAGGGTTGCTTGTTGACTTTAGAAAGCTGAGGGTCGAGCGGGCTAAGGACCATACGAAAGGGGCATTGGTTACCCAGACGCCGATTGAAGCTTCGCGCAGGTACCAGAATTGGTAACTTGTGTCGTAAATGTTGTGGAAGGTGAATACTTTGGAAATTATGGCGCAGAGAATCTGGACATCCATTAGCACTGTAAGGCGGTGGTCAGGGTTGAGGACATATAGACAAACTTACTACCACAATACCCATGGAGAATACCACCAAAACCGGAAGCTTAGTCCGCCACGGCATGCGCGTTCGAAATAGCAGTGGGAGAACCACCAGCAGAATTGCAATATCCGAGCTGATGTTGAAGACTGCCTGGATAATCTCGAAGCGAAAGTATGTGGAACATTCCCGCTGAGGCGGCGGCAACGTCCAGTATCCGGATACAGGGTGGCAGTTCACGAACAAGGTCAATTCGGTCGCCAGCCATCCAAGGGCGGTATAGACAGCGGATACCTTCACCCATCGATGTTGCTTGAGGTTTGATCTATAGTGTATCAGTTATCAGTTTTTGAATTTAAAAGTTGCTTGGTCTTGACTCACGTAATTCGAAAATATACCAACAGCATGCACGCCTTCAGGCAATAGACGGTGCATACTTGGCACTGAAAAAGCGAGTTAGAAGGGCTCCCTTGCAGCCTCTTCGAGGACAACTCACATGCTCCGAGGCAAATTCAATCTTCGAGCCCAAGATCCGTTGTTCGATGTCATGAGCAGTGAATGTCTCAAATTGACCCGGTTCGTATAAGGTACTCCCGTGAGTGGCGACCTCGATATTCGTGACTACAAACGCAGTGTAGAAGATCTACATGAGACAGTTAGCCTCATACGATCGCGAGGGGTCAACCTGGAGATAGTCGATTCGTACGATTGCCAAAAACATCAAATAATCCTCAACTTGGAGGTGGAACTTCAGACGCTTGTACCGAGCATAACTGCGATCGAATCAGCCGTAAATCCAGCGACTGAATCCGAAGAATGCACCGACAGCCGCACGACGAAGAACAATATCCCCACACCGTACATAATCCATGACTCGACAATCAAGTCATGTACCGAACCACCACCCTGGCTCGACATGGTTGTGTTGTATGGGGTAGCAACGACCCTCCCCTGACCGAGCTACATGGGAATCTTAAAGCGTCAAGGGTGGTGACTAAACTAAACAACGCAATATACCTACCTATAGGTAGCAGAGCCTTTTTAGCCCCCTACTTTCCAAGTTTTGTATACTTTGTGTGGTAATTGCGCCCCACCCCGGGGCCGAACAACACCGGCATTTGTCTCGTGCTTACCGGGGGCCGACGATTTCAGCAATCCAAAGCTACCAATGAGGGGGATTGAGGGGGGTGTGACCGTGTGACGCGGCCAATGAGCAGGTTTTGATATCGCATTCCATTTAGATTCGTGGATGGTGCTCCAAAGTTTAGTGGTTTAATGTTTAGGAACATTACAGGCTGGGCTTTTCAGCTAAGGACTCCATTTGAGTACTAATGGGTTGAGGCAGGTCTCTCATGTAGATTGGGTTTCGCGTCTCTGGTGAAGCTTTAGAGTGGAGAAGAGAGTTATTTGGCCGGTTGGGTGACGAATAAGATTTACAGAATATCTTTCGAAGGTTCCAGCCGATGTACAAAATAAATTAACTGTGGATGCTAAAGTTGCAGTAGAAAACGTAAATTAACTGTGGACCCCCCACACGACCATTTATGAACGAGAGCACAAGCCTAGTGGCGCTGCTAAGCATGGGTAGTGGTCGGGGCCAAGCCACGGGTCTAGCCGGAAGTACTCCCACCGTACAACATATCTCCATAGGTACGGTACCTAGCTAAGACAGTCACTTATTATTTGCACATCATGCCACTTCTTCTCTGCAATACTCCTGAATTCCTACTCCGTATATTGCACTTTGTACCAGTTGAGAGAACTAATGCAGTGGAAATAGGATAAAAAGAGCGGTAAGGGGTGTATTCGGCAAATACCGAATAAATAATGCCATTGTACAAACCATTTCACCATCTCCCACTTTTCACCCTATCTCTGGCTGCCGTTACATCCGGTTGATCGCATCGCTTATTTATTTCCCTTGGCATCGACAGGGATTAAGTCTTACCAAAACTCTGTTTTTACGCTTCTGAGGGCAACATCGAAGTTTTCAAATCCTATATCCGACCCCCTGGTCGCGTCCTCCCAAGCTTTTGGTCTGCATACTCTCTTCCGCTCTCATCAGTTCATCATGGAGCAACCAATGGGAGACGAAGAGAAGAACTCTCAACCTTCGACGTCAGTTAAATCGAAGCCAAGCTCGACATTGCACCCGCCGAAAAATGCTTTCGAGCGTTTCAATGCCCGCCTGGGTCGGTTAAATTTCTTCGAGACGCGTGGTATCGAGCGCGTTCCGCTCGATGAGCGCAAAGCCAAAGTAACCTCGGCGGACTATATGGAGATGGCTCTGATGTGGTTCAGTGTGAACATCACGGCCAACAACATGGCCGTCGGTATGCTCGGTCCGTCGAGCTACGGGTTGGGCTTTGTCGACTCCGCCCTTTGTGCAACTTTCGGCGCTCTGCTGGGTGCTGCTGGTGTTTCATATATGGGCACGTTTGGCCCTGCCAGTGGAAACAGAACTATGGTATGATCTTGACCCAATCGCGCACGTGCCAACCGGTATACCGATGGACTAATTCAAATCAGGTCGTGGCTCGGTATTTCATGGGTTACTATCCCAGCAAAATATGCGCGCTGTTGAATATTGTAATCATGCTGGGATACGGTATGGTCGACAGTATTGTCGGTGGACAAGTTCTCTCCGCCGTCGCGGGGAACAACATGACCGTGTCTGTAGGCGTGGTTATCGTCGTGATAGTCACCTGGGTTGTTGTGCTGTTCGGCATGAAGATATTCTATATCTATGAGCGGTAAGCATTTGTCCTTCGATATTCCCTAGTCCAGCCCAAACCGAAATACTAACCGGAACCATTGATAGATGGGCCTGGGTCCCTCAGCTGATTGCCGCCTTTATCCTTGTTGGTAGCGCTGGTCCCAAATTCGACACTTCAATCGTGTCTACGGGTTCGGCGCAAACAATTGCCGGCAATCGCCTCTCCTTCTTCTCGCTCTGTCTCTCCTCATCCGTTGCCTGGGCTCCCGCCGGCGCAGACTTCTATGTCTACTTCCCCCCAACACCAAGAAGTGGAAAACCTTCCTCATGACCTTCCTCGGTGTTGGTCTGGCCTTGACCTTTGCCAATCTGATTGGTGTAGGACTCGGCTCGGGCGTGGTGACTCATCCTGATTGGGAAGCCGCCCACGCCATCTCCTCTGGTTCTCTGATCCTCGCCGGCTACAACGGACTAGGCGACTTCGGCAAGTTCCTAGGCGTCCTAATTGCGCTAGGTCAGATCGCGAACAATGTCGCGGGAACTTACTCCGCATCCTTGGGCTTCCAGATGCTGGGTCGCTACCCGGCCAAGGTTCCCCGGTGGGTGTGGACCTGCGTCGGCGTCATTATCTACCTCGTCTGCGCGTTAGCGGGTCAGAATAGTCTATCCGAGATTTTCGAGAATTGGCTCGCTCTGATGGGCTACTGGGTTTGCATATACCTTGTAATTGCTCTGGAGGAACATTTGATCTTTCGCCCATCCAGAGGCTTTGATTGGGCGGATTGGAACAATCGCTCGAAATTACCTCTTGGTCTCGCTGCGCTGGCGGCTTTCTTGATCGGCTGGGTTGGTGCCATTATTTCTATGGATGAGATATACTTCGTCGGTCCAATTGCTAAGATGATTGGCGAGAGGGGCTCGGATCTTGGTATCTGGGTTGGTGCGTCGTGGGCCATGTTGGTATATCCCGGACTGCGGTGGCTGGAGCTAAAGAAGTTCAATCGTTAATTGCTCAAACCCGATGGGCTGTCTGTATATCTAAAAATTGATAGAATATAGTGCTCTGAATACTACGATCACTAAAACTTCTGCTCCGCAATCTACTTGAGAAAACAGGGATGGATTCCATCACCCGTACAATGTAGAAAAGTCGTAGAAGGTTAAGCAAAAGGCGCTCTCTATTTGACGGAGCCAGCTATCCATTTTAGATTCCGTGACATGCAGTCAGGAATTGGAGATTAAATGAGAAAAGGGTTGGGGGTAAACAAACTGTCTAGGTCAAAGGCAGAGTAGAGTATTCACGGAATACGCGCTCTGTGTTTGTCTGAGGACGGAGAGCAAGATCAAATAGTCGAGCAAAACCCCTATTCCCCCTCGGCAGTAATGCTGCCTCAATACCTTTGCTTTAGAAACAGCAGGATCGCTTCTATGGGGTGGCGCTATTGTAGCGTAGCGTAGGGAACCATCTCGCTTCTACTCCCCTACTCCTCCACTTCTCCGCTATCCCAGACAGGCACAAGTAAGTTTACCCTAGGAACATGAAGATTTTGAGAAACTAGCGAGTTTGAGAGACTAATTGGATCCCTACCTTGAAACCCTGCAACCTTAGAATTTCCCAAATTTCCCCTAGGCGACACCTAACTCCTAACCGATCCAGCCTTTCTTTCCCCTCCTACCTCTCGTCGCCTCATGACACAACAGGAACCTTCACACCTATGATTATAAGAGAATTCCTTCGAATTACACGTTTTCCACGCTCTATGTTCCCCCTCTTCTACAGCCAATCTGCCCTTTCCAGCTGCCCGAGTATTGTTCACTCTCCAGCTCCCATTAGCCGCTTTTCGCGTCCCGCGAAGCCCGCGTTTATACCACCACATTTCGGGAATACCATTACCACATTTCAACAATGATCGCCTCGAAACGTGATCCCACGATGGATACCGGTCGGAATGCGGCGGACAAAGTGACCATTAGAGCGATGGAGCCCTAAAGACCCCGAGAACATTTAATATTATGTAAGCTATCATTATCACCACGTGATGCGATAAACATCTGGCGACGTCATCACCGAGCGTCGGTCTTTTACGACAGCTCAGCTGTGTTCTTGAAATTTGTTAACAAATTCCCATTTGATTTACTTCTTACACACCTATTTCCAAGATGTCCGCACTACCATGCATTCGCTCTGCACGTGGCTCCCCACTCCTCCGTCTCGGAGGTCTACAATCGCACCACATCAACCGACCCTCCATACAACGACTGCATCCCATCTCTCGCCCTTTGCATAGCCTTTCCAGCTCTAGCAAAGTACGAACCAGTCCAAATTCATGCCAATTGCCATTGACTCCGCGGTCAGCGTCCGTCAAACTCGCAGCGAGAACTTACGCCGACCGAAAAGGATCTACCGGCAAAGCCGAAGCTGATCTCCTGGTCGAGGAACTACAGGAGTTGTACGAAGTGGCCAAAGACGAGTTCGAAATTGCCACTGAGAGTACCGACTCAGCTACCATCTACGCTGCTTCGGACCGCGAGTCTGCACGCGATGCTCTCAACCAGCTGTCCACTGTGTATGGTCTCTACACTGCTCGTCCCGGGGAAGTTGAGAATGAGACGGATGGGTCGTCGTCTGAGGTAGACGAGTCTGGGGAGAGTGCTATTGTCGAAACTCAATATAATCCCGCGGAGGTCCCGCAGGGTGTTAAGGATGAGGTGCGTCGGCGGGTCAGGCATCGGATTCGGGAGTTGAAGAATGCTGTTGAGGCGCTCGAGGAGAGGGCGATGGAAGATTGAGCTTGTTTGCGTATCACTGTTCAAACTCTTGTCTATTACTACCGAGATGCAACCATGACATGGGTTTCATATCTAGATGCGGGGATTGTATATTTTAAGATCTGACTGGTACCGTTGTATGTTGTGGTCCACGCAAAGGGATTACGCATCTTGAGTTTGCAAGCTTGGAATTTTCCTACGCACGAATATTATACCTGACATGCGAGGTCATGAAAGCAAATCATAACATAATAAAACCAGATAGGAAATAGATTGCCCGTGCCCATCAAAGAGTTGATCGGTTCAGGTTCTCAAGACAACATTTGAATTAAATGATTGGTGAAAGATCCCGGCAACATCAAGGCCAAGTGGTATCAAGCTTTTTGGTAGTTCAGAAAAATCAGCGAAACGCCAGAAACAAAGTTTTCCTCAATCATTGATAGTACGCCCGGCGGGAAATAGCGCCTTGGTCAGTTGGGTCGTAAAGGCATGATAATCGCATACAATTATGCATTCAGTGGGGTGATTCATTAGACGAGGGTGAAGGGGGTCATCGTGAAGTTGTCGGAGCTCGGTGAGGGGAGTGTCGAGCAGGATTCCTGCTTGTGTGTTGTTCTCTGGTGGCGTTTCAGTTGGTCTAGGAGAATTGATGTGAGCATGTGGGCGATTAAGACAAGTATCAAATCACGCAACGTACCAGGACGTGTAAAGCTCTTAGTGCACCCTGGGAAAAGGCATTTGTGTCTTCGTTCTCCGTGGGCTAGATGAGGTCAGTAAAATATGTTAATCGTCCGAGATGCAAGGAGTATCATACTAAGTCTGTGACTAGACATATTGGAAGACTGGTTCGATGTTAGAACATGAGTGGGTTTGGCACACAGAGATAGAGAAACTCACGTCGCCCGTAGTAAAATTGCATCCTGGCCATGTGCATTTGAAAGGCTTCTCGCCAGTGTGGGTTCGCGAATGCGTTTCTAGGATAGTTAGCGGTGGATTCGAGAGGGAGTCCGAAGACGACATACTCAATTCGCTGCTATCGGTAAATGATTTACCGCAGTGTTTGCATGTGTACGGTTTGTCGCCGCGATGACTGCGCTCGTGTCGGTCTAATGTCGCTTGTCTAGCAAACGCCTTGCCACACACCGAGCACGAAAAGTTCTTGTCTGGAAAGGTGTCAGTACGCTTGTCCCAACCATCGGTAGATAGTGACATAATAAATATAACATACAGTTACTGTGTGTAAGGAAATGGCCTTGAAGCTTTGACTTCTGGGAGAAGGGCTCGTCAGGACGATGACATCCTTCCCAGCAGCAGTAGTAGCCATTGCCCTTGGCACCATTGACGGTATTCATATGACTGGCAACGAGATGCTCTTGAAGAGCACCACAATTGGCGAAAGTAGCACCGCAGGCAGCCTTGATTCCACGGATTTCCGTTGCCCACTTGCAGATATGCAGCTTACTGTCAATCGGAGAAAAGTCCGGTGTCGTAAGCACGGATGACGAATCACCTTCGAGAGGTGGCGGGGTCTCTCCTGGGCTGGGAATGAGGCGAGAGCTGATGCTTGAGCGACACTGTCGGGAATAAGGGGAATACGGGTGAGAGTGAGCATGGTGGTGAGCCCGGCAGCGATGATGGTTGCGGTGAGGTCCTTTGCGGATCCCTTGCAGGTTGAAGTCATTGGGGTTCTTGAAATGGTTGTGGACATGATGATGTTCAGGATTGAAGCAATTGAATGCGTCTGATGTGTCGATTTTGGGCTTGTCGAAGGTATTAAGACCGGACAGAGGCTCGGGTACGTGTTGATCTTGGCATATAGAGAAGTCGGAACACATACCCATCATGTGGAAAACCTCCGCTGGGTTGACTTCGGCCTGTGTGGGAACAGGGGGCGCCGCGAACATCCCTTGCCAGTCTTTCTGGAAATCATGGCACTCGAAGTGGTTGGATACGTCCTGCTCACAGCGGGTGGCATGGGTTTGGTATGAGGATAGGAGATTTTCTTGTTGGAATGGATCGACGAGACCAGGAAGAGGATTCTGCATAGCTTTTGTCGTATGGCCAATGGAATGATTCCCCATTGCCATGGGAGGGAAAGCCCCGGTGTCAATGGACAGTGGGGTGTTGAGTCCGAATAGATTGTCGAAACCGCAGTCTTGACTCACGGTACCGTCACAGCAGTCTTCGAAGCACAAAGGGTCAATACTTTCACAGTGGTTGTCCTCGCAATTATCTTCGCAGTGGGTGGTATCACAGTGAGTATCGTCGCAGTGATTGTTGTCGCAGTCATCATCCTCGCAGTTATCGTCCTCGCAGTGAGCAACTGAGCAGACAGTAGAAGTGTCACAGCCGGTAAAGTCGCCACATATGGACCCGCAGTCTAGCGCGCAGTCGTCTACATCACAGCAGGCCTCATCAACCTCGCAATTGGGCAGCGATGGCTGCGTTTCATGACTTGAACAGTTCCAATGATGTTGAAGAACACTACCGGATGGATCTACCGCTGCCTTGCCATCAATGTGAAAGGATTCCCAGTCGCATTCAAGGCAGAAATCGCCTCGTTGGGTTTGGGACGCCATGGTGCACGGTTCACTTTAGAGAATGGTGGGAAGGTGTTAGGGTCGAAAGGGAATCGGGATTTCCAGGAACAGTGTCGTCACAGCAGCGTGTACAACGAACGATATGGGGAAAATGCAATCGAGGAACCGAGCAGTGTGCGACCGTAAGTGGGACAAGTGAATGCCCGTCAGGTACGATATCACGCTACAAAATCCACGAGCCCACGAGTCAAAGTGTCACCTAGTTTGTGCGTCGTTCCCGGGAGACAGTTTAGGTTGTAATACCGAATGATATTCTCTCACAGCACCGATGGATTCGCAATCGTGTCATGCGCTTGGACTGGACTGGTTGAGAACAGGCGCAATCGGAGAATTGACCGAGATCGACGTGCAGGAAATGCAAAAAAGGAGGACCTTGGTGTCAAAGATGCAGGATCAAATCCAAAGGATTTTGAAAGGATCAGGGGACATAAGCTGGTGTCGACTAAGACCCCTCAGTGTAGCCGTGAGGACCTTCGGGACGCAGGACAGTATGAGGACCTTGGGGGTTAGGCGTCATGATTTTCGAGCGAATCGTAGAGAGTGCTTTGGCGATCAACTTCGGGAACTCTGATAATATATGTGATATAGAGTGAAATCTGTAGGAAAAAAGAGATCCGAGAACAGTCAAACCTGAAAAATGTTCCCCAGCATTCCGATCGAAGAATTTCTCTCCCCCGGCGGAGAGGATTTCCCCCCAGGCCGCCCAAGGGGAGATCCTGACTAAGCTATATTCTGCCCCTCTGGTCCGACTTGCCTTTGACAGCCCTAATCCGGTAGTTGGACGGTAGTTTGCATCCGGTGTATGTGAGGAAGTTTAATTTTAGACTCAGTCCATATATTCAATGGGTTAATGACATATATATCTTCACTATATCCTCCTGTATCCTACTATATCCAAATTCATAGACTTATTGAAGTCAGTTGTCGACTTCACTCACCGCCTTTGCCCCGGATCGACTATCAGCTTATCGCAATGCTCCAACATCCACTTGCGATGACCCGCCGACAACAACGTCCTCCACAGGTACAACTTGATTTACAGCCAGCATATCACTTGCAGAACCCACCTTAGAGAAACCCGCTATATCCAATTGGGTTTCTCAAAAATCAACTTTGCACCGTAGCCGAGGCTCTAACCAACAACCCTACACTAACCACAACAACAAACCCTTCGATCCCTGCGACTCGCTACACACTCATAATGGGCAACATCTGCTCCCGCTCTTCCAATGAGGCAGACCCCTTCAACCAACCGGGTCGTGTAGTCGGCACCAACGCAGAGAGGACTGCCGCACCCCGCGCCCCACTTCCGGCCAAGACGAACTGGAAGGCTACACCCGGCCGCACTCTGGGTGGGAGCACAGATGGCGGTACTGCCGCAACCGACGAGGCACGTGAAAATGCTGCAATTGCCGCGCAGGTATGACGAGTCGCTTCCTGGCAGGATATGCTATGCGGGCTGGGATTACTGGCTGACGGGTCCCACAGAAACGTGCCGAGACTGCCTCTGCCAATAAAGGGAAACTGGGATCTAAGCTGGCTGCGCAGAAGGCACAGACTCAAGCGCAGACATTGGATCAAGTCAGTCGTACGGAGAGGGCTGCGCGAGATGTAGATGGGACGGAGGCTGCAAGGAGGTGGGAATAGGCTTACCCATGAGACATTTGGATTTGATCATCACTCCCATTATATCCCGGCGACTTGTTTGATGGCATTGTATTTGTGGGCTTATTGTGTCTCTTTATAGCGTATATTGGGGGTGTTTGTTTTGTTTGTTTTTTCTAGTTCAAATCCTTTGACTTGTTGTTTGCGGGTGGAATTGTGGAATCAAAGCTTCTCTTTCATAGTTTAAATGACGTGACAACACTACTCCGACTGATGGATTACCCGATGTTTCTCCAATTACATTACCCGGCGAGGATGATCATGAAGGGACACTACTCCGACTGATTAGCCGGTGTTTCTCCAATTACATTACTCGGCGAGGATGATCGTGAAGGGACACTTTAACGACAACTACTACAATAATCAAAACACATAATATCGTACAATCATTGATTTGTTGAAGACAGACTTTGAATCTACAATGGACTAAAGAATGACCTATAGAACATTGTAGCGGCCACCCACCGGAGCGCGCGCTTCACCTTCTGAGGCGGCCAGTGTCGCATCCTTGAGCAGGCGTCTGAGCTCGTGTATGGCGGTGGTGACTGAGATTTCCGTCTCACCCTCAACCAGGATGTACAGCTTGGGGAGCTCGCCAGGCGCGGGTTCCTTCCCGGCGGCGTAGAAATTGCCTTTCGTGGTGATAGAGGTACCGGATGCTTCCAATATCTTTGCAACGTTCGTGCGGTTTGTAACCGCCCAACGTGCCTTCTCTGTAATACGAAAGAACTGTAAGTGATCGTTTGAGGAATGGGAGGGGTATGGGGTAACTTACGAGGGAAATCGTTGATTTCCAGCGTTGCATGGAAGGCTCCGGCGTCAGGGCCACGGTTATCAATAGGAACACCAGATCGCATCACACCCGCACGGCTCAAACGTGCGTGGATATCCGCAACGGCGGAGCCCACTTTGTCCAATGGATTCTTTGACGCATTGGCCGGTGTTCTCTCCGTACGATGCACAACAATCTTACCATCAAGGTCAATGCCTTTTGGCACGCCTGGCATGGAGACTGGAGGTGTAGCTGTTGGCACAGCCGGTTCGGCGGCAGGTCGGACAGCTGAAAGAGCCTTATTGAATCGATCATCTGATTCCTGTTCGGTCTCAAGTTTCCCCTCTTCTTCATCCATGTCATCGCCTGTGTATGCTTTCCGCTCACGAAGTCGCGCAGTTTCACGCTCCATATTGAGACGGTCCAGGCCTTTACCACCAAATCCATGGCGCGCTGTGTACTTCTCCTTGCCAGACTTGACCTTCTCATTGAAGCCATCGACTAGCTTTTTGACAGGCTCGGGAACTTGCTGTCCACTTTGTCTGAGAGCCTTGGCGATATCCACGGCATACCGATCCTGCTCTTCGGTGATGAACGTGACGGCGGTTCCGGTGTTGCCAGCTCGCCCAGTGCGGCCGGCACGGTGGACATAATCTTCCAGGTGGTTAGGTGCGTCATAGTTGACGACGAGCTTGAGCTGCTTGACATCTAACCCACGAGCAGCAACTGACGTTGCGACCAGGATAGGGAAAATGCCTGCCTTGAATTCTTGGATGGTGCTGTCGCGATCGATCTGATCCTTTCCACCGTGAATCGACATGCATGGATAACCCTTGTACATCAATTGCTTGAGCAAGTCATCTGCAGCCTCTTGACGGTCCACGAAAATCAACGTGCGATCATCTTCATTTGCGTCGTGCTCATACAGATTTCCCAAAAGCTCCAACAGACGGAAGAATTTCTGGTCGTTGTTACGGACCTCAACAACTTGCGTGATTTCCGGAGCCACAACACTCCGGCCACCCACAGTGATCTCCACTGGCTGGTTCAAAGTTTTCCGAGCCAATGCTTCCATATTCTTGGGAAAAGTGGCTGAGAAAAGGACAGTCTGCCTGTCCGGTCGGATGCTTTCCATGATCTTCACAACTTGTGGCCCGAAGCCCATATCGAACATGCGGTCACCCTCGTCAAGAACAACATACGTGATACGGCGTAGATTGAGGACCCGTCCTTGGTTTGCGGCCAGAAGATCGATTAGACGACCAGCAGTGCATACAATAATTTCCGCGCCTCGTTTCAGTTCGGCAATTTGGTCTTTGATCGGGGCTCCACCATACGCGCAGACGGCACGAAGACCCAAGGCCTTCAAGAAAGGCTTACAGTCTTTATGAATTTGGGTGGCCAGTTCACGGGTAGGTGACAAGATCATACTGATCGGGCCATCTGTACCAGACAAGGGCCGTTGGTCTTTAATGTGTCGGAACATCGGAACGAGGAAAGCACCGGTCTTGCCTGAGCCTGTCTTTGCCACGCCGATGACATCGCGACCGGACATGATCGTAGGAATGGCTTGGGCTTGAATGGATGTGAGGTTTTCCCACCCGAGTTTGTGAACAACATCTAACGTCTGAACGCCCAGACCGCATTGCGACCACTTTTGAACAGGTTTAGGGACACCCCGACCGCGGATCTTGATGCCATCCAGTTCAAGTCGCAAATTCGCTACCTCCTCCTCGGTCATCTCGGCAAGATTGGACGGTTCGGTGTAAAATTGCTTGCGGAACGGCTCATACTCGATCTTCGCGTGATCAATCTCAGGCATCTCCCGTTTCTTCTTTTTAATTGCTGCCAGAGCGAGAACATCTTCAGCCTTCTCGTCACCAACTGCAGTCACAGCCACATCCTCCTCGTCGCCAAACATCGCCTCGGGTTGTTGGTGTGCGGTCTTCTTGGCAAAAGTGGCCCCGGTTTTCCGTTCAGGCGGCGCCGAGTCTTGGAGTTTAGCCATGAACGCATCCAGGGGATCGATTTCTTCGTCGTCGTCAACGTCCATGGTAGAATCGGCCGGGGCGTTCGTGGCCTCCTCCATATGGACATCATTTTGACCCTGGAGTCGTGTATCTCGGCGTTCAGTTGCAGCGTGCGCTTCGGCTGCTGCGTGTTCTTCCGTTCCTTCAACTTGCATGTCTACATCATCATCTTCGACGGCATCGTCTGCCTGTGCACCCATATCAAGAGACATGGTCGGCAATTTCTCGAGTTTCTTGCGTGTCGATCCTTCATCGCCATCCCCAAAGCCAAGAGTTTCAGAAGCAGAGGGCTTCTCGGTTTCAGAAACTTGTCTAACACCCAGGCCGAATCCGCTGACATTACCTTTGGCTTTCAAGGGAGCAGAGAGCATGGCGGGCGTAGCACTAGGTACGTTGGCTTTTGTAACAGACGGGGCTTTGGAAGACAGCGGAACGGCAACATCGGTACCAAGCACGGCGGGAGTGGCCGTGGTCGTGGTGGATGATTTGACTATGGCCTTTGGATCAAACTTCGACTTTCCGGGAAATGCAGCAGGATCTGGGGACACAACTGATTTACGGTCAATCGCTTCAAGAATTTTCTTCGGATCAACTGATGCCTGTTCTTTTTGCTTCTTTTCGCGTTCGGCGGCTTGTTTCTGCTTCCATGCTTCAAGCTTGGCAAGTCTCTCTGCTTTTTTTGCCTCGTCTGTCTGCGCAGTTGGGGCCGGTGTGGACGGCTTGGATGGCTGTGGGATACAATTAATGTCAAGATCTCAGCATCATGCAAGATGGGGGTGGCTTACCTCTCGGGTTCTGGACCTGGACCGTCGGCTCGGAGCACGATCACGGCTGTCATCCCGTCTAGACTTGGGCTTCAAATCAGCAGAATCACTTATCCGCCTGCGGTCCCGATCCCGGGAGTCATCTCGCCTGGAACGGTAATCCCTATCACGACTTCTGCGGCGGATGTCATGGTCACCATCTCGGCGCCGGTCTCGAGATCGGTCTCTTCGAGCTGGCCGATAAGTATCTTCGTCGCGCCGGTCTATGGGTAGGTCTCGTCGTCGATATGCATCTCTATCGCGAGGGCGGTCGCGCCCGCGGTAGCGTCTCTGGATATCACCAGGATGGTCAGATATTGCAAGACAGAATGTGAATTTACAATGCGCTACACGTACCTCTGGGCTGCGGGATCTGCGGTAACTGCGCCCATCATCCCGCCTGGTTCTCTCATAGCGATCATCATCTCTGCGAGGTCGCCGGGATGAAGAAAATGTGCTGCCTACAGGTGATGGTGAGCGAGTATCTCCGTGGCGAGCCATTGTTGCAGGCTGATTAGTGAGTGTTACTGGAACGCAAAAGCACCCGGGACACGGATTGATGGAGGAGGGAAAGTGGGGGGAGAGAAAGCGCCGTGCGAGAAAATTATTTAAGACGACAATTCAGGCGTGAAACCACCACGAAAGAAGAGCGTGCGACGTGTTTGTCTATCGCATCGTCACTTGCGCAAACCGTTGGAGTGAAGAAATATTACATAATCCCGTGCGGAGGGGCTAGTCCCAATGCGGATAGGTACGCCAAAGCAAGCGCGCTCCGCTTGCGTCAACAGCTCAGCTCCTCTCATCGATTGTCGGCTTCTGAAACTTCAATTGTTGATTTATCTCATTTTGGTCTGGGATATTTGACCTCGCTCCAGTTAAATCTACCTCGATAATCACTTCATGTCTTGGCAGTCGGCAGCTCGGGGGGGCTTCCTCCGCACCCTGCCTCGCGGTGCTCTCCCTGCCCGTACTGGCGTGAGCGACTTACAGAACCAGCTTAGTCGCGTCTGTCTGGCAGCTAACTCAGGTCCAGCGCGGCCACAATTCCAACCCCTTTCCTCAATCCAGTCCCTGTTCCAAGCGAATTCGTTCGCGACTGCTTCTACCCCTCTCAAGGCGAGCCAGACGCCTAAGGCGAAGACCCCTAAGACAGCCGCTAGCAAAGCCAAGAAGGCCCCTCTCAGCGAAAAACAGCAGGAAGCTCTGAAGATGAAGCAACAACGGGCTCATATCAAAGAGCTCAAGGAAACTGCCCTGGTCCGGCCCAAGAGGCTGATCGTTACTGCCTACGGTCTTGCTATGACTGAGAAGCTGCAGGAGCTTAAAGGTCAATATTCGGTCAAGGAAGCATGGCCAATTAGTGTACAGCATGCGACATCCCTCAGTCCTCAAGAGAAGGAGGTATGTGCCCTTGAGCTTCTCGGTAGACGTCAAGAGCAGTATACTAATCCATCAACTCCAGAGACTCCAAGCTCAAGCCGACGCCAACAGAGCAGCTAACGCCGCTGCCTACGACGCGTGGGTCAAGTCGCACACACCTCTCCAAATCAAGAATGCCAACACTGCCCGCCTCACCCTTTCGCGTATTGGCAAGAAGACCTACTCTGCCATCAAAGATGACCGCTTGCCCAAAACACCTCAATCCGCCTACATTCTATTCGTGACGCACTGCATGGATACCCTTGGTTACCAGGGAAAGGCCGGCACAGAGGCCTTCAAAGCCGTTGCCGATGAATGGACCAAACTACCCCAATCGGAGAAAGATGTAAGCACCCTTAGCAGAAGCAATACGTGCCGGACTTGAAGGTGCTAACTGTGAATCTAGCACTACCACAAATTGCAAGTCGAAGATCGCCAACGGTATGAGAAAGAGCACCAAGAGGTATACGGAGAACCTGCACCCAAGACCCAACGGTATAAAACACCGGAAGACTACAATTGAACCTAAGCCTCAAACCTGAACCTGCTCTGTGCCGGGGATCTCCAATGGGATGGCATCAACTTAGATGAGGTTTGTTTCGGAGAGTGGTTAGCTCATTGTGGACTTACACCCTTGTTTGTCACGCGCCGTTCTCAATTTCCTATATGGCCTGATTCATGTCCCCTTGTTGTATTGTAGTTCGTCCTGTCAAACTGTTTTTCTATACCTTGTTTTTGTTTGCTCCACCTGTGGGAGCGCTGCAATATGATATCGTAACGAATCCATGGAGAGTTTACCATCTCCAATCCAATTGAATTCCCTCTATAAAACTGTCTCCGTTAAAGCAATGAGTCAGAGAGAAAAAGACCCTTCTCATTTACGCCGCAGAATCTCCACCAACCCCGCACTGGGCCCTTTTTTTTAACTCCGAAGCTCAAGTAGCGGTGTGCAAAGATTGTGTTGCGCGTGCAGGTGGCCCTTTTAGTGTGGGATTTACGTCGAGTAGGTTGGGCTTGAGGAGAATATTCCAGCATCTATGAAGTACTTCATGCAGCTTTTGTAAAACATGTTTGGTTACTGTCCAAGCCCAAGGGTAAAATTGCCAACATGACAGGTAAAAACAGAAGTATAGTTACGATGTGTGTGCAACAAACATACAAAATAGCGCAGTCCCTGCATTTAGGTATCCGATTGTCGCTGTATGTTGTATGGACTATAAAATAACATAGTACTGTATAGAGTTACCTAGATATAAGCAATTGGACTTAAAGTGGGTTATAGTACCACGGTACTGCACAAGATACATTGTAATCCGTGGGCTTGAAGTTGCGGAACCGTGGAAATCGAACTGTTATCGTAGGGTCTGTGCAACATTGGGGTTGTTGGCCTCTCGAGTACTTAGGTATGCCATGCAAACTGTATGTTGTAGAGACAAAACCTACACCTACATATTTTAGTATACATATATGTACAGAGTACAGAGTACATATCGTCCGTTTCAAAGTGCTCTTGCCCTGTACTTCCTAGAGGTATGCACCTGGCACTTATATGTTCCCAGCCATCTATATAATTTTTTTTTCCATCTCCTAGGGGTGTTGGTAGATATATATGTTGTCCGAGTTTGAGTGACTCGAAGAAATTCTACGCCAATATCAAAACACCTCGACCACATAAATGCAATAACAACATCGAACAAGTACATTGTATCCGGAGTACGAACGGAGTACGGAGTACATGCATTTATTTAACTTAGCGGGCTAAATGGGATGATCTTCACCTCCACCGCCTGAATTTATCCCTGCCTCTCCAGAAGATCCCCTCCCAGCCTAACTTTTCCATATTTTTCTCCCTGGGCTCCCTTGACTCCTTGAAATTTCTCGTGTTCAATTTACAGCAGGCACAGTTCCACACTGTGTGACCGACCCCTAATCCGTCTATATACCACATATATCAGCATCGAAGAACACCTGAAACTCGCGCCGGTCGTGCAGGAAGGCTATCTGACTCGAATTTGACTTGAAACTACTACTTAACAGTCTCACAAGGTCCACTCGCACGACGTTACCGCACCAACATCACCCTATCGCAACTCTGCGCCGAAAAACAACGTTTGTTATCGATTGGGACAATATCCCCCTCCCCGCCAGGACTCGAATCCAACCCACCCACCGATGCGTTCCCTGGTCGACATCGCTGAGTTACCACATCAGTGATCGGATCGGCCATGAACCCAGCGCATGTGATTCTCGACATGGAAGCGATTGAGGGGTCTTATCGCGTATGCGCGGGGGAAGACCAGCGCCACGGAGGATGTCGCATACTACGCACGGAACATGCAAATGGAGGAGAAACTACTCGATGAGGTCTGGACTACTTTCTCGACTAAGCTGGCGGGCTTTTGCCTGCCAGATAACTGGGGGAACCATAAACTAGATTTGGTCACCGATTTGACTTCTTGCTTTCCCACTCGCTCGTCAGAGCCACCTTCCTACGACCAACCTCCGCCTACCTACGACGATGTGATCTATGATCTACCTCCCGAATACTCTGCACTGCCTCCACTCGCGCAGCGCAAATCGACGGCTATTTTCTTCGCGCCAAGGATACCTCAAAAATCGCATAAATCGTCATCTTCGCTGCTGAAAGATCGTACGCTGGATGTACGCATTGATTTTGAGAATCCTACCGGTGTTCGGGAACATAAGAAGAAAAAGCCCGCGGTAGCAAAGAAAGCAGCCCCGCCTCCCTCTCCCCCTCCTCCGCCACCGCCGCCGGCAGGCGGGGCTGATGGAGGAGACGATAATGCCAACGGTGACGGTGGGTCTGGCGATGCAGGCGGCGCCGGAGGCGGCGATGAGGGAGATGGCGGCGGCGACGATTGGGGCGATTGGAATGTGAACGGAAAGAAGGATAAAAAGAAGAAACTGGAAGAGGAAGAGGAAGAGAGAAAGGCCAAGGAGGAAGAAGAGAAAAAAGCCAAGGAAGAGGAAGAGAGACTAGCCAAGGAGGAGGAAGAACGGCAGGCCGCTGAAGCCTCTGCTGTCAAAGATCTTAGCTGGGCTGAGGATAACGGTGGGGGGTGGGGGCGATGACTCGTGGGCTGCCTTCACGGATGTAGGAAAAAAGAAGAAAGGAAAGGTAAGATCCTCCTCCTCCAATGTACAAGACGAGTGTCTAAGTAAAATTACAGGGAGAAGTTGCACCCCCTGGGGGTTCCAGGACGTAAGTCTGGATAACGGCGCACCGCAATTGGACTTGAATTTCGATAGTCCAGCTCCCAAGACCGGCGGAACAGGGTTTAGTTTCGGAGGATGGGGCAAAGACTGGAATACAGGTGGCAAGCTCGATCCTCTTGGAGACCCTCCTCCCAACGATGAATCTAAGGACAACAATCCTTGGGGAGCAACTTCCAAGAAGACTGGCGACTTCGATTTCGACTTGGGATCTGCACCCGCCGAAACCAAGCAAGAAGATGACTGGGGAGAAGGTTGGGATGCGAGCAAAGACAAAAAGGGAACGGAACCCGAACTCGAGATTCCTGCGCCTCCGCCTCCGCCTGCACCCAGAGTCGATTTTACACAGGAAGCCTGGTATATGAATCTTACCAAGAAAGAGCAGCGTAAAGCGAAGAAGGAGATGGAGAAGAAATACAAAGACGAGGATGAAGCTGCGGCAAAAGCCACAGCAGAGTGGGAAGCAGCCAAGGCTGAAGCCGAGGCGGCGGCGGCGGCGGCAGCAGCAGCAGCAGCAGAAGCGGCAGAGGCAGAGGCAGCAGCAGAGGCAGAGGCAGCGGCAGCGCAGGCGGCTGCAGCTGTACCTGAATCAGTAGTTGAGGAGACTGAGAAACCACCCGAGGCAGATACTGACTGGGGTTGGGGTGTTCCAGTGAAGACCAAAGATAAGAAGAAAAAGAAGAAGATTGACCTTTTAGCTGATCCGGAGCCTGTCATCGATGAACCGCCGGCGAAACCAACAGAGCCAGTTGATGCTTTTGCCGCTTGGGGAATTTCTTCAAAGGACAAGAAGAAAAGCAAAGGCAAAGCTGAGCCAGCACCCGAGCCAGAACCCACCCCGGAACCTGAGCCTGAGCCTGAACCGGAGCCAGAGCCAGAGCCAGAGCCAGAACCAGAACCAGAACCGGTGCCCGAACCTGAACCTGAGGCGCCAAAGGTGCCCGATGAGCCTCTATACGAAAATTGGCGGGATATATCGTCTAAAGAACGCAAGAAGCGAGAGAAACAATTAATGCGCAAGGGCCTTCCCATTCCCGGCAAGGATTTTGAGCTCCCATCAGACGAGCCGCCTGAAGAAGTGCCTGAACCGGTTGTTGAACCGGAGCCAGAAGCAGAACCAGTGCCTGAGACAGAACCGGAACCCGAGCCACTACCAGAACCGGAACCGGAACCCGAGCCGGAGCCAGAGAAACCGGCTGAAGACTCTTGGGGCATTTGGGGACCAACAAAGGACAAGAAAAAGAAGAAGGGCAAGGATATTGAAGAACCTCCCCCACGTGCGCCGACACCTCCTGCTCAGGGCTTGACTCCAGAGCCGGAAGCTTTCCATGACAATGCCGACGATATTTGGGCAGAGCTGGCACCTAAGACATCTAAGGGCACAAAGAAGACCACGAAAGCCATCGAACCCCCCAAAGAGGAAAAGGCACCTAAAAGCTTCTGGTCGACCCTGACCGGGGGTTCTACGAGCAAAACCAAATCAACGAAGAAGGCGAAGGAAGAAAAGGAACCCGAGCCTATAGAAGAGGAAGACTTGCTTATCGACGTAGACGACAACCCCCCAGCGCCTGAACCAGATGCCGAGCCAGAGCCAGAACCAGAGCCAGAGCCGGAACCAGAACCGGTGCCTGAACCTGAACCAGAGCCCCCTGCCCCCGAAAAGTTATCCAAGTCCAAGGCTTCCAAGCTCAGCGTTGCTGAACGTATCAAGGCTTTGGAGCAAGCCAAGAAGGAGAAGGCAAAGGCAGAAAAGGCTGGCTTGAAGAGCAAAACCAAGGAAAAGAAGGTTGAACCCGAACTAGAACCTGAGCCAGTGCCGGAGCCGGAGCCAGAGCCTGAACCTCCTGTAGAGGAGCCCGCTCCTACAAAGAAGAGTTCAAAGTCTAAGTCTAAGACAGCGGAAGCTCTTGAGTTCGAAGATAGGAAAGTCTCCAAGGACTCTGTTCCTGGAAGCTTCCCAGACTTTGGAGATGATCCCGAGCCTGAACCCGAACCCGAACCTGAACCTGAGCCGGAGCCTGAGCCGGAGCCGGAGCCGGAGCCTGAACCCGAGCCACTACCAGAGCCGGAACCTGAGCCACCAGCCCCAGATCTTTCGAAAATGAGTAAAAAGGAACTCAAGAAGTATAAAAAGGCCGAAGCCGAGAAAGCCGCTGCCGCAGCTGCTGCGGCGGCTGCCAGAGAGCCAACCCCGCCACCTCCGGAGCCGGAACCAGAGCCAGAGAATGAGCATGAGCCAGTGCCAGTGCCTGGACCTGAACCTGAACCTGAACCTGAACCCGAAGCTGAGGCCGACGCCGAGCCCGAGCCTGCACCGGAGCCCACACCCGAGGAACCAGAGGCAAAGGACGAAGCTACACCGGAGCCTGCCGAAGAGCCTCCAAAACCCTCCAAGAAGGATCGAGTACGTACCGAACGGAATACGAACACCTCTTCATGGGGAGGCTTCTGGGGGGCCCACCACCTCCAAAGAAATCCAATAAGAAAGAGAGTAAGATCCAGGAAGAAGCAGAACCTCCAAAGAAATCAAAGAAGGAAAACAAGATCCAAGAGGAAGTGAAACCGCCCAAGAAGTTGAAGAAGGAACCCAAAGTCCAAGAGGAGGTCGAAACGCCCAAGAAGTTGAAGAAGGAACCTAAAATCCAAGAGGAGATCGAAACTCCCAAGAAAAAAGAATCTCGAAAATCTCCACCAAAAGAACCGGAGGCAGAAGTGGAAAGGTCTTCTGCGTCAGACCGGGAGAAGCGGCGAGAACGAGAGGGGCGCTCCTCTAAGAACCAACGTGGCGTGGCCTTGGCCAACATGGTACTGGGTACACCCCAGTCCAGAAGCAAATCGACTAGAAAACCTGGCTCTTCGTCGAAACCTGTATCTAGACGTCCATCATTTGATATTGATGAGAAACCTGCTGATCCATCACCGGGTGAGAAGCCTGAGGTGTCTGACAAGGCAGCCAAGTTGATGGGCATGGATGCTTCCAAGTCTCGACGTGAGCGCCCGCGCACGGACAGGCGTAAATCAGGTATGTACCTTTCTCTCACCTTTGATTTATCTATCACTGACTTCCTGCCTACGAAATAGTTCGAGATCCGTATGCGATCGAGGATGATGATCTCGTTATGGTTGATATGGAAGATGCAGAGGGTCATTCACCTAAAGAGGGCTCCAAGGGCTCAAGGCGCAAGTCAAAGAGACAGGTATGTCGAGATAACCACAATATTTTTTGCGCTTTTGTACTAACCTGAGATCCTTCATAGCCGCGCCCCAGACCCGACGACGAAGACGATGCTGTCATGGTCGATCCATATCAAGCACCTCCCGCCCCAGATGTAATGTCCGGACCCGACGATATGGCCTTCGTCGATGCGCCACCAAGAGAACGTCGCCTAAAGCGTTCCAACACCGCACCGCCAAAGAAACAAGAGAGCGGTGGATTGATGGGCCTCCTGGATTCCCTAAGGAAAGGCACACGCCCAGATCGACCAGAACGCCCCGAGATGCCGGAAAGACGGAAGTCACGCTCATATCGCGAAGATGACGGAAGATATCCGCCCGAAATGGAGCGGGACGGCCCTCGCAGATCACGTCGCGAAGATCGACGCCGAGGATCTGTCCGACCAGACACCGATGCTGAAGGGTTCGTTACCGACGCCGCCGGTGTAGCAGCAGGCGGCGAGACAGAAGCCGACGAAGCGGAAGCTCGACGCGCAGCACGCCAGGCGCGCCGTGGATCCCGGAAGGCACCTTCTGACTCCCGTGAATCTGAAGCTCGGGAGGCAGAGGAACGGCGCGCGAGGCGGAAAGAACGCGCACGTGAACAGCGTGCTCGTGAAGAAGAAGAACGTCTACGAGAGGAAGATCGTTTACGAGAAGAAAAGCGGGCTCGACGAGCTGCACGTGAAGAACGTCGTGCTCGGGAAGAGCAGGCGGCTCGTGACGCTGAAGCCGAAGCCGAAGCGGCGGCTGAAGCTAGAGCAGCGGAACGCCGTGAGCGCCGGCGGATGCGCGAAGAGGAAATGATGGCGGCGAGAGCGAGTCGACGTCGTGAACGTGAGCAAAGGGTCCCTGATGATTTCTTCCCCGATGAACGTGAGGTCGACCGTCGTGGGGATCGTAGCTCCCGCGCGTTTGAAGAGCCCAACGCTCGTCGTCGCAAGTCTAAGGTCGCTCCTGAACCAACTCGGGAACCGCTCATGACTGGTGGGTTGAATCGTGGCGGTGGTGCGAAAGACAAGATTTCCTCTTGGGTTTATTCGCAAAGTGATGAACCTCCAGAACCACCAGAAATCGTTCCCACTCTTATTGATCTGCCTCCTCTTGCAGCTGACGACGGAGGGAATGCTCATTCTCTTTCGTCGGATGAAGAAGCTCGTCGCGCTGTTCGCCGTAAGGCCCGTCGTCGTGCTAAGTATGAGGAAGAGGTTGACGATCCTCGTTCTCGGCATCGAGGGTCTCGCCGTGAAGGTGTGAAGAGCAGTTCTGGAAGTGGTGACTATGAACGTGATCGTGGGATGAGGTCCCAACCGGGGAGTCGACAAGGTGCTCCGCCGAGTTCGGGGCCTAAGAAGCCCAGTTGGTTCCGTAAATTGACGAATCTGTAACCCAGGCATTTGGTCATTTTCTATTCTTTCTATTCTTTCTATTCTTTGGGAATTTGTTCGCTTGTTTTGTATATTTTGGTTGCAGCGTCTTTTTCCTTTCTCTTTTTTGGTTATTTTAACAAAGGTCTGTGATAAAAACTCCAGGCAGATCGGATTTGACGACATGTATGAAGCTCATATGATACTATGACCCCAGCAATATACGCATTTTGGATTCTTTTGATAGTCTGCTCAGATAGATTGCATTCCCTTTTGGATGTTTGCTTTCCCTCCTGACTTTTATATGGCAGGTACACAATGGCCTACAAACATGAGAAGGTAAGATTGTGGCCTGATCCCCAAGGCGTCACCAATGGCCTCTTTGATATTGTTCTCTCTCTTTCTCAGATGCGAAGTAAACAACCTCAAAGTCATTCATTTCCCCAACAATCCCATCTTCAAGAGACATGCCCTCTTTCCACCCACACCAAAGTCTCTTCAGAGCTGGATAAGTCCAAATAAGTCCAGTTCCCACCTTATCGAGGTATTAAGAATCTTCTACATGCATCCCATACATCATGTCTAACTAAAACACTTCACTAGGCCAATCTCCTTAAGTCACAACCTCGATCGATCACCCACACCCCAGCCTAAGAAACCTCCATTCCCCGAACTCAACTACCGCGCTCAGCCATCCAAACCTCGATATCTGACCCTCAAAACCACTAATTACGGAGTTTCCATCTGACATCCCTCGCACACACAGAATGTCCGCACCAAGTACGGTGACCGACTTCCAAAATGAACGCACCGCCATCCTCTCCTGGCTTGAAGACCAAGCCCGACTTTTGAGACACCAACCAAGATCCGACGCCATCAAAGAAGTCAGAGTCAACCTCCGCGACCAGTCTCTTGAATACCTCGATCGACTAAAACAAGCTTCGATTATCATGGCTTGTGAGGCCAAAGACCATCCCTACGTGACAGCAAAGCCGCCGGGGTTCTACGAAGTCGTTGTTCCGAAAATGTGCGATGCGCTGCAATTACGACTGCCGCAGCTTGCCTCGAGGCTTGGGACCAATCCTAAATGCAACATGTGTGTTCAGTTCATTATTATGAATGTTGTGACCGAGCCCGGCTTCTAGGTTGGTGATTTTGGGAGATCAGTTGTTTGTGAGATTGCAATGAACTTTGTGTTATCATCTTACCTAGCTCGTGTATGTACATGGGTACAAAGTGCATGTTACTTGCATTATCACCTACATGTAGCCTACGCATATCATGATGTTTTGTTTGTCGGCCTATATGGTCCTTTTAGTAGCCTTCTCAGATATCCTCTTCGAGATACATGTATTATCTCCCCTTTCTCTGTGTGACCTATACAGAGTATGTATTAGCCATAGATATGCCTCGCGGCACTTTAATGCTATCAAACTACCCAACTTTAGGACCTACTCATCATTCGGAGACCTTCATGATACTTTTATATAATTGATATTTTGATCACTAGGGACATAATGGACTTCAACGCACATCATGTTAGTAGAACTGCCTTTCCAGCCTCCTAGTCCTCAACCTGCCTTTGCAGCTGGAGCCACATTCGGCTTCCCACAGTGGAATCACTGCCATACAATAGTAATCCGGATATCTCGCTATATATCTATCTACGTCAGTTATACTTTACTACATTAATCATATATCTTTATGAAGAAACAGTTATATTGCCTGATCTGATATTGTTCGCAGAGTCCTATCTTAGCTCCCAAGTACCCACTCGTCCGGAATCTCCCACTACTAGACACACATTTAGTCGTGAAGATCCGAACCTCTAAAGCGGTTCTTTCCACCCATGTCAGCCCACTGCTGTGAAATACTGTTAGTTTTCCTACCTGATTTACGAGGGTTGGGAGCCACAGGAGGGGGAAAACCTCCGTGCTCATTAGTTCGGGTGAGCCTTCAGGAGTAGGGGAGGCTACAGGGAAGGGTGGGGTAACCGAGCCACTGGAGCTGCCGGAACCCCATGACTGTGATCTCTCTTCCTGTGGGGGAGGCCTGGGAAAAGGCGTAGTACGTTCCGGGTGGAAGAGGTTAGTAACAGCACCAGCGAGTCTCTCAATTTCACGGTCTGTAGGAGCCCGATATTCCGATTCCGGCCTCTTAGGCCTATGAGCAGCCTTAGGCTTTAGGACAGTACTATTGCTCGCGCTGTTTTTCCTAGAGGTGACTATACTGTCGGTTAGCTTTTGAACGGGGCCAGGGATAAGAGCCTCACGTTGCGATACTCGGCCATCATGGTAGTGACGGATCGAACGGCGCTCGCCACCAACTGAGCGTTCAGTGGTGAACCCGTTGGGTGATCCAGGAGCAGTAGCCTTTCCGGATTTCAGAGCTCGCTTGCGGTCAGCCATGTTCGTCGTGGGTCAAACCTAGGTATCTAGTGCAAGATAGTTAGTTAGTGTGTCACAGATGGATAGGATAGGAGAAAGGAGAACCGGTTGGGAGAATCGGATGGGCGACTGGAATATTCCTAAAATGCAACGGACATACGGACAGTTATATAGTTTAGCTGATGGTGTACTTGAAAGGGTGAGAACAAAGTCTTTATCCTTTGTTGCAGTGCCTTTCAAGTCTTTGAACTAGGTTTCTCGCTTTAGAATCTTGATATAACAAAGCGTTAGATTTCTTTTACTCTTTAAATCTCAAAATAAAAGGCGAGACAACAAAGGCCATTGTTGCTAATAAACAAAGTAACAATACATTCCTCCTCAATGCTTGAATGTTTATCTATACACAACACCACAACGTGAGCAAAACTGGCAACATCTCTATCCAGTGGCCAGCCATTTTCAAGTTGTGGTGCTACTGCTACAGGATCAAAACATGTCTTCCACACGAACCATATTTCTCCGCAACGGCCTTCCTACCGTTGATGAGTATGGCTTGTTTCGAGGCACGCTGTGGTTTACCGTCAGATTTCAAAACAAGGACCGCCGGCTTTCTGACTACGAGTTGATGAATCTTACAATCCAGCGTCTCCGAATCGGAGAGTTCACAGTCGACTCCGGGCCCGTACACGAGGGTAGGGGGTTTTGCATATCATTTCCGGTCTCAATTTACGGCGCTAGCCGCAGTGCGTGCATTGCTATTGTTATAAGGGCTATAGAATGCTATAGGGAGGATATCATGTCTGGGGATATTACTATTGACCGGGACTTTCTTTTCAGAAGTAGGGCTTTCATCGGATAAAGGCATTCCTGACAACAAAGTTCTCAAACCAAACCAACCAGAATCATGTGTCAGTATGTGCCTCGCTGCCCTCTTGTGGCGAGGCATACGAGGCATCCAAAATCGTGGTAGGACGGACGAAAATGGAGTGGGTGAAGTGAATGATAACCGTGCAAAGCACCCAATACCATATCAAAACACCAATATTATCCTTTTTCTCGCGATGTCCCGACCTCCACTAGTTGGATTTTGTTTAAAATTGAAATGTGTACGCCACAGATGATAAAATAAATATCCTTCCCTACCAAGGGGCGTAAAGAAGATAGATCTCCGGGTGCCGCTATATATGGCCTATTCATATATATGGCTTCAGCAGACCAAAACCAATTGTATGACCAACTAAAGTTCTATCTACGCATTACATAGTCACTGGAAATTTAGATGTACTTAAAGAGCTACATGGGAATATAATATTTTCTGAAATAGAATAGGACCTATGGGATTTCACTGTTGGCTATAAAGATGAAGACGGTAACTAACTAAGCGAATGTATATATGTCTGGTTAGAAAGAAATAGCGATAGAAACGAGCTAGACTCAACAGCAAATATCATCTCGAATATGCGAATGCTCAACACATCCTACAATCTACCGAGGACCAACGAGCTTCGCAGTATCTCTAAGGGTAACATGGAACTCTTTGACCTGGTCTGCAGGTGTCTCAACAATATATCGCCAGAGGGTCCAGATATCCTGAGAACCAGAGCCACGATCCGGGCCATCTTGCTCGATCTCAAACTCCCTGGCCTTCTTGTTAGACGGGGATCCAAAGAACTGGACCAAAGCAAGATCAACCGGGGCATGAGGGATCTCCGATGAAAACTGAGTGTATCCGAAGGTCTTCACCTGCGCCTGGACCTTCTTCCACTGCGGTCGCCATTTCTCGAATGCCGCCGTCCATTCCCGATCGGTACCTGCATCTGCGAGTGTAGCGCACATGGTCCAGAGAAAGTGTGAGACATCAATCCAGCCATCAGACGTACCCTTGGCTTTTAGAGACTTATATTCGTCACGGCGGACGGTGAAATGAAATAAGCGGCGGGTTTCTTGTCGCGAGCCTAGTGCAATCGAGAGAGGCAAAAAGTCAAAGGCATCGCCGGCAGTATCTGAGCTAGAGTCGTAAGCTGTAGAACAGGAGTCCTCGTCATCCGCGTCCCAGGCTTCGTCGGCGTCCATGGGGATCGCTAGAGATTGGTACATTGGGTCCTCTGGAGCTTCGTATTTAGATGGGAGAGGCATGATTGAATCTAGCTATCGATTGAGTGGATTGGATAGAGGAATTGAAATACACTTGTTGGGTGCTTGTCTGTATAGACAGTATAGGTAGGGTGGGCATATGATTTATATAGTTTCAGGGCCAATCAAACTATGGTATTATGGTATTATGGTATCGGATATCTGAGTTCAAAGACACGCTTTGTTCTCTTTTTGACGTTTGTTTCTGCTCAAAGGTGGCCTCGAGAGATTAAAATACAATGTACTTCATGAAGCGGGAGCCGTTCTTTGTTTGTTGCCAGTCAATGGCTTTGTACTCAAAATGGACCAAAGAGACACGACAGAAGCCCCGAAGAACAAAGAAGGACCTTCTTCTCAGGCCTGGACTGGCCCTAAATAATGGAAGATTGTGAGTTGAGCATCCATGAACCTTAGTGGCAGCGACGGCAGCGCGACGAAGAGGTTAACACTACACAATCCATCCCACTAAACGACCTCCCCGCCTTCATTAGCTTGCTTTCCAAGCTTTCCACTGACACGTTCCCTCTCCTTCCGTCGATTCTCTAGATAAAAACGACCCCCTTCATACAGGCTGAGATACAGACCCAATGCAATTGCCGTCCAACCAGCCCGTATCAGTCCGCCCTTGAACAAGCCACGAATTCCTTCATACCGTATTATATTACAACCGACAGAAATGAGAGAGGTATCGGGTTTAGCTTTTGTTCGCGCCTCCGAAGATACCGCTGCATTACCACGAGTACCAGCCTGAGTATTTTGATCTTGGGACCTACCGCCAGTATCACTTGCGGAAAGCATAACGCGGGTCTTTATCACGTCTATTGGGGTCGTCACAGTTGCCGCGACGGTCCCTGAAAATGCCGCAGCTATCCCCGTCAAGCCGGCCCGTTCGACTAGTTGATCTGACTCCGCCGATGGAGGTCGGCCGGTGTTGCTCCGAGCTGCTTTCCGTTGTCTTCGACGGTCAATGAGATGTGATCGCACATACTCAAAGAGCGGAAATTGTAAAGCTGTAGTTGGGAGGTTTCGACCAACTAGTGCCGTATATCCACTCCATAGGCGCCAAGGATGACGTCGAAAGCGCAAAAGTACTTGTCGCATGGCGGATTTGCTTGTTTGAGAACCTTGAATCATCTGCGCATTTTGTTTTAATACCTCAGCCGGCGTAAGCATGAGGCATGATACCATCTCCCCGGTTGAAGAAGCAATCCCGTGCATAATGGGTGTAGGGAGTGAATGTGTGAAAGGCAAGCGAAGACTATTCAGAGAACCATCAGGGAAGGTCCTTTTGCCACTGCTCGTGCTCATGGGAGAGTTGGTTGATGAATTGTACATAATGCTCTTCACAGCTTCATATGTGGTAAAGAATGCACCAGCTAGATTAAGTAGATAGGATAGTCAACTAGAATGTCCCCTGTTCATGAATAAGAGCCAACACATACAAGCTGGAATTGTTGAGAAAACCACACTCCAGACGCCTTGGTATAATCCTCGGAAGAGCACATTGCGATGCACTGCTCCTGTGCGCGCATCTTTGTAAACCTTCTTATAGTCTAGGGATTGAACTCGGGTCTTGAGTGTGTCAAAGGGGTAGACGATAAAGTCGACTACGACTGCAGCAAATGCACCTGCCTATTATGAGATATATCTCAGTTAGCGATTGAAATCCGAAGTATGTATCTTCTGTCAAATGTAGGAAGCCAGTAGAACTGGAGATGAGTTGATCGGGTGCTACTCACAACCCAAATATCAGAATGAGTGTTGTACATGGGGAAAATACAGAACAAAAGAACTCCACTTTAAGTGGTAGAGACATTGCAAATATTTAAATATTGGAGAAGGAGAGTGCCATGGAAGATTCCCATCTGAGGATTCACTAGCTGATGGGAGATGACGTCATCCATCTACTAGTCACGTGTCTCCAATGGAACAACACAACCCAAGTCAACTTTATATTGACCTGGACATAGTCAGAATGGTCGAGATGTTTGACTCAAGGATTTTTATAATTCTATTTCAGCCCCTAACCATTAGAGAACCTTGAGGTACTACCATCATATCGCGACACAGGGATAATATACATGACCTCCACATTTTCCTCTATAGCCAGCCCTTAGGTCCACCCCAGTTACCCTTGATCATGTAGTTGAAGTACACCCAAGGGAAGAAGTCCTTCTTCAGGTACCAGAACGAACGACGGGGGTCAGCCTGGTCAATACCAAACCAGTCTCCGAATGTCTCCTTGGGCACACCGCCGTACTTGAACTCAGCAAGAAGAACTTTACCATATTCAGTCAATAGTGGGCAAGAGGTGTATCCATCGTAAGAAGCATCCAGTTCCTTGCCTTCCATGCTCTGCAGAAGGTTGCGAACGAGAACCGGTGCCTCAGAAGTGACGGCTGCCGCAGTCTTGGATGTTGGCAAGCTGGAAGCATCACCGGCAGACCACACGTTGGGGAACTTCTTGTGTTGGGTGCTGTTGTCATCAACATCGACGAATCCAGCCTCGTTGGCCAGAGGGCTATTCTTGACGAAACCGTAAGCACCCATCTTGGGAGTGACGTGCAACAGGTCGAATGGTTTGGCGACCTCTCCCTCGGGAGAGGCAAAAATGGCACTCTTGCCATCAATGGCAAGGAGATCGTGCTGGAACAATCCCTCAACACCACGATCCTTGCGCATCTGCTCAAGAACAGCGCTGTACTTGGGCACACCGAACATCACTGGGAGACCAGTCGCAAAGCTGATCTTGACGGGTGACTCAGAGGGGCTGGTGGGGTTGTAGAGACCAGCTCGTTTCCAGTGGTCCAACGCAAGCCACATGATCTTCTGCGGAGCGCCCGCACACTTGACCACACCAGCTGGCTGAGTGAAAATGGCATTTCCTTCGCGGAAGTTTTCAATGGTGCGGAAAGCCTTGTCGCAAGTGTCGTAGCTATAGATTGTCGAAACGGTTGAGTTTCGGTCTGCGAGAGCCTCAGGGAGACCCTTGATATTGCCATAGTTGATGCTAATACCGGGCACCACAACCAGATGATCGTAGTTGATCTTATCGCCATTCTCAAGAGTGAGCGCATTTTCAGCGGGGGCGAAGGCGCCAACACCCTCATTATAAAACTTGAACTTGGGATCAATCAGGCTGTTCAATGGCTTGCGCAGTTCCTGTTTGTCCTTGAGGCCACCGCCAACCAGTGTCCAGCCGGGTTGGTAGTTGTGCCACGCAGCAGGATCAATCACAGCAATGTCATCTTGGGCAAATTTGCCAGAGTGCAGGAGCTGGTGGCTGACGGAGAGACCAGCTGTACCACCGCCGACCACTACGATTTTGTGGCTTCGCGCGGAGCTCACGGGAGACGCGGTTGCGAGACTCCTCCACTGAGCGACGGAGCGCTTGGCAGCAATTACTGTGCGACGCTGAAACATGATTGAATATACAAGACAAAAAAAAGTGATTAAAGAATCCTGAAGTACTTAAAATAGCTTCAGGGCTGGGAACTTACGATGTCGTGATTTCGGATTAACTCGTTCCGATATCGGGGAGTCTCCGCCCCTTCTTCGCCGAACACTTTCGGGCTTCTCTCAGGCGAACAAGAAGTACAACATTTACATTTTTACATTTTTACAATATTGGGATTTGGGATGTTTCATGTTTTACCTCTATGTTTCACTTGGACTTGAAAACTATCTCCCTTTAGGGTCTGATAGTGGTTGTTCATGTGGACTCGATTTTGATCTGTGACCTTGGTTCACCAACATAAGGCGTTAACCCCTTAGCAACACACAGTATCTAACAATATAGTTACTACACATATGTTCCTGAATTTGACAGTTTGTGGCAAAAATCCCAATATAGCCACTGGATGATGTCGTAATGACTCTTTTCTTTCAATCGGCGACCTCCCCGGCTTCCTCCAGGGCTTAGATGCTCACCGAGTCGCCGACCCAAGACTTTCCAAGTATAACCAACCGCCACAGTTCTTACATTCACCCCCAATTGTTGTTCCTCAAATTCCAAGCATCATGATCAACATTCGGCAACATTCCTCAAGCATCGGCTGGCAATTGTCGTCAGATCTTTTGAAATTGTCTACGCCCATTCATAGTTCAATGAAGGCCGACTTTAGGCAATTGCGTCGTATCCAACAAGCGACACGAAGAGGTGTATCTTATACCCCAAAATTTTCCAACAATGGCACGTCGATAAAGGGGACAGTTCGTCAATTACAAAAAGCACAACCGGTTCATAGCTGGAACCAACCATTCCCGCCACGTTCATGTGCCATCCCTACCAGTCATCTAATCTCACGCCGAGTCACATACAGCACTGCATCCACTATATCTACTGAGCCTGTAATTCACAATATCTTCGAGCCCACATCTGGAACATGGCAGTATCTTATCGCTGATCCCACGACGTCAACAGCTGTTATCATCGATCCAGTCTTGAACTATGATCCCGCCACTCAGGCTGTGACCACTCAGGCAGCCGACTCCTTGCTCGCTCTTATCAAGGGAAAGGGCTATAAGATCGACAAGATTCTCGAAACGCACGCTCATGCAGATCATTTATCTGCTGCGTCTTATCTTCAAAAACGTCTTGCCCAGGATCAAGATCATAAGCCACCCATCTGCATTGGCAAACGCATTGAACAAGTCCAAGAATTGTTCGCCGAAAGATATGGTGTCCGACAAGAAGAATATAAAGCCATTTTTGACAGGCTTTTCGACGACGATGAGACATTTACTATTGGGAACTTGAAGGGAAAGGCTATTCATCTACCCGGACACACCCCGGATCATCTTGGTTACATGATTGGAGGTAATTATCTACCATCAATGATCAACTTATTACACGGTTACTCACAACGTCTTTTCCAGATAACATATTCTGTGGCGATTCTCTGTTCCACGTGGACATTGGCACTGCACGCTGTGACTTCCCCGGTGGTGATGCCAATGACCTCTTTCGATCGGGCCGCAAGCTTCTAAGCCTCCCTGACCACTTCAAGATCTGGACAGGTCATGATTACCCGCCGGAGGGACGCGACCCCGTTCCCTGGATGAGCGTTCAGGATCACAAGGAGCTGAATAAACATTTAAAAGACGGTATCAGCGAAGAGGAGTTTGTGACTTTGCGAAAGGAACGTGATGCAGGATTGGCAGCACCCAAGCTGCTTCACCAATCTTTGCAGGTCAACATTCGAGCAGGACACCTTCCTTCGTCGAAGTCTGGTCATCGGTTGCTTCACCTTCCTCTGAAGCTTACAGGCGAAGCATGGTAACCGAGATAACACGATTATGAAAATGCATAGAGGATGTACGTATTCCTTGACCCATGTCTGCTCAGAGATGAAAATGTGTACATCTACCAGACCACAACCCCTACGGGCGACCAAATATGCCATCCGAACATAACTCTCTCATTGGTTATTACCTCACCGCCTGGTTCATTACTGTTTTATTTGTATACTATACACTTTATAGATTCAATTCAGTTCAGATTCAGTTAGTAAGATAGTAAGATATTAAGATAGTAAGAAATCAAGAGTCAAGACTTAAGACTTAAGAGTATAAAGAGCCCGGTGTTAAAAAATTAATATCGTATTTGTTAAACAATCTCCTATATATATATGTATAGTATATATATATATATATGTTTGCTATAGACTAAGCCATATTTATTCGTTATTTACTATTTGTTAGCTTGTTTACTATAATCGAGCAGAGTTTAGATGGTTTTTCCTTTAGGGGGGTATATAACCCCTACATTTCTAGTTTAATCAATTAATAATTCTGCCTCTGCTTTCTCCCCACATAGTAACAGGTTGCTCAACAGTATTCATTTATAAAAAAATACTATATAAAGTAACTAGTTAACTATATAACTATTCAACAATGGTACTTGTGAAGTGAGAGTGGATCGAAATTATTGCCTGGCAATATAAACCAATGGGAGAGTTATGTGTCGGGTGGCATCCCTTTCCTTTTTCAACTATATGTATTTCTATATTACCTACATACACCCACATAAGCGACATCAAACCAAGCAATGCAATCCTTTCATGTTTCGATAGCCTTGCTCGTCTATACGCCAAGCCTCCATTTTTGCATGCTGTGCAAGTATGATCCCCGACGGAGACCTGTTCGGTGCATGAAGTTGACCACATATCGGCCTCAATGCCTCGTAATATTCTTCACAAAGCCAATGTCTCTTTTCTCTATCTACCCCCTTCTTCCGCTCTTTCGAGATTACAATGGCCTTTGTGTTCGGATTGATCCGCGGACCAAAGAGACAAAATCTAACAAAGGATCTCTTACACTTCTATTATTGTCATCTTCCAAGCTATGCTTCATCGATTATTCGAACTCGACTACTCGAACTGCATAAATAGCTTCGATCCCACCTCGATATACTCTCACCAAGCAACAGTCCATCCAGAACAGTCCATCTAGCACAGTCTTCACAGTCCTCACACATCCACAGATCAGTTCTAACCTTCTAGTACTTCTACCACCCCCATCACACACATTCACCATGGCTATCGTTGCCCCCGACAGCATTTACCGCATCGAGCGCAGCTACTACCTTAACCTTCTCCAGGCTCAGATCATGCATCTCCGTACTGACCACCGTCGTCGCCTTTTCGTGATCGACCAGCTCAAGGAGCTTTCTCAGAAGACACCTGGCTCCATGGAGGCTGCGCTTATCGTTGGTGACACTCTCTTCCATCGGCTTTGCTGCACTCTGCAGCCTCTGCTCCTCAAGGCGATTTCCTCTCTTTTGAGTGATTCTGATCCAGTCATTGGATATAAAGTCGCCGATATGATTGAGGCTGCAGTTCCTCCTGAGATTAAAAACCCCTACTGCCCTCCTGCTGGATGGTAGGCGGTGATTGCAGCCATCAGGTTCCCTATATATCCAATTGTATACATTATACACCAATCTAACCTTGCATTTCTGTCTTCGATCGCTTCGTTTCATCCGTAGATTATCCGTTTGTAAAAAAAAATACATAAAAAAAAGAAAACCATACAACAGTACAAGAGCACTTCACCTGTTCAATGTGTTTGTTATATTCTAAACAAAATAAAGATTCCCTTCTATGATCGAACACAAGTCGATACAACACAGGAGTCTAATGCCCAGAGACTCAGCTCCGCTCATAGAAGAAAAAAGAAACAGGAAGTCATATTAACATCCAAAATAGAGAACATTTTCCCTCCCTACGCCATAAAAAGGTCATGCAATACCAGAAGCGTCGTGTCTCCCCTTCGCAATCATCAACGTTTAGTTCGAGGTCTCGTTGGGCAGCAGGTTGCCCTTGATGGCAAACATCTTGCCCGTGCTGGACGAGACGAAGCTGTCGACCTGGCGCGCGTACTGGTCCACCTGGCGAGTGTTGAGCATGCTCTCCAGACGGCTGGGCTCAGCGGGAAGCTTGAACAGACGCTGCCACTCGTCCTCGGGGAGGAGGGGCTGGTTGAGAGTGGCACGGCTGGCGTTCTCTTGTGCGCGCTTGGCCTTCCAGGCGTTGATCTTCTGCTGCTCGCGGCCGAGCACACGCTGGTAGTATTGGTAGTTGTTGACCTCGGTGTTGTGGGTCTCGATGCTGTCCAGAAGGAGATCGCAGTTCTTCTCCAGGAAGGGATCGATGCTGAGAGACAGGTTGTCGAGGTTGGGGGTGAGGGTGGAGGTTTTGCTGAAGGGGCTGGACTCGAGGGCAGCCAGGGAGGAGGGGAGCTCAGTGGATGCTGAGGAAGTCGGGCACTGCAGCTGGTGAATGAATGAGGTGATCAGGTGGGAGTTGTGGAGCTTGACGGGCAGTTCCTCGAAGATGTCGGGGTGGCGCATGTTAGACTTTTGGAGGCTGCATTTATTGTCAGTATCCCTGTGACTTATAATTCTTTTTCGAATTTTCGAGGTCATTGCACGTACTCCTCGGAAGTGAACTTGTTCTCCTTGAAGGCAGTCATGAACTTGGAGGAAAGACGGAAAGCACGGAGGCTGAGGCTGCCCTGGGCACTGCGGCTGATGTCGTGAACGAGGGCGACTGTGCGCTCGTTCAACTGGCTCTGGTAGTAAAACTGGTTCTCGATCACGTTCATGTTGACGAAGTTGCCCATGTTGGCGCTGGTGTACCATCCGACGCTGTTGGCATCAGTGTTGACCTCGCGCAGCATGCGGATCATCTCTGCAGAGTACGCGGCGTTTGCCTTGGCGCGAGGAGCGGCAGCGGCCGGGTTGGGAGCGGCGTTGTCAAAGTGCGACTCGGCGGGGACTTCGACGACGGGGAATGGGAAAGTGTTGGTGATCTCGAGGGTGCCATCGACATCCATTCCGACAATCGCGCCGGTGGCAGTGGAGGGGAAGGTCTGGGAGCAGTGCTTGATGATTTTCATGACAACCTAGAACGTCCGACGTCAGTATTTCTGGGCTGGCGAGGACTGAGGGAGATTTTCGTCGGGGGGACCATACCAAGGCCTCGACCTGAACGGCCGCGAGGGGAGCTGGAATTCTGCGAGTCGGTCAGCATCATGTTGTCAGGGATCAAAAAAGGTCATCACTTACTCGGCCATTGTGAAGGATTGCAACAGTTGGGCGGTTGTTAAGGTCGAGACGGTGGACTTGGAGGGTTTGTGTGAAAGGGACCATTCATTCCTGATCGGGCTTAGCGTAGTACCAATACACAACGAAATATGTTACAGTCTTTCACTACGTAGATGGAGGGGCAATACTGTCATATTACACTGCCATGGACTCATCGGAGAATTCGCATTCGATCATAGACTCCTTATGAGTGTGTTTTGGTCTAAAGCAAGACCGGACGCAGTATGAAAAACAAACAAAATTGCTAAACAAAATTACTAGAAGACATCGGGACACTGGAAGAGCTAAAGTCGAAGTGTACTTACAATATGTCAGTCCAATGATAACAGCTTCTGCACGATGCTCCTCCTAACGTGCCCGTAATCTATCGACATGTCCCACTTCCCCATAAATCAAGCAGCTCCGCAAGGCACCATGTCGAATCGCCCAAATACGGAGACTCTAGTCTATGGACAAGTCCATAATCTACAAAGCATCGCTGTGACAGCCTCAGCTCCACGCAAAGATGGATACTGGGTGATGTACGCGAGCGAGTCCCCAACAGAATGTTATTCCCAAGGCAATGACTAATGTCTGATCTGTATCTACCTAGATACATCCACGGCGGTGCCTGGCGGGATCCAGCTGTTACATCAGCATCCTTCGACACCACGGAATCTATACTTCGCAAGAAAGGCCTACCTATTGCCGGCTTCGCCTCGATCTCATACCGTCTCAGCGCTCACCCAAATCACCCACAAGACTCAAGCACTACCGACCCGAAGGACTTCCAAGATGCGAACCACCCTGAACACATCGCCGACGTGGAGGCAGCCCTGGCGTTCCTCCAGGATACATACGGGTTCGGCGCGCGATACATCCTGGTTGGCCACAGTTGCGGCGCAACGCTAGCCTTCCAAGCTGTGATGGGCACAGTCTCGGGTCATCGTGAACAGGCTACATTGACAGCGCAACCCACTGCCATTGTCGGTGTGGCGGGGATCTACGATCTGCGACGCCTGCGGGATACGCATGTTGAGATCTCGGCTTACCAGGAATTTATTGAGGGGGCTTTTGGGGCGGATGAGATGCTCTGGGACGGGGTATCACCGGCCCAGGTGACTGGCTCTCTTGGAGTGGAAGGCGGGTGGAAGTCTGGAAGATTGGCTGTTCTGGCGTATTCCAAGGACGATGGATTGGTAGACGCATCTCAGGTAGAGGTCATGAAGGAGGCTTTGGGTAACTGGGAGAAGACAGAGGCACAGATACCTGTGACAGAGGATTCAACCCGTGGTAGACGGCTCCGTGTATTGTCGATCAGCGGTGTTCATGATGAGGCATGGGAGAATGGCGAGCAATTGGCTCATGCGGTAGCTTTTGCATTCGAACAATTGCAGGAAATGAGGCTGGGCCTGTAGTTCTGATTCTGAGAAGGACATACTTGTTGAGTATTCAAAGTGACGATTTAAAATAAAGTAGCCGGCATAATATGACTTCATGTTCAGTAGTGAGGTTATCATCTCTCACTATCCCGGCCATACAAACCTAGCATCGATATCCCTTGTGAGAGATTTGATGATTTGATAAGTTATGTGGTTTCAATTGAGTCCTCATTTCCCCTGGGGATGGACTAGACTGGTAATTTACGTACAAACGAGGTCGGAGAAAGAAAAAAAAACCCCATCGCAAATGTCCATGCGACCCAGACAACGCCGTCGTGAAAACATCTGAAGAAAAGCACAAGCATACCACGTATCCCTCATTGCGCCGAAATGCTGCCCATGAAAGATTCGTAATGGAATGTCTGTCAAGATTACTTGGCGACGTTCATGCGAGCCGAAGCTGCGTCACCGAGGAGCTGGTTGTTTTTGGCTGGCTCCGCGGGACCCTCGGCGTAGTCCTCATCGTATTCGAACGCGTCATCGTCACTCTCGCTGTCCTCGATGAAGCGGTGGGTGATGTCGGCTTCAGCGAGGCGCCACTTGAGATCTTCACGCTGATTGTCCTGGTAACGAGCAAGGGCAGCTGCGGCGTGCACCTTGAACCCATAGATACGGGGTTCATAACGGCGACTGCTCTTCTCGGGATTGAGAGCAGGGTAAACCTGGAACAGGATCGAATGGAACGAGGTACCAAAGTACGCGCCATCAATGGATGAGTGACGGGAGGATTTGGGGTTGTAGATATCTTCGCACTTGGGACAGTACAACTTGACGGTGCTGACATTCGGAAGATCAGACTCGCCCAAAGGAAGCAGGGCATGCCCATCGCACAGCACACGTGGGCACTTCCCAAAGTCACTTTTCTTGTACTTCTCGAGCTGCAGGGATTGTTAGTACTTTGTCCTAGGGAATAATATCCACACAAGTTCAGGGGTTCAACATACCATTTTGGCAAGACCACGAGTGGTAACGATGTACCGGGCGTGAACCAATCCATAGAGGTGACGAGCAGACTTTTCGATTTGCTCACGCAGATCATCGTCGGCATCAAGATCGAAAACGTCGGTGACAAGATCAAGGGCGTATTGATAGTACGTAACCTCGGTGTTCAACCCGGTGAGGTTAAAGCGATCCGTCAGGTAGTCCTCGTCGATTTCGCAGAAATATTCATTGCCGCGAGAAGAGACAAACTGGGAATACATGGTTGTCATTAGCACGATCGTGATCAAGATTGCGTCACGGTATGGACCAGAACTGCGAGGGTAGGTGGTAGCAGAATAACGAAAGGACGTCGAGGACCCGCCACCCCCAGCGCCACGGCGTGAAAGTGGGGAAGAATGACCTCTGAATTGCCGTCCGCGCCTCTGGGCTCTAGAACCAGGACCAGGGGGCCCGTCGGGGCCATTGCGGTCATCGGGGCCATCGGGGCCATCGAGACCCAGGACATTGAAGAGGAGCAAACCGACGAAAATCATGAGACACTGAATTCCAACGACGAGATGCATGAAGGAATTCACCATTTCGCCATCGCGTGACAAATCGCCGGCGCGTTGGAACAATGCAACTGCTGACGCGACCAAGAGGACTAGGAGGATCCAGAGAATCCAGCGAGTAAAATCGCGATCCATGGTGAAATAGAGGATCAAGCAATGCAATAATAAGAGTGGGAGATGTTGAATGTGCAATGAGAGATTCGAAAGGATCGAAGAGGACCGCAAAATCATGCCGGGTATTTATGTCGGCGGGAGACGTGTTGCAGATCGCTGGGACAACCGTCGAGGCAACATGCCTAGCACTTGATGCCAGAGTCCGGGTCTACTCAGATTCCACCACGGCGGGGCAGGCGCAGGCGCGGGGCGGCAGACACTCGACAGACGCTCCTCATCCTCCATTCCATGGGCACAGTGGCCCTGGAGATAACGGCTCGCGCGTAGGGAAATAGAATCAAGAAGAAAAAAATTCACTTACCCAGTCTCGCCAGTAGCTGGTGTAATCGCTGTCCGTTTCACTATTGAAGTCCTCCATGATGGGATGGGGTAGTCCACGTTCTCTCGCTCCCTGTTCCCGGAGGGTTGATGTGGAGCCCAGGTGGATGATGAAGGACCTAGGCCTGTACAGCTGGATGCAGTGGTTTAGATTCACTGATGAGCTCAAGGGCTACAAGAGGCTTCGTGAAGGGTTTGGCGCAGTGTTATGTTTGAGTTGAAGTGGGTAGTGGGCAAGATATCCCGCAATTCGTTATCGATGCTTCGCCTACCGGGCGGTCAACTTACTGCTCGATATTCAGACCGCCTTTAGCAATTGATCTACCCGGGCACATCTCCTTTGCGAAGCACGGCCAAGAAAAGGATATGCACATAGTTATCTAGATCACCTAATAATATTGCGTCAATTCTCCATCAGCCCTCTTCTTCGTCCTAACAGATTATACTGAGGTTATCCAGTGGAAGAAGAAGCTTCCTTTCTTGATTAAGAAGACCCGGCCTCCTTAATGGAAAGATACAAGATACCACTTCACTATTTCTAACCGGGTCTTGTCAATCACGAACTTCAACAAGACTGAATGCAACATCAAATATCTGACTGCAGTAAGCGAGGCCTAAATTGCCCACGGCAATAGTGGCCTATACCATGAGGAGTGAGGTGATCTATTAGTGGAATTAATAGAGATTAACGACGATAGTCTTAGTAGAGATGACAATAATGATACTAATGAAATTGCCTGCACCTGTGGGATAGGGGCCATAACGTATTTCTCAAGCGAGCGGCCAGCCCAAATAGTAAATGCGTACATATGTAGACAACTTGATACCCCAACAACGGTAGTCTATGTAGGTATTTCCTTATAGACTTATGCTTTTTAGTGATATTTAGCATCTTTAAGGAGTTTAGAAAAAAAAAAGGTATGGCATTATGATCACGATATATACTTCTAGTTTTTCGTAATGTAACTTTCGATAATTTTCGAAATGTCGATAATATGATTTTGTTCTTTCTTTAAAGTTGATATATGGCTCTCATAAGTCTTATCAATGGCTATCGACAAAGAAGATAAAACAATAACATAGTTGTTGAGATATAAATGTAGAATAAATCACCTTTAGAATGTGTTTTCGAGGTGGCCACTTGCTTGTGAAATATGTTAGGCACGTCCACGGGTGTGAACGATCCCCTCTTTGTAAGCAACTGGGATTTGTAATTCTACGGACGTCGGCCTTCGGGCTATAGATATGGCCGAAACAGGTATATTTGATCAGGCAACAGCCTGCGCGTCGTTTGCTTCTGGTAGCTAAGCAAGCAACCTTGGAATAACTAGGCTTTGTAATATGCCTAAGAAGTTCCAAGTTTATTGTAACTAGTCCTTACGTTGAATCAGCCCTGACACCCTCCATAGAGTTTATACCCTAGCTAGGTATATATATGATGGGAGTTCCTTGGTTATATCTACTGATTTCAAAGTTAAAGTCACTAAAAGTATTGTACCACGGCCTCAATCAAACCACGCCCCTATAGTTAGGAACAAAGTCAGCATCCTACTACAGCGCAACCGCATCTTCAATATGCGTGTCCTTATTATTGGTGGCAATGGACAGACTGGTCGTCTCGTCATCGACGAAGCGTTGCAGCGTGGTCACAAGATTACGGCCTTGATTCGCAATCCCTCTACCCTTCCAGCTAAGGAAGGCCTAAACATCGTGAAGGGCACACCGCTGGAGCCCTCGAATATTGAAAGCGCTTTTAACGCAGTCCAAGGTGATATCCCAACTGCCGTGATAGTTACCCTTGCATCCCCGCAAGTAAAGGGGACCCGAGTCATGACGAACGCGCACGAAAACCTCATCGCTGCCATGGAAAGGCACGGCGTTTCCAAGATTGCGACATTGTCGTCATTTGGTGTTGGGTCTTCTTTCCCGAATATCACTGTGGTTATGAGATTCGCAATTTCCAGGACTAGCTTTGGGCATATGTTCGAGGACCATAATCAAGTCGATAAGACACTCAAGAAGAGCGGAGTGAAATTCGTGTTGTTTAGGGCGGCGAGACTGACTCTGGCAAAGAAAGCGCCCGTTCAGTTCCTTGGCGACGACGGGAAAGGACTCGGTGTTTTCGCGGGCTTAGGGGGGATCTCGAGGGCTAGTGTGGCGGCGTGTCTGGTGGATGCTGTTGAGAAGAGCACTTGGGATCGAAGCACTCCTGTGATAACAAACTGATGGGGCATCAAGGTACGGGCCTCTACAATGGAGAAATATTGTGCTTTATGAAGCCTGATCTATTAGTTAATATATACTTTCGGACATAATATCATTCAATCGGTCATCTACTTAACGTTACTTTTGTTCGCAGCTTCTGCTTTGCGTTGACGGCTTATCCACAAATATTTCGAGAGGGTCGAACAGACCGAATTGAAGAAGGAGTAGAGTTTGATAATATATTTTAGGAAGAAGAAGAGAGTAAAATAGCGAAACGGATTTTGAGCGTCCCTATACTTTTCAAATTGAAAGACAGCGTGTGGGGAGTCCGACTAACCTCACTCCTAAATTCATTAATGCTAAGAAGGTGAGCACGATAAATTAGCCTAACTCAAAGTCCAGTAATTATCTTCGCCTGCTAGTATCCCGAGATACTATAATCCTAGTAATACCGAAAGTTGAACAACCCCTCGCTTCTCTGTAGGATTGGTGTAGCACGTTTAACGACGACAAGCTCAACGTCTGAGAGGATAAACCCGTGCCGGGCATTGTACTGGTCTGTATAAAAAGTTCGCTTGAGCCAACGCCTGCTTGTACTCTCAACGGTCTGCTAGGCCACGTCTAAGAGACCTTCAAGTCCCCGGGTGTATCTCGGTCAGGGGTCGGAAAACCAATTCTTACTAACATTGCTGCCTGAAGATGCCTGAAGATATACCGCCGTTTGGCACCGCTCTTACAGTGTATTGTAACTGAGGCTCTATTCACACTTTACTTACTACCTAGGTAAGGGCTGTGTTATGGTAATTCAGGTATTCATATTTTCTGCCGGCAAATATATTAACGTCACTAGTCCCCTGGCACTTTCGCACCGGGTGCTCTGGCTCCAACTACGATAAAACGTAGTATCAGGTCTGAACTGATTAATTACCCTAGCCGACCCCCTCATTTATTGTTATTTCAGATAGCCGCAGAATTCCGAGTTGCGGAGGAAGTTGTTCGAAACTAGCTCGGAGGGCGCGTCGAACACGAGTCATAACTAGACCAGCGAAGCGAAGATGAAAAATCGTTTAATACTAGATGACAATGGTAATAAGTTGAAATTATCCTAATAGGAAGATAACCATCTTGTTAGGAGAGGTCTACGTTGACGTCGAAGTGCATGGTGCAATGTGAGGTTGATTGTTGAAGAAATTGAGAGTTAACTACAGAGAGACTAAGAAATCTGACACATCTCTTCGACGTATAGGCTAGGCCTTTCGGCGAGGTGGTCACAGAGGACCGAGACTAGGGGAGATCTCGCCCTACGGAATGACCGTAAGTTCTTACGAATATTAGAGATAGAGCGCTCACTGCACTTCGCTACCTTTGACATTTGCGATATAGCAAGTCTGTTCTTGCTACACATAATAAGGATAATCATCTTACGTTGCCAGGGATCGATGTTTCTTATCATATTGTTATAGTTTAGAGGACTGCCAACGTACGCCACGGTGGTTTGGGGGGTTATTTGTAGACATATAACAGAGTATAGACGATATAGAAAAGACCGAATGAAAACGATTAGACTAGAGTCTACACCAAATATGGGACACCCTGGGGCACTCTAGACTGATCTACTTTGGATCTTTCTACTCCGTAATGATCGTCTAGATTAGGAATTTTGTCAATGACCAATAGTTCGTCCCATACATAACTATGTTGTACTCCGTACTCTACATACTAATAGCTCTAATGCCCTAGGCAGCCAAAATAATGTGCGTTCGTTTCCTACAACACTGTTATGCTGATAACTAACTAGCATGTCCTAAGCTATCAGCATATTGATCCACAATCTATTCTGAACGACTGGATGCTTACTCCGTACAGGGATCTAAGATTCTAGATTCAGTTAAATTGTTTCTACTGAAACTCAGGGGCACATTGCTTGTCTTTCGCTATCACCGCCACTTTTGTTCATTCCTAAACCTATGAGCCCTTTGTCCTGAAAGAGCCTCGAGGTCCCTGAATTTCCTAGGCCAACACTGTCTGCCCACATTGTTTCTAAATTTCCCAGGTAAGATGCTTCGATATATTCCTAGGTCTTTCTGCGAGTTCATATTGGTGCCCACTATCCCCACTGTCATGAATGAAAACCTTGAATTGAATGCATAATCCCCATACCGACTTCCTCTGAATCCCAGTATCAATTCCACAAATTCAAAGCGATGGGTTAGCATTCTCCACAAGCTGAGCAAAGTACGCCTGCGAAGTCGTCAGAAATTTATAAATGACCTCCTTCGATGAGGACAGTCTTACCTGGAACCAAGTCCCAGCCTCAGGGGCAGGCTGAAGAGCATCACTATATCCACAGTGGGCATCATAGCGAGTCGCGCTGGGATCTGAAGTACCATCACTCTCACCACCGGGCTTCACCCATACGAAGGCATCGGCCAGGGCATCACCTGTGTCAGTAGTTGGTCGAACGCCGAAACCGGTTCCTTTGACATTGCACCAATCACCCCAGGCAGTTTGGGATGTGGGCTGGACTCCATTTCGGCCTAGAGACAAAACGTTAATGTGGAACCTTTGGATCATGGTGGGCGAGTCGAGATGATCTTATTTTGGAAAGATTGTTGATTACATACCGGTGTCAGTGATGAAGTGAGCATCCCAACCTGCACTTTTAAGCAGAGGAGAAAGGGCGTTGATGTATTTCTTTTCATCGCAGTTGGCATCTCCCGAGGTGTATGATGGACAGGTAGTGAGAGACCAGCCGTTGTAATTGGCAACGTTGGTGGCGAGTCCACGCAGAGATGCGGGTTTATTGGCAGTCTTGTAGACATTCGCGTACAGCTCAGCTGCCGGGCTGAGGTTGGCGGGCCAGCCAAGCCATCCCGCGTGTCCTATTGAATAGTTAGAGTCTTGAAATTAGGAATTATTACATTCCCTTGATGCCGCCACGAGAGATGACTAGAAAGAAACAAGTACAAGGCCCTGTTGAGCATCTTCCGGCACACACTCTGTTTGTTGCTGGGTGATTGTTGCTCGGTGATTGTTGCCTTCAAGAATTCAGGAAATATACATACCGGCGTCAAGATACATAGCCACATTAGCCAAGTTCAACTGAGTAACAGCGTAGTCAGTGCACTCCAGGTAAGCATCATGTGCGCCAGCACACTTCGACACGGCCATGTTGGTAACCAAATTCGCCAGACTATCAGGTTCTAGAGACAACGTTAGCAACGACACCAAATCGATCACTCAGCAGAGTCTACCCACCAACAACAAGGATGGTCTGAACATCAGAGTATTCGACCAGCACCTTACGGATGGCATCGATGTACGCCTTGTAATTCGCAACACCGCCGTTGGCAATAGAGTACTCCCCATTACTAGCCAATGCCGCACAATCACGATCAGGCAGATCATAAACAACGAATTGGGCAGCAATTGGCGGGCTAGCACCGGCTTTGTTTTGAGCCCTGATGTCGGCTAGGAACTCGCCCATCTGTGGGACCTTGTCTGCAGTATCCCTGGAACACAATCTTAATGTCGTTCTCGGGGTGTATCGGGCACTCGATGTGGATGGACTTACAGCCAATAAAAGGATGGAACTTCAGCGGCTGCACTGGCGGCGGCTTTAGCAGTCCCCGTCATGGACGGCAAAGCCGAAGCTGAGACTTCGGATGCATAAAAGGGATTGACGTAAAGCTGGTATCCTGAGAAGGGATTTGTCAAAGCCGCAGCGGTGACTGTTGGGCTGGCTGAACTTGCGATTGCAGCTGCCGCCACGGAAGAGGCTAGTAGAGGCACGAATGTAATGAGAGATCGCATACTAGCGGGCTTGGGATACTGTATTTCAATGTTGCTGGGTTCTCTGTGATGCTGTTCAACAAATCCGCAGGAACTGGATATCTTTATATACCCCAACAAGATAAATATCTCGTAGCTCTTGCGGAGATTGAAGCCGGAAACCCGAAGGTAATGTCATACCAGATCGAGCGATTGGGTGTGAGATTAGAACTATCCGTTCAACTGACCATTTCCAAACATTGCCAAGACACACATACCGCAGAGAATCCCATGCTCTGCACTACACGTGGTTAAAACTGGATAAATATGGTCTCATCCGGGGTAGATGCAACAGTGCATTCATGAGGAAAAAGTAATCTGCAGCCCTGAAACTACTATAAACTGCCTAGATAGTCAAGGGGAGGGGGTGTCGTGTAATATCAAACCCCTGGCATCAGCACGGAAATGATCCCCCGTCCCCGAATAGGACAATCATCGTCGATCTTCCCCAATCTCGGCGCGGGAGGGCCATATTAGGCTTGCTCCACATTGCGTTTAAGCTATTCGTCTCCATTTGACTGCCACCATAGTACATAAACATCCTTGGCAGTTAGAAGGTGAAGCAGAAGGATAACAAAACAAATTGACTTCTCCTGGTGCATGGAGGAAGAAATTGAAGAATCTATGTTGCAATGTTGCAATGGGGTGGATATTGCTCCAGGAACCTGGAGATTTTTAAATATAGAGATGTAGGGATATCAAGACTTTCATAATCAAGGAGATTGCTACAAAACGCCATTTGCTTTCGACAAGCCACATTATTCTTATCCCCCGGACCCCGCACCGTAGAGCATTCTTCAGCCGGATCTGTCCTTGTATGAAACAAGAATATTCACGTAAAGGAAATTAAGGGTCTGCATTTGTACCGTACAATCCTTCAGTCCGGAGTGATCGAGGAGACTGAATCGACTTCTCCAGGCTGAAATTACACGAATGTCTATCTGTAGGGCTAATTGGCTAGTCGCCTCCATAAAGGGTAGCTGATATGTTGCATTACCCCGGATTTACTATGTTAGATAGGGACGTTGCTTTGTTTGGAATGAGCAGCTTTCCATATTATTTCATTCAATTAAGAAAGTGTAACACCGAAAGAAGTGTTAAAGAGTGGAGTGGTATCTGTATCATCATCATGTATGTAGTCCCGGACTCAGCCTGGGATATGTGCCAAAAGAAAAAAAAAAGAAAAAATCAAAAGAGTGATGGAAAAAATAGAAAGAAAATGAAAAGTAAGACCAAATCTCAGCGACTGTTGTTAACGCTTGGCTTGATCGCACTCAGCTAAGAACTTGTAGATCCCCTCGACACCTTCATATGCAGAGTTACTCTCGGGTTGGCCAGAGCTGGAGATTTCCGGAAAGAAAGGTTGATCACCAAGCTCACTGATGTTAATACTAGAGTAGCTCTTGGTGGAATATCTCCATGGATTGGCACCAAATAGGTCACTGTCCTCGAAACTGATGGCATTGCCCGAATCCCGAGTATCACCTGGCGATGACGGCGTGCAGCCTTCTGGTGTCATCATCCCTTTCCAGTCAACATCCGCTGGATACTGTGCATGTGACTCGGGGCCTTTGGTGAAGTAATAGTCAGTGTCGGAGGAAGTGGCAATACTAGGTGCAAAAGGGAACAAAAGAGCTAGATCAGCGCCATTGCGGATATCGAAGTCTTCATCCTGCACAACTCGGCCTCGCTGAATCCCGGCCTCACAACACAGTTGCTCTACAGTTTCCATATCACAGCCCGGGAAGCGCACCCGTATCGTCGATCGGTCGTGAAGGGAGATCGGAAGATCACCAAGTGACGAGAGACGTTTGAGGTCGTTCATGACCGCAGAGAAGTCCTTCAAAGCACGGGCAAAATCGGCAGAAAGAAGATCCATAAGACCCTCGGAGTTCAGAGAATCGCACGAGCCAGAGCGGCCGACACCACCAACAGTACTGAGTGCAGTGATGGTTGGGGAAACTCGAAAGTCAATGTATGAGCCAGGTGCGTTGTGCATGTTGGCATTCATCTTGCGCTCCGCCTGGTCCTGCAGCGTGCTGACTGACTTATACCGCTTCTCCCCAGTGCGAGGGTCGATGCCGTCGAAGCGGACTTTCTGCCCAGACAGAAAGAAGGCACGTACACCCTGCGACACATTCTGAATAACTTGTGCTGGTGCGGCAGGTCCATGTGAAAAGTATCTAGCTCCACCAAAACGGCCAGCTCCAACAGCGTATCCTCCTGCAGTCCGACCGAGGGTACCACCGGTCAGATTGGGACGGAGAGTAGAAGCGAAAGGTGCACGGCTGCTGACTCGACTGATATTAGATACGATGCGAGAGGTGGTACGTGCGGTGGTATCAGCTCCTAGTCCGGATCTAATCGCAGAGGCGAAGGCGCCGGCTGCTCGGGTAGAGAAGTGGCGACTGCGGGCTTGACGGATGGCCGCGGCACGGCTGATTGGCTGGCGAGTGTTGATTCGGGCATAGGCAGGTTGGTATCGCACCGATTGATATTCTGTGGGTTCTGGTAATTTGGAGCGTATAGCCTTGGAAGCCTTTGCGTAGGCAAACCTAGGAGGACGTTAGTGAATGGCTTCATTGGAACTAGATATGGCGACAGAAAAGGGGAGACATACCTTGCTGCTCTCCAAATTTTAGGAAGCAGCAGGTGGCCTGCTGAAGGCGCCATGGTGATGTTTCAAAGATGGATAGTTCACTGAAGGTGGTGGGAATGCTGAGAAGAGAGAAAGGATGCCTGATGACGCTGGGGTCCACACCCTTATCTCTCCGCCTCAGACCCTAGGCTCCACAGTGGCTGTGCGACGCCACCCTCGTGACCAAAAATATCTGTTTTTCCTGTTTGCTTTGTATGTTTTGTTTGACCCTATGGACGTAGATTCAGCAACCCAGTCACCACCCAATATTGACGTTTAGCAATCAAAGCTTCTTTACTTGATATAGAAGTTATGGTTATAGCAAAATCATTCTTTTGGTATCTATAGGCCTATGTACTCATAAAACATTCATCATTTTCGACATATTTACTCGTCATCGCCAAAGAACACCTTAACGGGGAGCCAAGCGTCACCGCAGACCTTGAAGCGGTCCTTGAGGTTGTCAAGCTGGCTGATCTCGTCGGCAGTCAAGTCCCAGCCGTTGATATCAAAGTTGCCCTCAATGCGAGACTTGCTGACGGACTTGGGGATGACACTCCGGCCCTTCTGGATACCCCAAACGAGGAGCACCTGCTGAGGAGTCTTGCCCTTCTTCTCCGCGATCTGCAGGAGAGTGGGGTCCTTGTACAAGGGGGAATTGGTGGAGCCCAGGCAGGAGTAACTGGTGGAGTGGATGCCCTTGGATGTGTTGTAGGCGACCAGCTTGGGGGAGGGGTTGTTGGGGTGCAGCTCGATCTGGTTGACGGCGGGCACGATCTTGCAGCTAGGGTCATTCAGGAGCTTCTCCAGGTTCTTAATGCCGAAGTTGGAGACACCGATGTTGCGGACCTTGCCAGTGGCAGGCAGCTTCTGCACTTCTTGCCTGTAGGAGACATGGGGAATCAGCAATAGTTTTCCACTGGATTAGATGTGAAGTGTCACTTACCAGGTCTTGATGAAGTCCCAGTCAGGCAGGTGCTTAGACAAGTCATTGGGGTCGGTGGAGCTGGGCCAGTGAATCAAGTAGAGGTCGACGTAGTCGGTGCCGAGGTCCTTGAGAGAGGAATCGATTCCCTCAGTAACGCGCTTGTGCCAGGGGTTGTCCAGCTTGGTGGTGACCCAGATCTGGTCGCGGGGCACACCGGAGTCCTTAATACCGGCACCAACCTCGGCCTCGTTGCCGTAAGCCAGAGCAGTGTCAATGTGGCGGTACCCGGCGAGAAGGGCATCTCGCACAGCAATGCGGACCTCATTAGGCTTGGATTGCCATGTTCCCAGACCGATAGCCGGGATCTTGTCACCAGTGTTAAGGGTGTAGGTCTTCCTGTAGAGGGAGATTGGTTAATGCGATGGTCTGGAAGTGTAGTATTGCATTGCTAGGGACTTACTCAGTGTGTTGGTTCGACATTTTGATATATTTTAGAGATGGAATAATGAATTAGAAGAAAAGAAAGCGGCTGAAGAGACAAGTGTCTTTATATAATGACCAAATTTAAAGTGGGCAGGTCCAAGAGTGATGATGTCGTGGGGGGGAGGGGAGGAGGCGGGGGGCAGTGGGGGGTGGAAATTGGCTATTTGTTGGACTTTTTCCTTCTTTTTTCCCTTCCCTTCAACTACCAACAGAGTCAACAGAGTACAACATACTGTGTATCCATGGACACAGTAATCAAAGAATTTACCCGACTGGTCATATTCAATTCGGTGATAAACACTTTCATCGTCATACCGGAGCCCCTTGTTCTGAGGATATAACCAAAGTGACCAAAGTGGAAACAAGAGACTACCCCATTTTGGCTAAATGCAAGTTTCCACTTATATCGACTTCCTCCAATTGACATCGACTCCCCCAATTCTCCCAATTCTCCCAATTCTCCGACTTATCGTTCCGGACGCGAATTTCCCTTTCTAGAAACTTCTGAGTATTTTTCATCCGGTTCATTATTATTCGCCTTTCGGTCCATTCCTCGCCCCCCCCACATCCCATCCCGGCCACCCGACGCCGGATAATTTCGCACCCCGACCATTATACCCGAGCTGTACATCCCGTGACCCATAATCATTTTACCCAGCCCCATCAATATGTCATCAGGTTTCGTTTCATCCGGCACAAACGACCAGCCGATCGAGCGGGATGATGAGTGGCTCAGAGCGCAGCAAGAGCTGGAGGAGGAGCGGAGACGGAAGGCCGAGATAGGGAAGCAGGATGATGGCAAAAGTCTCTTTGAGGTGCTGGAGCGCAATAAAAGTGAGCCTGACTCGGTTGCCTGGCCCCGTCTGCACGAACGGAGAAAAGAGCGGACAATTCATTCAAGGAATCTGGCTAACATGTTAGGGTGATTTTCCTCGGTTATTATGCAGTGGCCAAACAAGAAGCCTTTGAAGAGAAATCCCGTCTCAAAAACCAATTCCGATCCCTCGATGAAGATGAAGTCGACTTCCTGGATTCCGTTCTCGAATCCACACGCGCCAAGGAGGCCGCTGTGAAGAAGGAGACTGCGGAACAACTGGCAGCCTTCCACCGACAGCGCGAGGAGGCACAGAAAGCACTACTCGAATCAACCTCACTGGAGGTGCCGCCCGTGAAAAGTGATCAATGGACTGCACTAGCTCGCAAGAGACGGAATGACAAACACAGGAGCGCATTGATTTCAGGAAAGAAGCGCAAAGCTTCAGCTACTGATAACGCTACCGGGAAGGACACAAATAATGGGGAAGACTCGCAGAAACAGGATGAAGCTGGCGGTTCAAGTACTAAAAAGCTGGACCAAGGGAGTTCGAAGTCCGATCAAGTTACACCCATTGCTCCTGCTACACAGCCCAAGGTGGTGACAGATACAGAGAAGGGCCAACCAAAGGCAAAATCCCCGACGAAACCACCCCTGGTTTCGCTTGGTCTGGCAGGATACAACTCGGACTCGGAATGATGTGACAACATTCATAGATGATCTCGGGGTTCAGTTAGCACAAATACCTATAATAGGGCTGTATGATGTAGATCCAGTCAATGATTGAAGAAGCCAACATATCTCCAAGTATGATTAAAGGCATAGCTTGGCTTCTCATTAGCATTGTAATGTTCTATTTGTTGACATTCCCGAGTTATCTTTGTTGCTGTCTTTTCGTCTCTAGTTTTCCATATCCCCTACCATGTGCTGGCAGAGCGACAATAAGACACAAAGCAGAGCTGAAAGTTCAAACCTGATTTATGCAGAGAACCAAGTTCAACATCTTGTCGTGGTCCCCAAAACTGGTGTGTATTTCAATAATAGCCAAGCCGAAGCTATTTATATATCACGCAAAGGAAATTCAACGAACATTTCACTTCATAGGTGACAACTTTATTATTGTATCTCAACATCAAATCAACTAAGCTTTCCACATATTCAACACACACAATGTCCGCTACAAACTCCTCTCCTGTGACCGCATTCTACTCAACATGCAGCGCATTTTGCTTCACCTCCCGCTCCTCGACCTTCTGCTCGAGGTCATGAGTCATATACTCTTCCTTGCGACTTCCAGGTATGATCCATGGCGCATTTGTGAACATTTGGTTCATTTCCTCCAGAGGCACGCGCTTTGTCTCCGGAAGCAAGAGCCAGAAGAAGACCGCATTGGTGAAGTTACAGATGACAAATAAGAAGTAGTAGCGATACCCGATATTCGTCATCGCGATGGGCGTGACCTGACCAATCATTGTGTTGAAAGCGAACGAAACCATCGTGGCAATCGAGACACCCTTGGCACGGGTACGAGTATCGAACACTTCAGCTGGGATAATCCAGGATAGAGGACCGCAGGTTGCAGAGAAGGAGAAATTGTACATCCATGTCATGATGATGAAGCCCCAATGGGCACCGGTGTTGTTGCTTGATGGAGGGAATTGTGCGAGCAGCACCGTTGCAACGATGAAGGTGACCATGTTGCCGAGATTACCGCCGATCAGAGTCCAGCGACGACCGAAGCGATCAATGTACATCATGCACAGGAACTGCGCGACCAACGCGATGACGGAGTTGATTGCCTGATACTTCAATGTGTCTTCGTTGGAGATACCGATTTGACCGTAGATCTCGGGTGAGTAGTATCTATTCGCGAAGCCATGTTAGCTGATTGATCCTATATTGATACTTGATAATCCATGGTGATGGTAAAGTATTGTGATACTTATACTTACTGGATGGCGGATACACCGGTCATCTGGCCCGAGGCTTGCAATGCACAGCAAAGGAACAGCCGACGGAACGAAGGGCGATTGTTAAACAACTCGATATAAGACTTCGCCTCGTTTTCATGTTCGAACGAGATGCTCTCCTGAATTTGGGCATATTCGGCCTGGACCCAAGCGTCGTTTTCGTCACCATGCGCATGCAGCTTGGCCAAGGTGCGCAATCCCTCTTCGCTGCGGTTGTGGTCGATGAGCCAGCGAGGCGACTGGATAAACGTTAGTCATTGGACTTGACTCGATGAAAACCAGCATACTTACTTCAGGGAAGAAAGAGATCAAAACACCCAAGAACACTGCAGGAGCAACTTGTAGACCGAGGGGCAATTGCCACTGGGCATGATTATCCCCCGAAAAGCCGGTGTACGTTCCATAGCCAATCCATCCAGCACAGAGGGATCCAACACCCAGCATGAATTGCTGCAAGGATGTAACTCGACCACGGATGCTGGGGTGACAAATTTCAGCTTGGTAGAGAGGAATCATCATAGTGAGGAAGCCGACGCTAAGAATCAAAGTCATTAGTGTTTTTGCTTGGGGATCTGTTTCCGAGAGACATTGCTTACCCTAATCCGGCCAGGAACCGTCCACTGTATAGATAGGCAATTGATCTCGCACCGGTTTGAAGACCACCTCCGAGAGTGAAAATGAGACATCCCAATGAGATGGTCCGTCGTCTACCTAAATAATCACCACCGGGACCTGCAAAGCCGGCACCGACACATGCGCCAGCCGTGAAGAGAGACACGATTAATCCCCTGCAACGTTGTTAGAGATTTCCATATTTCGTATAGGATCGCGAGACTAACTTTTGGGTATCATCTGCCTCGAATTTGCTTTTAAATGATTGACAGACCAGCACCTCGGCAATAACACCCAGATCATCTGTGACTATATTAGATTCCGCATGTCAAGAATGGAGGTTGAAGACATACATCCATAAAGGAATGATCCAAGAGAAGCGAAGACGCCGACCAGAAACTATATCGAAACATTAGGTCGGTCCTTCTTAATGGAATTTGTCCCTTCATACCTGGTACCATGCTGGCGAGAGACGCATGGTTTTGGCAGAAGTGGATATTTGATAGAATAATATCGGGATGAAGATCTACCTCCACATGACACTCTTTCTCCGGGGAAGCTTCTCTACATATACAGAGGAACCCAATTACATATAAACCCCAAACGGGTAATTCACCATGACTCCGGAGAACCGTTCTACTCCAGAGGAGAGAGTCAAGGCTTGAATTGTACTAACATTGGGTATTGCGTGGTGTAAACGGGGAAAATACCGGACACCCATCTCCAATTGCGTCCGATATTTTTTTTAATTTGCTTGAAATGGAGATGCCAAGTCTCAAGTATGCGGGGTGGAGTTAGCACCCAAATGTGGCGGGGGATCTCATCTGTGATTGACGGAAGATCTTCCACCATTTCTCTCATCTCGTGGATGTCGTGAGGTTAGATGGCCGATTCATTGGTCTATTGGTCTATATTTGATGCAAAAATATAAACTAAGGGCTTTGTGTCGTTTCTCCGGTAGCCACTCTATGCGCTAACTAAGGAATCTAGGATTAATACAGAAGTCATCGTCCGGATGTCTCGAATCTCGATTCTTCCCCCGCAGGAGTTTTCCCCCTTCAAGGCCCGAAGATGTCGGTTATTTACATAAATCACTTGTGATCAAAGTACGTTTTCGCTTCTTTAATTATCTTCCTTGGATCGCGCCTTTCAAACTTTAACAAGGACACCTTTTCCCGAAACTGAATCGCGACTTGGAATCAGTTAAATCGCATATTTAGCCAGAGTGACGCCTCCAACATAAACAAGTAGAAACAAAAACATTCTCATTCGTAAAGATGACGACCTTTACCAAATTGGAGGATCATGAGACACCTCTCATCTCTGTGCACCCATCGAGGCGCATTTCCAAGATCAACCCGAACATCTATGCCGGATTTACCGAGTAAGGCATCTTGACCTTGTTCCAATTTGATGACATGTGCTAACTACTTCCGCAGGCACATGGGTCGGTGTATCTATGGTGGCATTTATGACCCCGGAAACCCGCTCTCAGACGAGAAGGGATTCCGCAAAGACGTCCTGGAGGCGTTGAAGGGGCTCAACATCCCTGTCGTTCGGTATCCCGGCGGTAATTTCTGTGCCACCTACCACTGGCTCGATGGCGTTGGTCCTAAGGATCAACGGCCAGCACGGTATGATTACTTCTCATGTCACCTTCATTTTAACAAAACTTCGCTAACGTTGACCTACCAAAAGACCCGAGCTTGCTTGGCTCGGAACCGAAACAAACCAATTCGGAACTGACGAGTTCATGCAATGGTGTGAGGCTGTAGGCACAGAGCCGTACCTTTGCTTCAACTTTGGTACCGGTACCTTAGATGAAGGTATGTTCTTATTCTAATTCCAGCTTCCTTTGACACGAAGTCATGCTGATGTTGGGCCGCTCAGCTCTGGGCTGGGTTGAGTACTGCAATGGAACTGGCAACACTTACTATGCCAACCTGCGAAGAAAGAATGGCCGTGAAGAGCCTTACAATGTATGTTCAGATAAGCGGTGCAATATTTCGAACTGCAATCAATCTAACAACCCAAACAGGTCAAGTACTGGGCTCTCGGAAACGAGTGCTGGGGTCCCTGGCAGGTGGAGCAGATGACCAAGGAAGCATATGCTCACAAGGCGATTCAGTGGGCGAAAGGTAAGACTCCATTTCATTTACCAACCAAAACTTTCGCTAATCGTTTCCCTTCCAGCTCTGAAACTCTTGGATCCCACCCTGATCTTGATCCTTTGCGGCCAAGATGGCACTGCATCATGGGATTACTACACACTAAACCAGTGTCTTGTCCCCGCTCATTCCGCATTGTCAACCAGCTCAGTCCCATTGATTGACATGCACAGTATCCATCTCTACACATCCTCATCATCCCACCTGCACAACGTGACAGCACCACTAGCAGCCGAGCGGGCAATTGAAATCACATCCGCCTTGATCGATCTCGCCAGAGTCGAGAACCAAGTTCCCCCGGAGCAACTTCGCCCAACAATCTGCTTCGACGAGTGGAATGTCTGGGATCCCATCCGCGCAGAGGGAAGCCAAGGCGCCGAGGAGAACTACACACTCTCCGACGCGCTCGCCGTCGCCGCTTGGTTGAACGTCTTTGTCCGAAAGAGCAAGGATGTCAGCATGGCGTGTATCGCGCAGACCGTGAACGTCATCTCGCCCTTGATGACCACCCCAGAGGGAATTACCAAGCAGACTACCTGGTGGCCGCTTTGGCTGTTCTCGCGCTACATGCGCGGTTGGACTGTTGCCAGTCATGTTTCTTGTGGAACGTACGATGGCGAGACTACTCCTAAGTGGGTCCGCAGTGCCAAGGATACTCCCTGGTTGGATGTTAGTGCCACTGTGGGAGATGATGGATTTGTTAATGTTGCTGTGGTGAATATCCATGACACCCAGGACTTGGAAAGTCGTGTTGAGGGAGCTCAGGGAGAAGTGGCCGTGTTCACGGTCACCGCGACCGATTTGGCGGTGACAAATATGAACGGCAAGGAAGAAGTGGCGATCCAGGAGTCCAGCTGGAATGGAAGTGGATCGTATGTCTTCCCGCGACACTCGCTTACTCTGCTGAGATGGAAGGCTGAGTGAGTTAACCTATATGAGATGGTATCATGAGGACAGAAATAGACTTTCAAGCAATAGATATTCAATCGGTTCAATTTGGACTACCAGGTCTAGTAAATATAACTTAGCTCTAACCGGAGTTCACGTCATGGACAACTCCATCCTCATTAACATGGATATTCAGTCTAAGTCGAATGGTAGACCGTCAGCAATATGGTCATTAACTTGATGACACTTTGAAATGAGGTTGTTACCTGTTCGGGTTATGGTCCATGGTCTTCATGTCACCTGGCTTCAATACCCGGTGAGTTTCAGGAAGCTCTGCTTTTGCAAAGGACTAGAAAATAGTTAGAAATTCACGTTTTATTTCAACAATTTAGCACAGGTGACATACTGTCTCATTACTAACGTCGCTAATCTTCTTGCCCATCAGCTTGTTGACCCACTCGGACTTATTGCCGAAGGAGGAGTTGATTCCTGGTACGACGAGTGGCATATTGGGTTGTTCAAAGCAGTAAATATATTCAAATAGAGAAAGACGTGTAAAAGGAAAAGGCAAAGTGAGGTTTGTCGCGGGTATAACCCAGCTCTTATCGATGACGTAGTCTCCAGATTGGGACTAGCGTGTTATCATCCAATGCACCTCTCCAGAGTCATCACTTCCCTTATTAACCTCGACATAGAATTCATGTCAAGCCGGAGGAATTTCAAGATCCAAACAATGTGTCCCTATTCGAAGATCTTATAGGGATTCATGTTGAGGATAGCGTATGAAAATACCAGAAATACCGAATGCTGAGTCATGAGCTGACATGGGGTGCGAAGGTGCCAACAGGGTATAACATATACTGGTGCTCGAGAGGCATATCAGTCGATGCATCTGTCACTGGTGGAAGTTAAGGCACAACCGATCACACCTAGGTAGTAACAGGCGGATGAAGTCTCGACAAGTAATTGACCTCTGGCGTCTCGACCAATCAGCGTAGGTTAACCCCATGCTGTAGATATGACCTTGGCGATTAATTGTTTCTTTGGGCTCGCAGATAAACTATATTGGAACACTCTCCTGGGTAGCTAGAGTTCAGTGTAGGCAGCTATAAAAAATCCCTAAACGAAACATTTCACTTTCAAGTGTGAATGACCTCCAGATAGTTATATATTGTAGTTCAACACTACATTACCCATCGAACTCGTCCAAAAGGTCTTAGACCTTGTAACAGAGCTGTAAACTGTCGAACGGGTCGATTGAGCCAGAAGCACTTTCTTGCTGTGAGCCCATAACTGCTTAGCTATATAACGACGAACATTATCCCAGCGATTGTGTCATGGGTGGGACGTGGGCTGACAACTCCTTGTCTAGAGATTTAAGATCTAGACAAGTTAACTCCGTGATTGAACTGCGATCTCGGCCAAGATTCTATAGGTTTACCTAGCAGATCTTGTCAACATCATATTGCGATTCTCACGGACCATCTTGCGCAATACTGGCGCAATATCCTCTAGTCCCCGTACTAGTATTCATAAATCCGACTGAAGGAATAACGCTTACTTGAATTAGCTGGGAACTCCATGTGAAACATATGATCTGACACGGAAGGATATGGTTATCAAATATGGTTATCGACTTGCGTGCTAAGACGCAATCTTATACCATCTTGCGTCATGCGTTGATGCCAAATCAACCCGGAGAGACTCCAATGTTGAGGTATTAAAAGAAGATCCATCTTCCAGGTGAAAAATAAATAAAAAAACAGTACCTGACAAGAAACCTAAGAATATCAAAAGGTTAAAAAGAAAATCAATATGGCAGAATTCATCAGCCTCACGTTCCCGAACGCATCTACCGAGATCAATCCAATCCCCAACGCTAAGATTGATCCTGAGTATCTCGTTCGATACGCTCGCAACCTTGATGATTACGGTTACAACTACACCTTGGTTCCCTATGGCTCCTCATCATATGATCCATTCACCATCGGAGCCACCATTCTCTCCGTGACCAAAAACCTCAAGGTTATCATTGCTCTACGACCAAACACACTGTACCCCACAGTCGCAGCAAAGGCACTAGCTACCCTCGACCAACTCAGTGGCGGTCGTGTCGTTGTTCACTTTATCGCAGGTGGAAATGATGCCGAACAGGCCAGGGAAGGAGACTTCCTGAGCAAGGATGAACGCTACGGCCGCCTTGAAGATTATATTAAGATTCTCCGCCGTGCATGGAAGTCCGATGAGCCATTTGACTGGGAGAGCAAATACTACACCTTCAAACAATTCAGTAACCAAGTCCGCCTGACCGGGGACTCGATTCCCGTCTCAGTCGGCGGTTCATCGGACGAAGCGTACCGCATTGGAGGTTCTCTGGCTGATATCTTCGGCCTTTGGGGTGAACCATTGAAAGAAACCAAGAACCAGATTGATCGCATCAATGCCGAGGCAGCAAAGGCCGGTCGCCCGGAGACCGACAGACCTCGCATCTGGGTCACCTTCCGTCCCATTGTCGCAGAAACTGAAGAACTCGCATGGGCCAAGGCACACAACACCCTCGATGCACTGACTGCAAACCGCGCGAACGGACAACACAGGGTCCCCGCAAATGCGCCGCCCCCACAGAACGCAGGCTCCCAGCGCCTTCTTGATATTGCCGCTCGTGGGGAGGTCCAGGATCGCGCGCTTTGGTATCCTACTGTTACCGCAACGAATGCGCAGGGTGCATCCACTGCCCTGGTTGGATCGCCGAAGACCATCGTCGATTCACTTCTGGACTACGTTGATCTCGGGGCTGACCTCATCTCTATCCGAGGCTACGATAACCTCAACGACGCCATTGATTATGGGCGGCTGATTCTTCCTAAAGTTCGGGAAAGTTTAAAGGAACGGGAGAATGGTGCCTCGAATTAAATAACGAATGTGAGAACTAGTCTTAGTATACATTATCACACCTCATTATATATACCAGATAATACCCGGGACTTAAAAAGTAAAACACTACTGGCACAGCTTTTCCGCTTTACATCTTGTGTTGCGTTCATCCTAGGTAACTATCTAAACGAATTCGATCAGCAAGTTACATGTATACCCAGAAGTAAAAACAAGCCTCTCCTCCTAGCTGTGTATCTGTTGCAAGCCAACTAAAACCATCCGTGTAAATAAAAGCAATAATGATAATACAGCAGCACGATGGTATTTCATGTTAGAGCTCAGTGTGCGAGTTCTCAGATTGAGGTAACCTCCCCATGTATGTTGACATATTCGTCGACCACAATGTCTCCCCAGAGTCCATCCGAGATCTCCCCCCTTTGGCACGCAGTACATGCCTAGGAATACTACGAAAGCCGAGTCGATCAATGCATCCGGATTGGCCGAATAAGATACCAACCAGCTGGTTCGGCATCTTGGACTTGGGCAAAACAGCTGCAACGAAGTCGATGAGAAGAGGGCAATTTGACCAAGCGACACCGGCATCAATATGTACAGAGAGGCCATCTTTTCCGCGATACGGATCGTGGACCGAGTCTGGCAAGTATTCCAGAAAAGAAGGGCAAAAAAGCTCCTCGGTGACGATAGTCACATGGGCCCCCGTATCAAATATCATATTCACACCGCTGAGCTTGCACGGGTTTTCTTCCTCTCCATCCAACCCTCATACAGTAAGATCGGTCCGAACCATGCGAAGAAAGAGTCTTCCAGTGCTGGGCGGAGTAATGCGTAGGGATATCGGCATTCCTTGTTGGAAATCTCCTTCGCCATCTGGCGGACGTTTCTCTGAGGGTCTCCCAACTGTCGTTCTGCATATCGGCGGGACACTGAGCAACGCGAGAAGCGCCAGGCCCAATGGAAGGATGAAACCCGACAATGTTCGTCGGACGCGCCAGCACTGGGGTGGACTTATGACATGTCAAAGCCAAATTGCCAGCGACACAGCGCACGCTCGGTCTCAAACGAAAGCGCGACCAGTCGTAAGTTTCCGCTTCAATTTGTAAGTTGTTTGGGCCGGGCAGTGGTAATTAGTTAGCCGGCGCGACAATCTCACCACGCTTATGCCAGTCGTCCGGGTGAACTGCCCGTTGATAAAAGAACTGAGCGGCGTCGACGACAGTCAAATATTTAGCACCGGCGACAAATTTCAGGATGTCCTCTTGCCGTGTCGCGACCTTCTTCACTCAGAGGTGGAGGAGGTTCTACCGTCCCTAGGTCAACACTGCTTCGGATGGGCAGAGCTTGGAAATTTTCCGAGGGAAACCGTGAGGCTGGTTGTGTCATGTCATGCACTATATATATCGGAGCCTGGACAATCTGAGCGTAATGCTCAGATATAATGGTCTTTTGGCCTAGTTTGTAACTCGCCAGTCTAGGGGCAGGTTGTAACAGGTTATAACCCCCACTCACGCAGAACACGACGGTTTGTACTGCGGCGAAGAAAGATTATAAATGGCTCGTCAACACCGTCGAGGGCTGACTCGACAGCCTGGAGAGCCGATCTCCAGGTAGTGTATGCGGGGATGGCCACAGAAAGTCCATCTTGTTCCCCATTCATCGACTCGGCAAGCTAACGAAGTACATCTCTCGGGTGTAAGGTTCTTGTTGGATTGTTATCCATAGTAACCCTAAAGGATAACACTCGTAAGTTCCCTGTAAGATCATAGAGGATGAGTACTACTTACTGTTCTTGGTTATCAGCTTGCAGATAGGCACGTGTCGGCGAAGGAAACTGATGATAAATGGTGACGAAAAAAGAAAAAGAAAAAGACTTTTATATATGCACCCCGCGTTGTCACTACCTACAACATACCTAGGTAACTAGGTAAGTATGCCACCAGCACATAACTAACTCTCTTATTGGATTATATTGCCAGCAGTAATTTAGATCCACTAAGGTTGTAGTTATTAACTGAAGCCTACCGATGCTGGTTAATAAAATTAATGCCTTCTAAAATGGACATAGGAACTTTCAAAGTAAATTAAATCTGAAGTGAATCTGAAGTGAATCTGAAGTGAATCTGAAGTGAATCTGAAGTGAAACAGTTGAAGAAGAAATAATTCAAAATCATAGCTACATATTCAATATAATACGCTAAATTCAATGAGGAAGGAAATTGGCAGATCTCTTGGCCGCTAGTTTAGGGTAATCATACATTCTCTTTCCCATAGAGCGGAAGGCTCAATGCAGACCTCAAATATCCTCGATATCAAAACGAATATCCAGTTTGTGAAGCTCAAGACCTCTTTGGAAAGTAACAATGCGACAAACCCTTTTCACTCCCTGTCCAAACGAACCCAGAATGAAGGATCCGACAACCTTACCGATAGGCGTCCCCATAATAGCCCTAAACTCTGGTGTAGCGTAGTCCCAAGTTTGAGGCTCTGCAGACGGATAAATAAGTCCCTCACGGGACGGGTAGATTTGCTCCTCAATAAATGGTTCAGTTGCATTTTCCTGTACCTCATTGACAATTACATGCTTCACGCTCTCCAACGGAAAATGCGTTTCATAGGCAATCTTGGCAAGCTCGGACACGTGTGGATCGTTCGATGCAGGGCGTCTTCTAATAGAATAAATAAATAGTAAGGTTGGTCCAATCGTCCCGACCAACCCAGTGACCCCACCCCGGGTCTTGATGATTGACTGCCGTAGACACGGGGATTCTGTAGGATACATATCATTTGGAATAAGTTGTCCGAGTGGCGTCCCACTACCCACAATAGAGGCAATCTGGTCTGGTGATAGCCATTCTCTTTCATGCTCGCTATGCCAGAGAATAGGCTGTGGCAAAGTCCAGGTGGTGAGTGTAGATCTGGGGACCGGGCATCCGGGTTCATTGGCATTTTCCATCCATCGGATTAGCTTATCCCCGTATGACTCGAACTGGGGATACTTCAAAGCCATTATAGGAAGGATACAGTGAATAACCAACCAGGGTCCCCTGAGCCAGAGTTATATAGTGAGTAGATATATCCACGAGAAACAACAAAGCAACCTTGACAATGAATGATATTGTTGAGACATTGGACTAAATAAACAGCTAAAGACTCAAACGATCAAAGAACCAAAGGCACCAAAGGCCGCGAGGAGATTATACCTTGGCTTTGTATAGGACAAAGCAGACAGGCCTCTGTGAGACATCTCCCATTTCCGTTTGGGGTGAATGGCGTTGGTTTTATTTGAGAAACAATCATTCAAGTAGATAGGAGGGGGGAGGGTTCCTGTATTCCTATATTTCTGCGCATCACTGATCACAGAAATACCATGTGGATTTTCAAAGAACCACAAAGTGGTCACACTGCGATGGTAGAACATGGCTTCAAAATCCAAACGTAGGATTTCTCATCGCTGAGATTTAGACAAAATCCCAGACTACCAGGTGGTGCTAGACGCCAATATATTGCCATGTGATTGATGGTGGAGATATCAGAGGTGTCTAATGACAACAGTGTGAACCAGAAGACTGTGTATGGGGGTCAAAGTCGCGTGAGCGGAGGTTTATGATAACAAGGCAATCAGGGCAATCCTCCATGAATCGATGGGGGTATGAGAGTATGAGAAGTATCGCATCGATGAATGCCCGGGAGTTGATAAACAGGTTCACCAACTGGTGAGACAACGTGACCTGAGGGGAGCAAACAAACATAGGAAGATAGGGCTAGTTATTTAAACACGCGTTGTCCCCCGCGCGTTCTCACTTTCTTTCTCTCTCTCATCCATCGCAAAATGGCTACCACCATTTCCACTTTGTGGACCATCGACACCTTCCCACGGATTCTGGGCTACCTCGAGAACCCTGCAAATGAAACTATTCAAGTGCAGAACTTCATCGAAAACCAGTTCCTTGCTTCCGCGCACACTGCGCAATGGATTGACTCGTTTGACCCTCGCTCGGGCCAACACCTGGCGAGTGTGCCCCGCAGTGCTGCCAACGTCGTTGAATACGCCGTCAATATCGCATCTCGGGCTTTCCCAGGATGGTCTCAGACCACACCTCAGTACCGGTCCGAAATCCTCTTCCGAATTGCGTCCATTATGGAGCAGAAGAGAGACATGTTTGCTTTGTGGGAAAGCACTGACGTAGGCAAGCCTGTCTTTCGGGCTCAGGCCGAAGTTGATCGTTCTGTTGAAGTCTTCCGGTTCGTCAATTGTTGATTGCATTTCTACATATGACATTATCTAACGTTTTTCTTCTTGATAGCTACTTCGCCAACTATATTCTTCAGGACGACAATGGGGTGCATCTCAACAACCTCATAGGATCGACTACTATGACCTACGAGCACCGAGCACCAGTGGGTGTTTTCGCCATTATCACTTCCTGCAACATGCCGCTGTTCCTTTTGAGCTCGAAGATTGCCCCCTGCCTTGCCTTCGGTTGCACAGGTGTGGCCAAGCCCAGCGAGTTTTCTAGCATCACTGCCTTTTGTGAGTGACTATCCCATTTGATGTACTCACATGAACATATACTAACCCTGAAGATAGTGTTCAGCGAAGTCCTCCGACGTGCCAACCTACCACCTGGCGTTATGAACATCATTTTCGGCGATGGGCTCAACACCGGTGCGGCCCTTGTTAGCTCGCCGCTTGTCCGGGGGGGTCTCGTTCACTGGGGGTGTCGAGGCAAGCATTCAGATTCGACGCAACACTGTTCCCGACATTCACAAGCTCCTGTTTCTCGAGGTCAAAGGCAGTTGCCCTACTATTATCTTTGCTGATTTCAATATGGAAGAAGCGGCTGCTCTCGCAGCTTTCGCGGCATTTGAGAACAGTGGACAACTCTGTCTCAGCGGTTCTCGTATCTACGTCCACAGATCGGCTTACGAGAAGTTACTGCCACTGCTCATCAAATGCGTCGAAACTGATTACGCCATGGGGGGCAAGGGAATTGGCCCAGTTATTTCGGCGGAGCATTATGCCAAGATCAGATCTTACCTCGTGGAGGCTGAACAACCTGCGAACGCCACGTTCGAGACGGGCGACATTCCCCGTCAAGTTCCGAAGAATGGTTTCTGGATCCCTCCAACTATCCTGAGCAACGTTCGTATCGATCATCTTATGGGACGGGAGGTCTTCGGACCTGTCGCGACTGTTCATCCATTTGATACCGAGGATGAGGTCGTCCGACTGTGCAATGCCAACCCTAACGGAAGAGGTGCTCTTATCTTGACCGATGACCTGGCCCGCATGAGCCGGGTCGGCAAGCATCTTGACGCAAGTCTTGTGTGGGCGGGTTGCTGGATGGGCCGTGAGCTTGGGGCCGGTCTCACTGATTTGAGGGCTATTGGCACTGGTCGGGAAGGAGGTACACGCGCTCGCGATATGTTCACACGTTTCCGCGCAGTGCATGTTCCTTCTTACTAACTCGGGAACGTGGTTACTGCACTCACGAAGGATATTCCAGATTCAGAGGAGTGTGGAAGCGAGATATCGGTCGGGGATTGCTCTACAGACAACAATGGCTTTTTGTACATAACAACCTCGGGGGAATTCGGGGTTTTTGAATAACTAACAGATGTAATGTTCTAACCTCGACAGATTGACTCGAAAGGATATTCATGCGGTGAGGTATGGACTCTTTACGATTTTAGCCTAATGAGCAGCCGAGGAATGCATGTCTATAATTTCACTATGATCAGCCCGCGCGGCGGAGGATGAGGACCATCTCTTGAGGACGATGGCATTATAGGCGGGCTGCAGCCGACAAACATCCAATCGTCTGAATCAGTTGATCTTTGCTAAGTACCTTTTGCTTCTCCCCGCTTCCTGTTTGTCCCTTGTTCTTTGTCTGGCTGAACATAAAGATAGTCTTCCTACCCCAGATATCCTTCATCCATATCCCACCGGCTCTTCCGCTTTTTGAAACTACCCTTTACAAAAAGTGGTGGTTCCTTTGGCCCTTTTCATGTGCTAGCAGGTCTATGCTCACTTGGTTTAGGAACATGATGCGTTATCTTACCATGAACTCCGATCTGGAGAGCCCCTCTCTGGTGGCTTCTAGCTATATTTCCTTCATTCAAGATGACATCACCACGTGCGAAGTTGTTCGCGACGCTGACCTACCTCCTCGAGTTGCCAATGACCAGCAGGGGCCCTCTACTCCAACTAGTACTTTCTCAATTGGGCTTACACCACACAGCTCACACACCGAGACTCATACATTATCTCCCTCTCCAGAGGCCGATGTTACTGGAGGGAATTATCAAGATAGTGTAAAAGAAGCTATTCTGGCCGGTATTTCCGGTGGTGTTAATGAGGTATATCACTCTCCGCTGACAGATGAACTCTTTGCTGCGAGCTCGACTGCGCTTGTTTTGGTTGAGTGTGCTCTTCTCGACCGTATTGCCCAGATGGCTGTCAGTATGCGTTCCTTGGAGGAAGACTTGGAAGCCTTGAGGGCACGCCGGAAGCAGCTTGCTGCTTTGCGGGTTGTTTCTGGCACCTCTCGATCAACCTGCTGGTCTGCAGAAATTACTCCTTCGGACTCGAAAGCTTAGATACATGGATTGTGATTACAGTGCGTACCTGAGATAATGGGTTAGGATAGCGAGATGATTGGGTTGAGTTCGAGTGCTTGTTTAGTCGGGTTAGATTGTTGGAACGACATGCCCTCCACTCTATTTACCTACCCCATTCGGGTTGGCCAATTACTATTTGTGATACTGCACTTCATACCTTCCTATATAACTAGGGGAATAGAGCAGGCAGTATGACTGTATTGTAGCTGACTGCAAGCTGCTGTCTGCTAAGGAGAAAGGAAGAACAACAAGAACTAGGATCATTTGAGCTCAAGACTATATACACCTTTCTTTCACAACTAAAGGGTTCTTGTTCTAAACATGAGCCTGTTAGTGCTAGACCTAGAGTGTGTCTTATTATCATACATATGTAGCTGGTATTGTTCTATTTTACCCCTGGCTTCAGGAACAATATGATCTATAGGTTAGAATATTATTATCCCAACAAAGAAGTTCTTGTTTGCCTTTGTATACTCTTTGTCACGGGTCTCTACTCTCTTTGTACTAAATAGGCTCATTCTGTGGTATCTTTATGGCTTGCTCTGGCTCTTAGACGTCGTATTTTCGTCGAGGGCTCCTTTGTTTCTTCTTTTAATAGCCCTCGATCAACTAATAATGAAATTCACCAGGACTATATAGTTATAGGGGCTCTCCTTTCCTCGATACAAGTGTTCATTCGAGATCAAATTATCACAAGACACAATTGACTACACCCCAAAATCCACACCCAAAATCCACACCCAAAATTCCCGCTCTATTCTACACAGCGTAAGGCAAACTAGAACTCAGACTAAAAATGGCAGATAATACAGCACCCAGGCTCCGGAAACGTAAGCTCAGCGAGGAGGATGACTGTAGCTCTCCTCGCTCCCCAACCCGCCGGCGTCTGACATCTAAATCCGCAGAACCCGCCAAGTCCCCAAAGTCTCCAGAACGGCCAAAATCCCCTCTCCCTTATCCCATTCCAGATGACAGCAGCATATCTAGTGGTGGAAAGACACCCTCTCAGCCTTGGGACGATTTATTTCCTAACAAACCCCCGGTGTCGGACGATCAAGTCAACGAGTATTACCGAAAGGGAGCTTTATACGAAGTATGGATTGCTGACCCAACTCGAGATGGATGTCCATGTAGACAATCAGAACTTACATTGTATGAATTACTCAACCACAGCGACAAGAAAAAGAGATTTACTTGTCCGGAGAACCAATTCAATGTCCCGCCCAAACCCATCCACGAGGATTTGCAACAAGTAGGGCACCCAGTAGAATATAAAACGTACCGGTACACAAAGCTGACACGCTACGATCTTGACAAGGATGGCTGCAAAAGGCAAACTGAGTATTCACATTCCATCAGAGAAGGCGTTATAATAGGTGAAGATATTAACAGATTCGGGGGGCCGAATTGGTCGGATATCGCCCTCGCCCAATATAAGTTTGACCACCCCATCGATACCCTCAAACATCTTTATTTTACTTATGTGCAGAACGACGAGACCCTGCCCTATATGGAAGAAATCCTCTACCCCAGACATCACGTGCGGTGGCCCTTTGTTGATCGACCCCAGAATCAGGTATGGGAGTATGGTACTAGGGAATATCGAGAGATCCTAGGTACGAAGCTAGGGAAATCAGCGGCATGTCTTGTTATTGGGGCTTGGGAGAGAGGTACCCATCGCATTGCTAGAGTTCACACTCTCGGTCGTGCGGGCTCTATACACCTACGATTTGATATTGAGCCGATCCCTATATCTGGAACTGCTTAGCCTCACTACCTGGGTGTACGCGGGTTCTATATATATCTGTGGTGTCCGTGAATAGATAGTCGTTTGCCCAGATGACCCTGTAAATATTAAACTGATGATTTGGTAATTTGATATAGCGGTGTTCGGTGAGTTGATGTCCATAGGTAGAAAGTTCTTTCACAATGATACTATATGACTTTCACAAATCCTTTCTCAAGTTCTGTAATTCCTAAAACAAGGGTGATCGTAAATTGTATATATTGATAGTATTTTTGTACGTTATATACATCCACATAGAAACCTCTACTAATCTATTTAAGCGGCGGCCTAGTGACGAAGCTAGAGAGAGACGGGGACTTCTTTTCTGAATGTCTGAATGTCATTGTTCCTTCTCATTGTGTTGAAACTTCATATTTTTATACCTAATCCCTCCCATCACATGGATATATACCACCCGTGGACTGAGGCTTTCTTGCCTTATACTCATACTAACCTATTACTCAGTATCAAACACGAATGGCCATTTATCAACTAAATCTCAAAATAAATGTTCAGGTGACTCTTGTCCGTCGCACGGGGGTTGCGATATGTCTACCGAGAAAAGAGAATACAATTCAGGCAGAGATGAACTGACCTAACTGGCCTCATTTAAGAAGCGGTAATGGCTATACTTTGGAGGGTTTTGATTGAGTCTATGCATAATCTTCGGCTTGGTGAAGTTGAAGTTCCAAATTGTCAAATGACGGGATATCTATGTATGTACTATGTTATAGCGTACACGGAGATTGATATAATCATTATTTCACTGTTTTTACTATCAACAAACTCCAATTAATTATCTACCTTGCTCATCTACGGAATAGGAATTTTCTTCTGACACGTCACCATCTTGCCGGCTTGGAAGGGGTGAGAGCGACGATGTCGGGGAAAGAGATGCCCATGATGGCGACCTGATTGGGAGGTTCAAGCCAAGGCCCTGGACACCCGCAGGACCAAATCGGGGCGTCGAGCCAGGAAACGTGCCTTTCACGGAAGACTGCAAGTTGGGTTGCAGACCAACTCGGGAAATCGCCCGCCGGAGCATCTCGCCTGAGGCATCCAGAGCAATAAGAAAGCGGGCCAGCTCAGCACATAGCTCCCAGTCTCCCTTCTGGGAGGCGAGAGCAATCAAGCGAACAACGTATTCTTCGATGCGGCCATCATGTCCTTCTTCCTCATCCTCAAATGCCTGCAGTACAAGGAGGTATCCAACTGCAGTTTTGAGGGAGTCAAGTTTCAAGGCCTGCTCAAATAGATCCTTGGGTGGAGGTAGGTAAGTGAACAGTGTGCGCCACGATCGAAGTTCTGTTTTCCGTGTACATTGTACAACAATCTCGAGGTAATCCCTGGGAGGAAGCGAGGCTTGAAGGAAAGCAATTACGGTTGGGAGTAGTGGTTCTGCTCGCGCTTGTGGGTCCTCGCTTTTGCTTGCTCGGCTCTCATTATCCACTTCGTCGTCCAGCACGTGGTGAAGTAGGATTTCCAATCCATGAGCGAAATAAGACAAGTGAGAAAAGTGGCGACAGAGAGCGAGAGCCGCAGGCGTCCCAATATTGGCCAGGCCATATTGGAGGAAATATGGTAAGAAGAGGTGTGTCTGAGGCCCACAGATCAGTACAAGATGCTATCGATGGAGAAAGTAACTTACTCGAATGGCGAATTTCAGAACAGTGAATGTCACATCCCGTCGTTGCATCATTTCCGATTCAACGCCAAGCACAATGCCTTTGTTCAATAAGACAGACAGTGGATAGAAGTCCAGGGGGATGTTGAGTGGTGCCGGCACCACCTCCTCCCGCAAAACATCATGAACATCATTCCAAGCTAGCAGGCTTTGCCCCCGGAACATCCAAAGAGAATCCCGGAGCGATAGACTACTATGAGGTGGCTCTAGTGCCATATCAACAGAAGGACTAGCGGGTAGGGATTCATCAACCTGCGAGGAAAAGTTGAAGGAAATCTGGTCACGCATCAAGATGTAATACTCGACATCATGGGATATGACGCGCATGTCGTATTTGAGGTCGCCCACATCTGAGACCGTGGGCTGCAGCAATACCAAATTGCCGTCCACAAGAAGAAGGACGGATGCGACCTTTACGTCTTGAGATGGATCACCGTTTCCTGCTTTATTGTCAATGATGTACTTAGTTTATGCATGAAAAGGGCTAACCCACGCATCTGCTCCTCCGGCAATACCCAACTGATTGATCGAACGCGAGAGGGTGCGCGAACAATCCCATTGAAAGCGATCTGTCCAACGGGAACAAGAGTGATCTGAGGGTGTGTCGAATTAATGATATAATGGTACAGAATGTTATCGTATGTATAAACCAAGAGAGAATCTTCCCCAGACGGTCCAATGAACACGACCGGTGATGGGAGGTATTCGATGAACATAATCGAATTGTTACCGAGAGAAGCCTCGCGCGAGTAAAGACGAATCTTGTAATCCTAATCAGTCATGCATGGAAACAACGCAAGTGGGAGAAAGATCGTACCTCGTATGACCCGTCACTCTCTACCGCTGCGATCAGTATGTGGCCGTACCAACACATCCCTCCTCGCACAGCAAAGGAGTTTTCGGCTTTTGAATCCTCGAATACCTTCCATCGGCCGCTGGTGACACTGTAATGTGCAAGGCCACGCCGACCTGCAATTGCAACATACCGCCCATCCTGAGACACGACGCAAGATCGAATCGGCCACTGGGAATGAAGATATGCTGGAGGATACTGGGCATGATGCCACAACGAATCCTTTCCTGAGATTGTCATGAGATCTGGGAGATCGTGTCCTCGGTAGAGGATAAACTCCGTACTAGTCTGCAGCAGGCCTCTAGCCAAGTTTGCAGACGAAAAGCAACCAGTCAAAGCACTGCGAGCTGTCTCCAGAACCCACAGGCGACGATCATTTTGTCCAGACAGAATGATATCCGACCCGCCGCCAATCCAACACCCGTCTGACACCCCAGTTAACCAATCCTCCGAATTGGCCGCTGCCAACGCGGTGTCCACCGAAAAGCTGTTTCCTCCAGGCTTCCCAAATACACTCCATGTTGTCCAGCCATTTTCGAAACCAGCAAAGAGACAATATCCATCCGGGGAATAGCTCATAAAAGTCAAGGCTCCAGTGGTTGTGGGCGACGCTGGTAAATGGAGCTTTTGTGAAAGTGGGATGTTCCCCATGTAATCTTTTGCAGTGTAAACCAAGACTTCACCATTTGAACAACTCACAGTCAACAGAGAGAATCGTGCATTTACGGTCACCTTCACGGCGTTTTCGCTGTCATCCTTCGGATTATGGAAGCAATGTCCGTGGAATAGTTTCTTGGCTGCTTCAGGATCCTGCTGTGGGCCCGTATCTCGTTGCACAGCATATGCCTGGCCACTGCTGGTGATCCAGATGAGAAGATTCATCGCACGATCGTAAACCATGTCCACGATCGAGACCTTCTTCGAGATCTCTAGGATGCGACTCAATAGCTCAGATGTGGTTTGAGCTCCTCCGGCCTCAGATGTCCACCGAATGCATTGTATAGCTGGTGGTTTCACAGTGGCGACAACAAGTTCTTGATCTAGCGCCAGCGCCTTGACGATTCCCGACTCGATTTTGATGGCCATTCGGAAGCGGATGCTAATATCTCCAACTACATTGGCCTCTTCAACTGCGGAAAATCGGGCCAATTGCTGACGACGGGTGTGTGTAGAGTACTCGAATCGCTGCTGGTAAACTCGAGTCGTTGAATCCAACGCCACCGAGTATGTGAGTAGGTACCCATTGAGCGTCTGCACAACCAGGATGGTGGAATCCGGGTGCATAAGGATTGAAACGTTCGGACCGTATGTTTTTAACGAGAATCGAGATCGAGAGATTGCTGTAACTACTGCTGTAGGCTGCCAGAATTGTCAGTCGCAAGCTCAGACTTTCCATGAACCATAACATCGCTGTCAACATACCCGAGTCTGCCAAAGAGCAATTGACGACTCTGACATTGTGGCGAACATCTGACCAGATCGAGACACACAAATTCCCTTAATAGATTGATCTCCCCATTCTGATTTGCCGGTGTCCGGGGGCGAGTTGTTTTGCGAATCATGGGTCCGGGTGTCTGGGGACTCATGTCGACCATCCTCCCCTCTTGCTTCCGCTATATCGTCAAATGTACTGCGCTCATTGGTTGGAATGGTGTTGAGGATTTCACGATCCTCATCAGAAGAGGCATAGGCAATATCGGGTCCATTGACCGCGTAGACCCTGGGAACTCCATGAGGCCAGTACATGGCTCAGGTCAGGTTCAGGGGTTAAGATGGACAATGAAGCTCACATGGAGTCATCTCCAAGGAACCAATTCTCCGTCAGCAGCGCAGACAAGAATTCCAGAGCACAAATTCAAATGTAAAGTAACAAAGTCCAAACTACGTGGTTGGAAACAGACCGGGGAAATGATAAGCTACGATCACGTGCAAAAGCTCATCCCCCGCATTGCCTCAACTGTTTTTTTTTCTTCGGTCTCAGTCACTCCTGACCGTTGTTTATCTTTTTCACATTATCTATTGAAAGATAACTATCATGGTAAGCTTCTCGCCTGTCGCGATCAATTCATGGTACTGATTCATGGCAGGCTCCAACAGAAAGCAACAAGCGCTTGGCCTTGGCTGTCATCGATTTCCTCGGCTCCAGTCTGAAAGATGGCACCCTCACCGCCGACGATGCTGAGTCTATTGAAATCGCGCAGTCTTGTATCGCGGATACATTCAAGGTCGACCCTACTGATGAGGCCGCTGTGAAGGATGCCGTGGGCGGACAATCGTTGGTCGGAATCTACAGCGTCTACGAGAAGCTGCGCAACAAGTCGACCCCGCAATCGACTGCAGGAGCTCAGACTTCCCAGGGCGAGAAGCCCAAGGTCGGTGTGCCCACACCGGAGTCCGATAAGCTGAAGTCCGAGGGCAATGCTCTCATGGCCAAGAAGGACTACG